TCCATTCTTCATTATTGTTTTCGCAGCTGTTGGTGCTATGCTTATCGCATCCCTGGTTAAGGGCAACGGTGTCGATTGTCGTTTGTTCCTTTGTGGTTCTGCAAAGTCAACTCTGGTGCCTTGCGTACGATCCGCTGCCGGTCTTTCTTGTGGAGTAGAACCTCTCAAGATTGCATCCAACTTTGCCTGTATTTCACACGAACTCTCGGCTTGACTCCTGCTCATTGTGTCCATTCTCCTTTCCAGGCTCCCTAATTGGCTGTTGACATCATCATATCGGTTCTTCAACTGTTGCATGTCTGTTTTGATGTTCTTTTCTCGTTCTTCATTGGTGGCTTCTACCTTATCTGACATTTCCTTGAGTCTCTCATCTGTTGCCTTAGCTAGGTTAAAATAACTGTCTAGATACTCGTGCTTGTTGTATCTTATCTCCTTTTTTATCACCTCTCTGTCTTCTTCACTGTGCTTAAGTCTTTTGTCAATCTGATTTAATTTCGCCAACAAGTCACCCAGCTCAATGTTAGTCTCTTCATGGTCAGCTGTCGGTCTCTCTTCGGCCGTAGCCTCTGCTTTAGCTTGTTCCTCTCTTGGATTGGCTTCTGAGGTCTTCGTGCTCACTGTCCCAAACGTTCGTGCTCTTTCTGCTTTTGGTTCTTCAGTCACGTTTTCTTTTGTTTTTATTCCGAACATTATTCCCAATTTTTCCGTAAAAGATGTCCTCTTTACTTGAGAGTCTTCTTTCACCGTTTCTTCGGTGTTGCCTATTGCATCTTCCGCGTCATCTATCGGTGAGAACTCTATGGGTTTCTGGTTCGGTTCCTCTGCATTGGGCATTGGAGTTGACTCTGTCGCCATCTTCCTTGTTTCATCCACACTTTGATCGGGTGTCTCTAGATCAATCTCGATGGTGGGTTCTACTCGCTCCCCTTCCGTGCCCTCTTTCGCCCTGTTCTCCGCTGTACTCCTTGTGCTGACCATGTTAACTGAAAAGTTCGTCTTCGTTATCTTTGGGCCCGTTGATGTCGTTCCGCGCAGCGATGAATTATATTTCGTGTTTGATCCACTTGACCTTTTTTCGAGCACCGGTACCCTACTCCGCCTCATTATTTCTATTTACAACTGCTTCTAATTACAATTTTATTATATACACAATTCTATTCTAAGGGTAAAAAAAATATTTTTTGTGGTAACAAATTCTGTACAACGTGTTAAAAACCTTATCCAATTCTCTTTCTAAAACCTCCGAAAAATTTTCCTTAATTTGGTCTTAACCCTACCTATTTCGATTTGTCTTATTCTGTCTTAAAACGCACTTGTTGTAATTTGACTTCAATTTCTATACCGTCCCAAGACTATTCGTCACTATCACAGTACTCTCCGTTAGTGTCCTAAGACCCTTGTACCAAGACCACTGTTCCAAGACTAGTGTCTCAAGACTACTGTCCCAAGACCAGTGTCCCAAGGCTAGTGTCCCAAGACTACTGTCCCAAGGCTAGTGTCCCAAGGCTAGTGTCCCAAGACTACTGTCCCAAGGGTAGTGTCCCAAGACCAGTGTCCCAAGACTACTGTCCCAAGACTAGTGTCCCAAGGCTAGTGTCCCAAGACTACTGTCCCAAGACTAGTGTCCCAAGGGTAGTGTCCCAAGACCAGTGTCCCAAGGCTGGTGTCCCAAGACTAGTGTCCCAAGACTAGTGTCCCAAGGGTAGTGTCCCAAGACCAGTGTCCCAAGGCTGGTGTCCCAAGACTAGTGTCCCAAGACTAGTGTCCCAAGACCACTGTCCCAAGACTGTCCCAAGACCACTGTCCCAAGACCCTGTCCCAAGACCACTGTCCCAAGACCCCTGTCCCAAGACCCTGTCCCAAGACCACTGTCCCAAGACCCTGTCCCAAGACCCTGTCCCAAGACCCTGTCCCAAGACCACTGTCCCAAGACCACTGTCCCAAGACCCTGTCCCAAGACCACTGTCCCAAGACCCTGTCCCAAGACCCTGTCCCAAGACCACTGTCCCAAGACCACTGTCCCAAGACCCTGTCCCAAGACCACTGTCCCAAGACCCTGTCCCAAGACCACTGTCCCAAGACTGCTCTGTCCCAAGACTTCTTCGGTCTTGTCCCAATACTCGTCACGGAGTGTCTTCCTCGTTGTAGGGTCTTCTTGAACCACCGTACCTTGTACCACCACTCAAGCTCTAGTAAAATTTTCCCAAAAACCCTCTCTTAAAAGCCAAATGCTGACCCCCCTCTTCTTTTTGGTTGTTTCTTTTTCAATGTAGGTGCGCAGGTATCTTGTGATCACCTGTTCGTATAAAACCAAACACAAATCCTCAATAAAATGCAACAAAAATTTTAAGTAAGAAAAATAATAAAAACAGAAAAATGAGCCCACCTAAAATTTAAAGGTGACCAATGTCTACCTTTCGTCTAAAAAAAATGTCTGGTACCTAATTGCCACGCGTTTTCCTCCCCCCACTAGTGATCTTATGGGGTATCACAAAAGCTGTCTATATCCGGTCCCCCCTACCAAACCAACCAGCGTACCAGCCTTAACTCGAGTTGGATTTTGGATCTCCACCTAATATTACCAACGCGTGTTAATTTCTAATGTAACTAAGTCAACGATGTCGACTAATTAGTTACTCTAATTTCCCCCTTTTTGCAATTTACAACCGCCAACCTCTAGCCTAACCAGTCCCCCTTCTAACCTCCCCCCTTTCTAGCCCCCCTTCTTAAGCCTAAAAATTACTTTAAGCGCCGGGTACTAAACCTCTCAAGAGAAAACCGTAGACCTGTTTCCAGGCCTGCTCAAGTAAAAACGTTCCTCAAAACTGGGGGATTTCGCTTATCCAATTTTACACTTATCTCCTATAATGTAATGTGGATTCTAACGATACCCGTTCTGCCCAACTTGAGAACTCGAGAATTGCCAAATCCTTCTTGGCTGCTTTCCCACTCGACTGGTCACCTGTTCCAGTCCAGTCTCCTATTGGTTCAGCCAAGTGTCCCTGAACCACTTTCCCACTCGGCTGGTCACCTCTTCCAGTCAAGTCTCCTATTGGTTCAGCTCAAGTGTCCCTGAACCACTTTCCCACTCGGCTGGTCACCTCTTCCAGTCAAGTCTCCTATTGGTCCAGCTAAGTTCCAAGCTATCTGAAAACCCTTGACAACGCCCCACTTCGGGCACTTTATTCAGTTTACTGGTTTAAATTGCTAGGTTGATCGAAACGATTGAACTTGTAAAACAGTATGGGTATACTATTTAATTAATATAAAGGTTTGATCCAACTAATCTGGTGTCAAAGTCACTGTCTTTTTTCGTTTTATGGTTTTTGTTCCTTTTTCTATTCTTTTTTGGTTTTTGTTTTGCTTTTTGTCTTTTTGCTCGTGTTTTTGTCCCCCTAGTTGCCCCCCTTTACTCGGTTAGCTAAGCCTCGTTCGGAGAGCGTACCAGGAAATTTTCTCGAGTTTTCTTAAAAAGCTATCACGGTACAACCGGAAGGTTTGCACGTTCCTGTCGAACCGTACCGCCGGTACTCTAGAATGGGCATTCAGCCCGAAGCTGTCTCAAGTGGGTTCGACTCCGTAGTCTTGATGTCGTAAACACCCAGGAGCGCCATAAAAACACTATGTAACATTCGTCTACTACAGTCACACATGAGGCTTAAGAAAAATAGGCCCTATAACTATTGGCTCGGGAGTCAGGGACACTATCTCTTGTGTTTTTCCACCTCAAATCAGTCGGAGCCAATTCGGTTCGCTTGTGACATGAGACTACGACCCGCTACTGCTTAAGGCTACTACCAAAATATCCCCCCACTCTAGAATTAAGAACGTCCCCATACTTAGGTCTCTAGATACCCAAAATACATGAACGCCGTTAAAAACCGGGTTGGAACAATCCGTTAAGTTACTTTTTATTAGACAGTGTAACTTTGATCCATTTCAGATGGATCAACCTAAAACTCGCCTTACCTCAACATAACAATCATAAAACACACTCTAGAAATTAAATTAAGTACTCACATTGTAGCACGCTCAAGAACCAGGAAGTAAATAAGTCGGTAAACAACTCAAGAATCAATAAAGTAACTAAGATAAGTTTAATGTCAGTCAGTTTTAACAACAAGAACAAGTTTTTACTCTAGACTGCAGTTTTATGTGGACCATTGGGACACTCAAGCTGTCCACCTTTCCGTCGAAGGTTCACTCTGGTCCAGTTCGAATAATTGTTCTCTCGGGAACACTCTGTCTCCTATTTCAGATAGGACAGCTCTACTCTTGTTCACTATGATGGAAATTGCGAATTGCAATTTCACACTCGTTTTTATCTGACAACTTTCCCGCAATTGTTCTGAAATTGTTCTCATTTCTTTTTCTGAGTTTCAGTTATCGCGAGAAAATCGTGCATGACATGTTCCATTCGAAATTTTGAAAAATTAAATTTCACTCCAAAATCAAGTGTTTTCTGCTCTTCTCAAGGTCAAACTTCCAAATATGACCGACTGGCACATATGCACAGCTTGGTTTGAAAAAAGAACCCGTTCTCGGGGACCCTAAACTTCAAAAAGTCCGGTATAAGATCGTTTTTCAGACATTTTCTCAGAAACTTCAGTCTATGTACAGATACTTGAACTTCAAAATCATTCATAGTTGTAGTGCTTCTGAAAATTCGATAAACTGCGCTGTAAGAGACCATTTAAGATGGTCGAGCACTAGTTTCTATGATTTTTTACTCTTTATTATCAATCGTTAAAATGGTGAGGTGAGAATTGTTGAGCTCTATTTTTTTTACAGGGCACGTGAACGAGCATCACGAGACACAAATCGAACTTAACTCTATCGCTCCAGTTTGTCTATTCAATGTACACTTTTACCGGTTCATCATATAGTTAACACCAGATTAAAAGCTAGCTCAGCGCTACTGGGGTTTTTACCAAATTTACATAAACTCTGGGTTTTCAAAAGCTTAATCTTAAGAAATAAATCTTTTGGCTCTGGTTTCAGATTTCCCTATCAAAAATGTCTGAAGTTGAACTTTTGGATTATGAAGAGGAGGAGACTACCCAGGCGGACACTAAAGACACGAAAAGTCTGAAAGAGGTCAAGGGTATGTACGTGTCTATTCATACATCTGGGTTCCGTGATCTTCTGCTGAAGCCTGAGTTGCTCCGAGCAATCACGGACTGCGGATTCGAACATCCGAGTGAAGTTCAACACGAGTGTATTCCGCAAGCAATTTTGGGAATGGATGTGCTCTGTCAGGCAAAGTCAGGAATGGGTAAAACAGCAGTTTTTGTGCTGGCAACTTTGCAACAATTAGAGGTTACTGAAGGACAAGTTAGCGTGCTGGTTATGTGTCACACCCGTGAACTCGCTTTTCAAATCGCGAAGGAGTATGAGCGATTCTCTAAGTACATGGCAGACATCAAGGTGGCCGTTTTCTTCGGAGGTGTTCCCATCACAAAGGACAAGGAAACTCTGAAGTCAAACTGTCCGTCGGTTGTGGTTGGAACTCCTGGGCGAACTCTGGCGCTTGTGAAGGAGAAGGCTCTAAACTTGAAGAACCTGAAGCATTTCGTTCTCGACGAATGCGACAATATGCTGGAGAAATTGGATATGCGAAGAGATGTGCAAGAGATCTTCAAACAAACCGCGCATCAAAAACAGGTTCGCAAATTTTTGCAACTTAATTTCAAGCTTAAATGTGTATTGCCGGTTATTGTTTCGTTCATTGAAAGTTCGGAGGAATTTTGTATTCGGGTGTGTTATAGTTTTTCTTGTTTGTTTTCCACGAAAAATCAGGTACACCCAATAATCATCGGACTGGGTTGAGTGATATATCATAAGAATGCCCTCGCAGTCGTGATTCGAACCACTATTAAAAAAATTCAAAACATTTTCCCCGTGTCGAGAAAAACCGGATTGAAATTTTTGATTTTTCGTCTAATTTCGAGCGATTAATGCGAGCGAGCAGGCTTACAATAGGTCATTTTCGCTTAATTTAAGCCGTTTACAAAAGCTTATTTACGCTTAATTTTAGTTTGACTCGAGTAAAGTTAGTTTTTAGAGTTTTTTAACGCCATTGTGGGAATCAAAAAACTTCTGCAAAAAATTGAAAGTTTTTGAATTATTTTGGATTTTTTAAACGTTTTTTTTGTCAGTCATTTTACAGAGTCGATGAACTTAGTTCCGACTCCTATATAGGTCGCGATGATTTTTTTCCTGGAAAAGTCTATAATTTATTCAAGCTCAAATACTTGTTCGCGGTTTGATTTTTGATTTCTCATTGCTTGAGTTAGAAGGAAGGCAAACTCAAAAAATTGAACAGCAAAATATACAAGTCACGAGAAACGTGATCGAATTCTAGTTTCCAAAGTGGAATTCATTTTTCAGATTTCCCAACGAATAAAAAAGATTACCTAACGCTCCAGTTTTTCTCAGTTTGAGCTAATTTTATCAAAAAAGTCTTAATCATAAATTATTCTAGAACTTCAAAGATCTTTAAGGCCATCTTTTTTATCTTCGAAAGTTGAGATTGTTTCAAAAAAACAAGTCAATAATTTTTGTTTGCTTGCGTTCAATGACTCTTCCATTTTTTGTGTATGTTTCTTCAAGAATAGTCTGTTTTACAATTTGCCTATTTTATTATGATTGTCGAATATGCCTAAGTTCTAGTATTTTGTTCAGATCCTTTCATCACTTGCGCCGAAAAAAAACGCCACTAATTGAAAAAAAAAATGTAAAAATTTTTTAAGACTGGTCGGAACATTCTGTTCTGTGCTGCTTGTTAGCGTTATGAATCCTTTTTTTCCAATTATACAGGTGATGATGTTCTCCGCGACCTTGGACAACAGCGTCCGAGCAGTGTGCAAGAAATTCATGCAAGACCCTCTTGAGGTCTTTGTTGACGATGACACGAAACTGACCCTGCACTGCTTGCAGCAGCACTATATCAAGCTGAAGGACAATGAAAAAAACCGAAGGCTAATCAGTCTCTTGGACGTACTTGACTTCAACCAGGTCGTCATCTTCGTCAAGTCGGTCCCTCGATGCGTAGCTCTGAACGATCTTCTGATCGAACAGAACTTCCCGTCGATCGCCATCCACCGAGGAATGACTCAGGACCAACGTCTGAGTCACTACAAAGAGTTCAAGGATTTCCAGAAGCGAATCCTTGTCGCTACTAATTTGTTCGGACGAGGAATGGACATCGAGCGAGTGAACATCGTGTTCAACTACGACATGCCGGAAGACAGCAACACTTACCTGCATCGCGTTGCAAGAGCAGGAAGATTCGGAACCAAAGGTCTGGCAGTGACCTTCGTCTCCAGCGATGACGACGCACAGGTGTTGAACAAAGTGCAGGAGCGGTTCGACGTTCAGATCGCAGAACTGCCAGAAGAGCTGGATACTTCGACCTACATGCCAGAGAACCAGGCATCGAAGGATTAGACTGGACGAGACGACTGTACCATACGGAAAGTTGACTACATGTCGTGACTCGACAACCTTCAAAGTTTGTTGTCTGGGCAGTTAAATTTGCATGATACTGTCCGGCTGTTATATTGACGTGTCCAGTTCACCTATTTATGCTCTCGATGTTTTATATCGTTCGTATGGTACCGATTTGTGTTTTAATAGCGAACCCTGAATTTTCTGTTTTTGAATTGACTGTTTTCTTATTTTATTTTTAAGCCGTTATGTTGAACAAAAATGGAAATCTTTACTAGGCAGCCTCTTGATGCTGAGGTTAATCGTTGTTGCAATTTTTGACAAAACCGAGATGTTTTAAAGTCTGTACATTAGTTCAACCAAAATATAGAGCTGCATACCTTTCACATTTTTCATGTTCAGCTTTTTGGCGTTGTTTTTAAGAGTGAAATGAACATTTAGTTCCTTTAGTATTTTTTTTACATGCAAATAGCAAATCGGGTAATACATGTAATCAAATCGGGTACTAGATTTTTTTGCCTTTAAACAACATGATCAGTGTTTCACTTTTTACAAGCGTAGTGTAGTGTCAGTTTATGAAGTCCACTTTTTTCTAAGCCAAGTCGCAAATTAGGTGACAATTATACAGCAATTGCATTATATCTGGTTTACTTTTGATGCATTAGTATCATATCTTTATGTCAGGTTAATTGGTGGCTAGTGTTTGAAGATTTTCATGCGACCATGGCGAAGATATTAGTATATGTGAATCTTAATCTCGAGGTGGTGGGTTCGATTCCGGCGCAGCAGAATTTTTATTGTTTTTTTTCTCTCTTTTTTTTTACTCTTTAGAGATACTTTTTGCCGTTTTTTCTATTTTGTTTGCGAAGTGCAGCTTCGCCACTGTGTAAAATCAAAGTTCATTTATCTAATAGTTTTGATCTCTAAAACTCAAAGTTCGTTGTCATTACTAAGCATTTAGGTCATTTTTCTATCGGATGTTTGTGCGCAAGCAAAAACCGCTCTTCAATAAAAGCTGAAATATTATCACTTTTTCATAAACATCGAGGTTGCCTGCAAAATAAATAAAAATTAACAATGGAGACACTTTCACCTTAAATGATAAAAGAAATATTCGGTCTTAGAAATGAAAAAAAAATGGGGAAATTTATTCAAAATGTTTTAAAAAATGCGCTTCAAGAGTTTCGTTATTGGAAGGAACATCACATGCGGAGTTGAAACATAAACTTCTATTATATTATAATGCCTTTTTTCACGCTGTTGGTGTAGCATATTTTGATCTCCAATTAGGAAATAATGGTTTACGTGGTATTGTTATGTGAGTTGATGGATTAAAATCAATTGAATAGACTGAGGTTTCTGAATTGATATGAGCACTTGATTTATTGACTACTCAAACGGCAGTGCCTAAGTTTAGATGGTTAAGCGATTGACTCTTGAAAAGTAAGAGGTCTTGGGTCAGACTCAGAGTTTGGCTCTTTTCCCCATCTCTCTTTGAAATTCAATTGACAGAAACCTAATTAAAAAGAAGTGAGATTTTCTGAAGGCCAGTAAAGTGTGTCAGGGTGATTAAATGCTATTTTTCTGCATCATTTACATGCAATGCAAACTTCCATTTGAAATTTTTTAAAACAATTCTATATTGTAGTTTAACGAGAGGCTGGGAACTGGAAAAGAGCCCAGACTAGGCACGTAACACGAGATGCTTGGGATACAAAGTGACTTCGCTTTTTTTAACTTAAAAGTGATCAGTCCGATTTTATTATCTTCTTACAGCTCAAATTCTACATTTAACAAAAAATGTGAGTGCCAACACTTAGAAGGTCTCGCCAAGTGTCTGTCTATTAAGCATCAGATAGTGAATTTGATCCAAAGCTGTTGGTCAAATTAGATAAGTCAATAATGATATCATCTGAAGCTTTTTCAAGTTACCTTATTTCTCTTCTGAGCGCGAAGCAGTTCGCATCTGTTACATTAACCTTGGAAATGTCCAAATGTTATCCGAAATATGACATGGCAGACCATTGATTATTGTTTGAAACTAGAAAGTTATCAGCTTTTGGCGAGCTTAATTTTTTTGGCTTGATTCTCAATAAATGAATTATGAAATTTAAATGCCTTCCAAGTTTTAAAATGAGAGGGTTTAGTGGCGTCGAATTGTAGAATGTCAACTGGTGATCGGAAGTGTTTATAAACTAAAAAGCTGACAAAAAGCTCTTTGCCACCAGAAAAAAATATATTGGATTCATTTGTGTTCATTAATACGTGAAATTCTTTTGAAACTTTTCAGTCGTATTTTCGACATACACTGAAAAAAGTCACTTAAAGGAAAGAGCAAAGACGGAGATTCAGATATGATTTTGTTACATTCAACTAGTAATTGGAACTGTCTTTGAAGTTTGTTCAACCCCATCTCCCTACCGCACAAAAATCTCCATCTTAGACTCAAATGGAATTTATACTTAACCTTTTGTTATACCACAATTGCACTTTTTCCAGATGTATCAGTGTAGCAATTTTGAATCTGTAAACTAACTGGAGAAAATGTTTTTCTTGATGTTTATGTGAGTTCCGTTAATAAAAATGCAATTGACTAGGCAGGAGACCGAAGGCTTAGCTAGTTAAGCGATTGGCTTATAGCTGTGTGCATGTTTATTGGTTATAATAAGTTTTCGAAGTCGAACAACTTGAAAATTATTTTTGATGTTCTGAAAGAAAGAGTCAGCGTGAACAAGTGAACATATGAGGGGTGTATGGGTTGTGAGGAGATTTAATCGGAAACAGTCCAGATTTCAAAGCACTAATTACTTGCAAAATGCTGCATGAACAACCAATAGGCCAGTTAATAGCATGTGTTTTATCGCAATAGGAAATACAATATTTTTTTTTTGCTGAAGGGTAATAAATGGTCTTCGTTAGTGTTATCTCTGACACGTCCGATACTGAGCACGGTTCCCCGGTGTCGCATTATGCAAGATTAAGTCATCTGAAAAATGAAATCATCTGAAGCAGCTTCTTAAAAATTTTCCTAATGTATCCTCTGAGAGCGTAGTGCAGCTTCGCATCTTTAGCATATTAACATTTTGGATACGTTTTAAATTGATAGCATTTTTTATGTAAAAGCTGACCGCCTGAAAGACCAAGTGCTAATTGTAGAAAGGGCTGATGTTTTATCAGAAATTTGATGCTCCCAAAGTTTGCTAGCAATCCAGAAATTTGTTTGCGTTAAACTTTATTCGTCTTGATTAAGTTTCAATTTTAATTGGAGGAAAAAAACGAGCTATGAAGTCCGTTTTTGTCGGACCAGCTAGTTCGAAAAATTAGTTTCAAGGAAAGAATAAAAAGGAAATTCATATATAGTCTTTGTATCTGATTTCGTTCACCAATAAAAACCCAAACATCGAAGCTTGTTCAACCATCTAACAGCAAAAATGCATAATGTGTTATAGCTTCCGGTTTTCAACCACATGATGGTATTTTTTTTACTTCTGAGAGTCGTAGGCTTGAAACCGCACAAAAGAAAATATCATATGCTATTTTAGATATTACCATTTGCTTTATATGTACGCAAGAGTTTGAGTTGTAATTTTTGAAAAGTTCTCAAATTGTGATAATGGTATTTAACTATATTACAGCGACTTTTCACTTCGACGAAGCTACTTTTGTTCATTTTTGATTAAATGCTTTTCTTTTCGCCTGAACAAACGGATAAAATTATTTTTGTCTCAGTTAAATAGCTCTCATATTTACGCCACCCGACTATTTTACTCTTTCGCCAGAGAACAACAGATCGATAAATATCTTCTTTGCTGGCCGTTGTTTTTGAATATAGTGTAAATTACCCGGGTAAAGTCAATGGATCCGCCTACTTACGAAGAGTCTTCAACTCAACCACTTGTTGCTGTCGAATCGCCAGGAAAAACATCACAATGGTCCCAGCCAGGGCCATATGCACCACAAGTATGTAGGATTCAGATATCAGTTCGTTTTTCAGCAGTTTCGTGGCTTTAGCCGTTCATTGTAGAGGTATACGCATCATTTTCTTATGTTTTGAACAGTTTGCTTGTATTTTGCAGTAGCTTTCCTGGTTAAGTTATTAGCCGTGAATACATTTTTCGCCATTCCACGCTATACTTTTTTGTCCTATCTCTTAAGCGAGGTTGTAGGAGGAATGAAAAATCGTGTATGAATGTGTAGCTCAGAATGTTCCGAAGGTTCTTTGAGAATATCTCAATAGTTTTTGAGAATCTCGCAACTAACTCATTTGATTGCTTTTTGATGGTCAATTCAAGTTGAGTATCTGATTCAGTACATTTAGTGAAAATGTCCATGCTTTTGGAAGTTAGAGGTCGGGTTGTCTCGAAATATCTGAAATTATGATTTTTACTGATTACCGGAACAATGAAACAGATTCTTGTTATTTTTTGCGTCTTCAATGATTACAGGAACAATGAAATAAATTGTTGCTTTTTAATGCATCGCAAGTGGCACGAAGCTCCGCTTCGCCTCTGTGTAAGGAATTAACGCAATTTTAGAATGTCTAAAACTCCTTTGAGAAAATATAAGAGTCATGTATAAAATCCTCACTTCATTAAAAAAAAATAACTAGGGAAATTATCAAGGCATTTATCTTTGGAATTGTGCGGCTAGAGCTAATTAAGTAAAAATAGATACAGTAAGCTGCGTTGCCATGCCATGGCGCCCAACAAACGGTCATAGAGTCCTTTGATTAGGGTTAATTGATGCAATTTTAATCATTTGAACTGTAGTTCCTGCTCTGAACAAAGTTATTCTTTAAGTACAACAAATTCAAGTAACAAGAGCTTTGTGGGTTATGGGCTGCAAGTGCTTGAAACTGTTCTGATTTTTTGTCGCTACTCCCGACAGGGGCGGATTTAGGATTTTCTCGAGTGGCGGAGATCGGATTTTCAAAAAATGTTTGAAAATTTTGTCGACCTTTTTTAGGCCGACCAAATTGATTTTCCGAGAACACTTAAAAGACCCTTTTTAGGCCAAGTTTTCTTGCGCCGCAAGCAAATTTTTGAAAAAACGGGTAGCCGAAAATGCATGTCATAAAATCATACCAAAGTGGGATTCTTTTTGTTGGTTTAGGGTCAAATCTTTGGAAGAGGAAGAGGCGTCCCCCCCCCCCCCTGAATTCGCCCCTGAATCCCTGCCTAAACAGTTGGAAAATTTTTGTGTGCTACAGTTCCGGTATCGTTTCTGATGTTAAGTCTAAAAATTAAAACTGTGCAAAACAGTTATTATTGAGTTGTTTTCGTTTTATATCGAGTGTTCAAGGCTACGGCCATGACAATATGTACAAATCTCCTTCAACAAATCGGAATGTAGATTTTCTTTCTACAAAACGGTTTGTTTTCCGCTTGTATTTTTTTCGGAGCGGTAGCAAAGTTTGTTTCTGTACCCTCCAGTTTTTTTCATGCAAGATGTCCAATCAACAAAGAGAAAAGATAGGCTCAAACATAGTTATTTTAAACAAAATTCAATTCTTGTAGACCAACGGGTATAAAAACAAAACAATGTCTCAAAACGATAGCTTGGAACTTTCTTGGTATGTATATTTTTATCAGACCCTAGCTCTCCGAACACCCGTACTTACGCCCAGCGCCATCTATAGTTAGGTTCAGAAATTTGCAGATTCAATGAGTAACTCTGAACAATTTTAGTACTGCTTAAAGTTTTGATCTCTTCAAGCCTGTTATTGTTCCGAAAAAAGTGAGGAATATATATGCCTGGGGTGGTTTTTTTTAATTCAGACCAACTGTACAGCGTATGGGTATGGATTCGGAAATCTTTGGATTGCCAATCGAGCATATGCTGTGCTATACTAAATTGCGGATGGCATCGCTGCTCGAATAATACTTTGATAGTTTCAATTCGCGAATTATTTATGCGTAACAAATTATCCGCTCTCACAATCGTTTCAAATTGAATGGAGGCCAACCATAGTTGATCTTATCAATTCTTCTCAATTTGTAGCGCATGTATTTGATATTGGCAGTACACATTTCGTTGTTCCGACTTTCGATACGAAAGTAACAGAATATTTGTGCTCGGGTGGGTTTTTTTTTCTTCAGACAAACTTCGGCTTTTTACCTAGCCATTTTTGACGGAATTGTTTTATATCATTCAAAAGGTATTGTTGTCTTGCGCTTAAATTTGAAAAGATATTTCACCTGTGATCATTTTTCGTAAAGTTATGGGGGTTTAAAGATAGCCATTTTGGCCAATTTGGGACAATTAACGCGCGATAAATTTCGCCCTAATAACGCGTAAGCGGAGATTTAATCCGTCTTAGAAATCGTTCCAAATTGGTTAAAAGAAGCTTATTTGCCATAATTGATCTGTTACAAGGAGCGAAATCAATCCTTTTGTACTTAATATGGCGTGTGGGGGGATGATTTTCATAAAAAATTTCAAATTTCAGAAAAAAGTTTTCATTTTATTTTATTACCTTTAATTTTTTTTATAGGTTATTACTGCTCCAAAAACATTAAAAGGCAGTTGGAACATTCAGGGCTTCGCCCTGATACGAGCAGTCTTGTTGTATATACAATTTTTTGAACAAAAATTATTCGAGACCAGTTAAGGGTGTTAGTCGGAATATTCAGGGCTTTGATTGATATACGAACAGTCTTGTTCAATTGAAGACTTGAAACTAAATTATTCGTTCGGTAAATTGTTTTCTTCATTTTTGAGTTGTTCGGCGAAATAAACATTGTTAATTTTAATCTTTTTACTCGGATGCTTTTAGTTTGTTAGAATCATACTTGAGCATATTCTTTACACTTGCGAGAGCAAAAATATTGCAACCGTGTACTAGACTTTTTGTTCCGACTTTCGTAACGAAAGTAACGGAATATTTGTGCTCGAGATGGGTTTTTTTCTTCAGACAAAGTTTTGCCACTCCAGACAAAGGTGAATTCAAGTTTTGTCACTCCTTCTAATTTTGTCGAAGCCAAATTCACTTGTATCTTATGATTTGTAAATCGAAATCCGCGTTTTTAATAGTAGAAGTATGAAAACTCTGTGCACTTTTAAGAAGCCTTCAATAGATAGGTGTACAATCTAAAAATTTGGCTGAAAAATAGTTTTTTTAAAGTTGGAATGTTGTTTGCTTTCTTTCAAACCAAACGCGCAGCGGATATCGTCATCAAATACCCATTTGTTCTTTCGATGAAGTATTTTGTTACTTTTTCATGGTTTCAATGCACTGAAATACTATTTTACTTGCGAGCGCATGTGTGCTTGTAATCGGAAACTAGGCTTATTGCTATTACGCTTTTTTTCTATAGGAAATTGACCTTGCTTTACTATGAAAAATAAGTAACTTCCAGGCTCCCTCCAGCTGTCACGTGAAAGAGTGCCTGCCGTGGGATCCTAAGGGTGGGACCGCTCGGACCGTCTTTTCGACATGCATGGAGTTTTTTTGTCTAATTTCGTCTTTCATATCGTTTGTCTGCTTATTTTTTGTCGGCTTTTTTCCAGAGCATGGACGTTTCTTCTGATCTAAGCCATTTTTACTCTATTTGAAAGTCTTTCTATAATTTATAAATGTACAGATTCTGTTTTTGTATAATTTTTTTTCGACTTTTTTTTGTTATAATGGCTTGGTAACCTTGTATTGCCTTTTTTGAAGGGCAAGAGTAGGTTTTTATGCTTTTGTGTGTAAGGCCTGTGTAAGTATCTTAATCTGTAAGTATTTCTTTCAAGCCTTATTTCTGTAATTGATTGAATTTTTAGAGCTCTTTGCCTTTTTTGCTTGTCTGCGAAGTGCAGCTTCACTTCTGCGTCTGAATGTATTCGGTGATAATGCTTTAGAGATATTCTGTTTCAGCTACAAGGCTCGTCAAGCATTACAAGGCCTCATACAAATAATCATTACTCGTTGGTACCATTATCAGCTCCTTTGCTGTCCTTCAACAAGAACGATCATTTAGGCATAATTACAGAAGAGAAGATTCTGAACGCCTTGGATGTGTATTTGGCGAAAAGAAGCTGGTTCTCTAAGCAGCGCGAAAACCCCGGGATTTTTTATCGATCAAGTTTTTCAGGGTAGACTTCAAGCTGAGATACAAATTGAGTACGTGGACAGAAAGACGCTTCTCGCTTCCTGAAGATTCTGAATATGCAAGGTTGGTCAGAATTACAGTCATTGGACGGCGAAGTTGTAGGTTTTGGTAATTCTTTCCCCAAATAATTTAGACGAATTATGATAACTGATTAATGAAATGTTTGAGAGGGTCTAAGCGTACTAGCTTATGGTGTTTTTACTCTTGCGATAACTTTGTTCACAGAATGGTCAAAATTGGAATGGTAAATTTAGGTGCAGTTAATAATGAATTCCAATTTCTATGCGTCTCCGGCACACTTAGTCTGAATGTAACGAATACGCCTGGGACAGCAAAGGTCCTAGGTTCGAATCTGAATTAACGCGTTTTTTTCTAACAGCAAATAGTCCGTTTCAAAAAAAATTGTGGGCTAATTTTGGCTGCTTATGTTTTGTCGGCTTAGTTGCTATATTGTAGAATTGTTTTTTTAAAAATTTTTATTTACATGATAATTGCTATTAGTGTTGTTATCTGCCTCTGGTGTTTTTGATTTTACTAACCGTGACTTAGTATATATATGTAGTTTTTTTGCTAATTTTTTTTTCTGCCCAAATGATTTCGCCCTATCTTTTATCGGCTTAGTGACCTAATTTTCGAGTCGTTTCAACGGAAACATATTTTTTCTGCTCATATCTGGATCACACAAAAGGCTAAAAATCTTAATAGAGTTTTTAGCTCAAGCTTTTCATGAAAACAATTTTTTTCCGGCTTTAGGATTTGCTTTAGGAGCTGCCACCTATATTATATCGCCTTATTGGACTCGTATTGTGTCTTTAGATGATCGAGAAATTTCCGTGTGTGCTTGTCTTTGTTTTGAGGGTGTGCGGACGTTGGCAAAAAAAGGTGTGGGACGTTGGCAAAAAAACGTGTGGGGGACGTAAATACCTCTTATTTTTCTTAAACTTTTTGAATTTTTTCCGGCTTTTTTTGTTTTCTTTTTTAAGTTGTAATGGGTGTCGGCTTCTGTTATATCAGTTTAGTGGCCTCATATTGTATTGTATCATTTGACGAGAAAATAAAGTTTTTTGAGTGTTTGTGTGTTTTGAGTGCGAGGGTTTGTGTGTTTCGCTTTTCATTAGTCTTGTTTATTTTTTTTCGACTTCAAATTTTTCTGACAAGGTGTTTTCGGTTTTGTTACCGCTGGGTAGAAAATCTTCCGATGCTATTTCTCATTCTTGGCATGTTTTTGTTTCAAAAAAACCTTATTCATTTTTATATATATATAATTTTTTCGAATTTTCAATTTTTTCCTGTTCTGTATCGCTAGTGTATCGCTGTGTAGAATAATTAAACTCGGTAGAGAAGCATGTTTGTTCTCCAAATATTCTTGAAAGTTGCATGGATGATAAATATAAAATTGCACAGAGATCAAAACTCCAAATTTTGGTGATTTATTACTATAGTTGGCAGGATCAATTTAAATAGCTGGATCGCTTTTGCTTATACTTGGAACAGTATATTTGTGATTTATTTCAAAAGCCAAATTTTTCTGGCAAAAATTTGAATTTTTGAAAACAATTTCATTTGGTAGACTAGCGTATTTGCATAAATTATCTTAGTAGCATAAACAATTGATTGAAACTGAAATGACTACATTATCCATCATAGTTCTCAAATTTAATACATGCACTATACTCAAAATTACCACCTATTGTAATATATCACCCAAAATCTGTGAAGTAGCATCTTCACCATCGACTTTTCCTAAAATGAGGAACTTGAGCTAGCATGAGTGCCCAACGGGAGGTCTCAATCATGTTTTCACAAGGCGTTCATAGTTTTAACTAGAACTTACATAGAGAACAACCTAGTAGAAGACGGCAAGTTTTTATTAACGAGCTTTCCACAAGTTGTGCCCAATATTGCGTAGCGGAGCAAGGATTCACCAATTGCCAGTCTGTCATGCCAAAATAACGTTAAACTAGAAGTCAGACGAAAATTGAATTAGAAGCATCTTAACAAAATATGATTTCGGCGCAACTGATAAAAAATCGGTACGGCTAAGAAAATTCCATACTGAGCCCTCTTTTCTTTTTGATAGGGTCCAAAAAATGTCAATATAAATGCATGATTGTTTGAACGCAAGATTCTAAGCGTATTGGCCTCTGTGAATGATTTTAACCAAGCAGTTGCGAGCATTCCGTCTAATATTTTAAAATGTGCGCCTTTTGAGTTAATAGATTCAAAGTTATCGATATTATTAAACAAAGAAAAATGTTCGGCTTGCTTGCTCAGGGAGTCCGTTTTTAGTTAAGTGATGCATTGGTTTACTGACATGTGTCCTAATCTTTTGGCCCATGTTTCGGCTCTCATGCTCATCGCCTATGACCTCTCCTGCAACGATTCCGAAACAACCGAAGTAGTGATGGGTTTTCACAAATGCCAAAATTTATAAACAATCTCATTTTTGCAAAAATAGGACATCATTTATAAACAGAAACAAGGGTAGCCGGTGCTACTGTGCATGTATCACAGAATATTCCGACCATAGTCCTCAAAAAACTACAAGAAATTTTGTAATTGTTTCTGCATTGTTTGATAAAAGGATCTGACGTTAAACTATCCTTTAGGTATATTCGACATTCATAGTAATATAAGCAATCAGGACAACAGTTTTTAAAGAAAAATGACAAGAAAAAAATTCAATTTTTTTTCTTCAAATAATCAACAAAATAAGCGTGCTCGCTCGCTATATTCGCTCGAATTTAGACTAAAAATCAATAATTTAAAACCGGTTTTTCAACACTGGGATTTTCGTTCGAAACACGGCTGAAAAGAGTTAATTTTGATATATCACTCAACTCTCTGTGATGGTTTTTTGTGGTTGCTGATTGTGCGTGGAAAACAAGAAAAAAGAAAAAAAGTTAAAACACGCCCCAAAACAAAGTTCCTCATCATTTTTCAAATAGTCGGAACAATTTTCAATCAGGCGATACTGTAGGCGGTAGACAAGTTTTTAATTAGTTAGTTTTTACTTCGTTTTTAAAATATTTTCGTATCGAGAGACACCCGGTAAGGGATGGCCGTTTGGTTGCTGAGGCATGGCCGAAAACGGTATAGAGAATAAGATCTTGTTAGTCTAATATTTTTTTTGCCTTACATTTTTACACTTGCGAAAGTAAGTGTCTTGTAATTGTGAACTAGATTTTTTCCCGTTAAGAATTTCTCTTACAAATCTGAAAGAAATTGAAGTTGCTTTATTAGTTAACCGCAGCAACTTCGAGACTCCTTCATTCTTGACCTAGAAGTAGCGTGGTTGCCTGTTTTTCATTAGGTCTGGAGTATGAGTCCCGGCCATATCTTTTTTTTTCATTATTTGTATTGATTTTTTTTACAGGAAAATTTGAAATGTCGGACTATCGTTTGTCTGCTCATGTTTTGTCTGCTTAGTAACCTCATCGAGGTCTTTTATTGTGCTGTCACCAATGATCATCGTAGATGCAAGTTTTTTTCAATTTAGTGTAATTTGTAAAATTAATAACTTTGATGTTGTTTTTCCTTTTTTTCGCGTAAAAGCTTTGTTCGGCTTTTTTTTGGCTTTAGCTACCTTAGGCAAAAATGATTGATTTCAAACTTAATTGCTTAAAGTTTTTTCGATTGTGTTATTTAAGTTTTAGTTTCTATTTGCTTACTTGCAATACGGCGCTTGCGTTGTGTCGCAGGTGATGAGAAACTCAGCTTTGCTTGTGTAGAAAATTTAAAATCAGACTAGTAAAATGAAAAATGTTTGTACAAATAGAACAGATTTTTTTGCTGTCAATGAACTATGGTACAAATAGCACATCACGAAAAGTAGTTTTTGACAAGTTTTCTTAGCCAAAAATTGAATTTTTTATGAAGTGATTTTAGCTTATAGACAGTTAAAAGTTTTTTCTTGGTAGTTTTTTTTTTGACAGGAAAGTTGCTCTAATGACATATTATAGCTTTTATGATTGCTTTTCGGTGTACATGAACTTTTCGAGGTCAGTTCAATTTAGGTGAAGTGCTACTAATTAGGTGAATTGCGCTGTCCAATTACGAAAGTGAAAATGGAGCAAAAAAACGTGACCGACTTCTAGTTTCGAATTGGATTTATATTTAAAGATTTCCCGGCAGAAAAAAATTTAAACATTTATCCAATGATCCAGTTTTCTTAATTTGGGTTGATTTTACCAAAAAAAATTTTTTTTCGTAAATTGCTATTGAAGTGCATAGAGCTTTGCTCTGACATATTTTTTTCTTCAGATTTATATATTTTGTCTATGTTCTTCTCTAGCATGCGTCTTTGATAGTCTGTAATGATGTGGCTTGCTTCACAGAGCTATGGGATTTTTTTTGGTACTCAGGATAAAACGCAATGGAGTATAATGTCCAAAGCGAAAATGGTGGAGTTCTTAAATAGTCATTAAATGACCGTTTCTTTCTGACTTTGTTTACCCTTGCGATCTAAGTATGTGTTGTTGCATGTCTTTGTTGCTTTTAGACCGATATTAGGGGCGCGTCCGGCAAGCTCTCGCAGAGCTAAGGAACGTTTTACAGTGCTCTATCGGTCAGAGCCACAGGTCTGTTGGGGTCAGTGAAGTTGGGTTGTTGGGACAGTTTTACAAGATGTAATGTAGTGTGGGGTGCTGGGCATTGGGGCAGTTAGGGAAGACGTTCGGGTCTATCCTATTGAAAAAAGTGTTAAAGTAGGGACTGTAGCCGGATCTTATTTGAGCGAGGGTGCGCCTAGTTGAGCGGGCTTGTGTCAGTTCTGTTGAAGAGACCAGTGCTTGTCTTAGAGGGAAAATTTTTGGTTGTTGGCTTCATCAATGGCTGTGTGGTCAATGGGGCTCATTTTAGTGCACCAGCTCATTATCCGAAGAGCTGCATTCTTCACCGTTTGCACTTTAGTAAAAGAAGTCTCACCGGCATCATGGGGCCAAGCTGGACAGGCGTAATCAATTATCAGTCTGATTAAAGTTATGTAAGTTACTATTAGAGTCTTTCGAAGACCTCAGTTTGTGCCCGGCATTTCCTTCAGTTCCGCTGTCCTGCGCATGGTTTCACTTGATGATTGTCGGCAGTATTCGGAGAAATTAACAGCCAGATCGAAATTGGCACCAATTTTTTCAGGGTACACTGGTAAAAGCGAGATTCTCATTGCTACTTTTTGGGTCAAGATTAAATTTTGTGATTGGATGAAGTATAAAGACATAATGAACCTTTGGTGGAGAAAAAAACTAAGTTTTCTGCTGGTAAAAATTTGTAGTTTTTGAGACAGCTACTCAGTGTAGTGGAGGCGTGTTTTATTCACTCAATTGGATGAAAGGAGTGAAAGTCATTGGCGCAAGACTGACGTTTTACTTATGGGGGATTCGGGTGCATCGTGCACGTGGAAATTTAAAAGTGTAAGTGAGATAACTGAGCCTTAAGGGATGCCTGTACGCAGATTTGATGTAGACCAGTCCTCGCTTTATTGCGTCTCGGCTTGCCTGCCACTTAAATAACCTGTTGGTCATCTTGTTAAGCTTTCAGGAACACTGGTGTTACGTATCAGTTCTAACAGTGCGATGGCTTACCATGACGAAAGCCTTAGAGAGATCTAGAGTTTCAAGTACAGTCCTTTCAGGGGGTCGCAGTTGATTAAAACTATAGCTAGTATAAAATTGAAGAGTAGATAAGGCCGTTGTTGTTGAGTGTACGTGTCGGAAACCGTGCTGATGAGCTGTTTTCGGGAGGAATTTTGATAGGGTTGGTTGGATTAAAGTTTCTACCGCAGGGTCTAAAGTTGAAGCAGGGCTGCAGTAGTCTGAGATTTTTGAATCTTTGCTTGGGTTCGCCGAAGAAACGATTTCTTCTCTCAGATTTGAGGAACTTTGTTTATTGTAAGAGATGCGTTAAAAAGCTTATATATAGTTCTAGTTATTTGACGTGGACTGTGCAGACGCCGTCATCAGGGCCCAGTGCTCTTAATGGTTTTGCTGCTTTTATGGCTGCCTCAGTTTCAAACATAGCAAAAAGTAAAGTGGCTCGTTCAAACTTAGTTTTGAAAATTTCCTTTTGGTTTTCCGGTGCACTTAGTCCGACTTGTGGACTCTCAATTTAGTGAATTGCACGATAAACGCGTTTGCTATTTCTTTTGCCTTCGAATGTTTTGTTTCATTGGAAGATACAGATTGATCCTGCTACCGATTTTGTTCCGTTTAGGAAGCGGATCTTTTTCACAAATTACTGGACTCGTGCTGGCTAAACATTCTCAGGAAGTCGTGCCACCTTTTCTTTTTTTTGCACTTTTCTTTGTCAAGTTAAAATTTGAGGTCTTTAAGACAGGATTTGATTTGTTTTGTAGCTTAAAGCCGGAGTATAAAATTTTTGACGCTCTGTGGGTATATGTTGCCTTGCTGCCTTTAAAATGACGTTTCTTTAAAAAAAAGGTTTTAAAAATTTTCACCCTTGCTAACGTCGTTCATAGAAACGGTGTTTAAAATTTGCTTTCTATTTCCTCTGTAAAATTATCCCAGTTTACTTATTAAAATTAAACGTTTTTCTTGCAGAGAACGGGATTTGTTCAGTTAAAGGGAGATATTAAGTTTGTCGATGACGCTAGAGAGTTAAATATTGATGACGGTAGAGAGATGTCAGGGGAAGTTACAGATGTGTTACTAAATGGTAAGCGGGTCTGATTATGACCATTTAGTTGGATGAAAATTGAGTCCGTGATTTCTGCGCTTAAAGAGGCCCCTCTGTTGTCTTCTGGTATATTTAGATACCATAGGGCTTAGTGGGCATTAGCGTCTCCCACGACGATTGCTTTATCTTCTGTGAGCATTTGAACCACCAAAGCCTTAGGTTATTTAGGGCAACTGCACGCAGGGATGCAAATTTGTGAAATTCAGGCTTTTTTGTGTGCTAGTATTTTGAAAACTGGGGCTTCCGAAGTCCTGTCTTCCACGATTTACAGGTCATCGTACTCCATCGATGTATGTTTGACAGCTGGCAGGCCTTCTCATTCGCTGCTGGTCTCTCTCCTACAGTGTAGTTGGGACCAGACGAGAGAGTACAATTTTTCTCAGTTCTTCAGTTTCTTGGAAAACTGCCTTGTGTATCTGGAATTCACACATTAGTGATACTTTTTGGGTGCTTTCCTGGATATGCTATTTCAGTTAACTTTTAGGGAGCTGAGGGGTTTAGCGGGTGGAGTAGGGCTAGCCGTAAGGGTGTCTCTGAGATATAGGGGATTGCTTTGGTTAGTCGGGGGGCTTTTAGCTTGGGAACAAGTGTTTGTAACACGTTGAACACGTTGATTTTTCGTTCTTTGTCTATTAGAGCTGTTTGATACTAGAAGGGATGGGATGTGATTATTTTTTCAAGTGAAGAAGTAAAATTTTTTATGGTATTCTTTTAAATTTGCGCGTCCACTGCAATTGAGATTGATTGATCTGCATATATGGCACCACACACTCGCTTGTTTGCTTGCAATTTTTGAGTAACTTAGGGAATAGCTAAAGGATTCGGATTGATGCCGGCACGTAAAAATAGGATAAAGATCAATAGACGGAGCCGCCCAGCCGATTTTGGCTGCTTCGAAACCAAATACCCAGTTCGAGCATGCTCTCTGCGCTCCCAAAAAACGGGAGGGTTTTACTGGTGCCATTTGCGGCGACTGTAGACGCGCTTCGGGTCCACCGCGAGAAGGCGACGCCGCTGGACTCAGTTAATTTTTATACCAAGCTGTTACAAGTGTACCTTTGATTTGTTTGAGCATTTGTTTGTAGTGATTTGTGGTCGCACATTCTGAAGCCGGACAAGCAATAGTGGACTGGGCACAAAGCTAAGCATCTTGGATGGCGATGGGGCAGAAGGCATGGTCAAGTTGGATCAGAACAGTTAGCTAATGATTACCTTATAAAGAAGTCTGTGAAAGTTGGAACTGTCAAAATATATTTAAAATAGTAATCTTGACAGAAATGAGCTGTCTGCCAGTGTGTTGAAAAGAATTAAGTTGCGTTGGCAGAGCGTTTTTCGAAGAATTCTGACTGTTTCAACTTTTGCTATCCAAGAAAAAAAGAAGAATTCTCGCTAATTATGGACTACATTAACGAACAATACAATCTAATAAATATTCGAGACTCAAGTGTGTAATAGATTAATGGAAAAAAGTCTTTGAATGGCAAAAGAATAAACATGAAATTTGATTTCTTTTTTTTTTCATTTTGAAACGTTGTTTTGTATTTTGCCGATTAAAAGGAAAAAAGATTGTGGACAACAAGGATGCATTTTTTCAAAATAACATAAGTCCACAAGTAACCCACAAACTCAATATTAAAAAAAACATATAATTGGAAATTCGAATGAGCCTAATTTTTTCATCGAGATATAGAAATTGTAACTGATTTTAAATGATGCTATTTCGTAGCACTGTTGGATTTATCAAACTTTTCCTCTCAACTCCTAATGTAAACAAGTATGGATATCCACCCCATAAAGGACTAATTCAACAGTTAAGCCTAATCGAATGTGCTCCTTCATACGAATCCTTCTTATAAAATAGGGAGTGGGGAGGGGTATTGAAAGAGGTCTGCAGTGTTTGAACAGCTGGACAGTTAACATGCAGTAACGCGGAGTTCTGCGAAGATGAATCGTAGCAAAAAAAATGAATCAAGAGTTATGAGTATCTTAGCCTAAAATTGGTTCAGATCCGAAAATATCCTTACGGCTGTAGTATCCTTAAATATTACTGGGATCCGCTCTAAAAATTAAATGCGATCTATTTTGTTTTTCAGTGCTCGGTACTGGTTCTAACTGATTCAAAACACTCAGTATTTCACTGACTGTTTTATCAAAACTAGTAAAATGTGTTTAGAGTAGAGTGGCGTGTTATCGCTGAGTACTCTGTGACAGACGATTACTATTTCGAAGGAGTGAGTGTCGGAGTTCCTGAAAAGAAGTTGGAAACAGCAGCGAGAGGAGTTACAATATACAATGACGAAAGCCTTCCATTTATTGCACCCCTTCCTCCCTACAAGGCTTCGGCGTATCTGAACGATGTTTCAATTAAACTGCTCAAGGATCATCATGACAGTTTCATGCAAAGTGTGTTGAAACGTGCGCTCAAGCAAAAACACAGTCTGATGGCAATTCCTGTAGCAACAGTATATCTGGTCTATAAGGGAAAGCCATTCAAGATGTGTTTATATGGATCTGAACTGAATATTCATTGTCCAGATATGGATTCATCGTCATGCTCAACTTTGTAACAAAAAATCACCCCCAATCTTCTGGAGATCACTCGTTCTTTTTTAGTTTTTTGTTTATTAAGTACTGATAGCTAATTGTAAATAAGATTATTTAGTTTCCTAATGCGAAACATTTTTCCTGATGCTCTAATGATCTATAATATATTTAAATGCGGGCATCACTATCTCGCCACGTTTAATGTTTTTCAACGTATTATTTTTGCATGTTTAGGAAATTTTTTTCACGTTTAAGCTGTATCGTATATTGCAATGGCTCAGACTTTTCTTCGATTTTTCAGTTGAATTCAGTGTATATTTAACCGAGTTTAAAATAAGCAGCCTAATAGTAGAATGTTGTCAGGGTTCCCCAGAAGTTGCGAGTTTGACCTCCAATTATGAAGTCTTTGTAGTTTATGAGATATGACGTTTTTTGTGATTTTTTTAAAATTTGAGATCCCCTATAGTTGCGTGCAGTCAGAGTACTTTCAGGGGTTGCGAATGTTGCCTCCGAACTTGACTGCTCAAATCTTTGTAGTTTTAGACATGACCTTATTTTGTTTAGCCAAAAAAATCTAGAGAACTTAAATTTGAAGTTTCACAAAATTTGAAATTCCGAACGCTGTAGTTAGGTACTGTGAGAGTACTCTCAAGAGCTGCGATTCTTGCCTCCAAATATGACTGCTCAAACCTTGGTAGTTCTCAAGATATGACGTGTTTTATGATTTTTTTTTTTCAATTTTTTTCAAAACAAAAAACTAACCCAAATTGAATTTCTCAACTCAATAGTGGGGTACTGTCATGGTACCTACAAAGGTTGCAAATCTGGCGTTCAAGTATGACTGTTCAAACACTTTTAGTTTTTGAGATATTGCGTTTTTATGATTTATGGTAAAATTTAAAAGATTTGAAACTCCCAACCTTGTAGTTGGGTACTGTGAAGGTACTCTCGGGAGTTTCCAAGTTGCAAATCTTCCATCAAATTGCGACTGCTCAAACGCTCTTAGTTTCTGAGATTTGACGTTTGATGTCTTTTTTTGAAGTTGTTCAAAGAACTTAGATTTGAAAAAAGTTTGAAGTTCCCATCTCTATAGGTGAGGCTATCAGGGTACTCCCAGGAGTTGCAAATTTTGCCTGGAATTGTGCTCAAGTCTTTGTAGTTAATGAGATATGACGTTTTTTGTGATTTTTTTTCCTCAAAATTTGAGACCCCCTATAGTTGCGTGCAGTCAGAGTACTTTCAGGGGTTGCGAATGTTGCCTCCGAACTTGACTGCTCAAATCTTTGTAGTTTTAGATATGACGTTTTTTTTTGTTTTGCCAAAAAAATCTAGAGAACTTAAATTTGAAGTTTCACAAAATTTGAAATTCCGAACGCTGCAGTTAGGTACTGTGGGAGAACTTTCAGAAGGTGCAAATCTTGCGTCTAAAAGCGTTTGCTCATTTTCTTTTAGTTTTCGAGATTTTTTTCATGTCATTTTAAAATGAACTAAGATGTAAAAACTGTATGGTTTTTCAACAATTGGATTAAAAAAACTTCCGAATAAAAGAATATTTCACAAAATTTGAACTTACCAACTCTCTAATCGGGTGCTGTCACAGTACTATCAAGGATTACGAATCTTCCCTCTAAATGTGACTGCTCAAATCCTTGTAGTTTTCGAGATATGACGTGTCTTATGATTTTATGTTTAAATTTTTCAGAAAACTTAGATTTTAAAAAATCCAAAAGAGATGAAATTCCTTATCTTGTAGTTTTCTACGGTGAGGGTACTCCCAGGAGTTCCATGATGAATCAAATCCTGAGAGCCCAAATGCGACTGCTGAAATGCTCTCAGTTTTCGAGAAAAACTGTCAGAAACTTTTTGTCAAATTTTGAAATCCACAACCTTGTAGTTGGGGGCTGTCAGAATTTTATCGCGAGTTGAGAATCTCACTTCAAATAATGACTGTCCTCATATCTTCGTAGTTTACGAGATATGATGTGTGTTGTAATTTAAAAAAAAATCTCAGAAAACTCAATTTCAATTTTTTTTCAAATTTTGCAATTCCCGACCCTTTAATTTTAAGTTGTCAGAGAACTCTCGGAGGTTTTTTATCTGGCCTAAGAACCTTGCTTCTCAAATCTTGTAAGTTTTCGAGGCATGTCGTTTGTGATTTTTTTTTAAATTTCAGCAAACTTAAATTAAACTTGTTTTCTCAAATTTCAATTGTATTTTGAAGCCCTCTTCTTTGTAATGGGGTTAGGGGACTGTCAAAGTTTTTACAGGCATTGCTAATCTTGCCTTCAAATGTCACTGCTCGATTTTTTGTAGTTTTCGAGTTATAACATTTTTGCGATTCTTTCAGAAAACATAAATTTAATTTTTTTTTCATGATAGTTTGAAACTCCCAGCCCTTTAGTTGGGGGCTGCCAGAGTACTCTAGGGGTTGCGAATCTCGCCGCCATATCTGACTGCTCATGATTTCTTTTATTTTCTATATATGAAGTTTTTTTGTTAATTAATTTTTTTCGAAACCTTAATTTAAGAATTTTCTAAAAGTTGAAAAGTCCTAACCTTGTACTTCGGTTGTGTGAGAGTACTCTCAGGAATTGCAAACTAAGCGTCCAAATGCGACTGCTCAAAGGCTTTTAGTTTCCGAGATGCGACGTTTTTTATGTAATTTTAAAATAATTCAAAAAAAACTTAGATATGAAAAATTTTACAAATTTAATGGTTTTTTCAAAATTTGAATTAAAAAACTCATAGAAAAAAACTTAGCAACATTTGAAATTACGAACCCTGTCATTGAGTTCTGTCAGAGTACATTCAAAGGTTTCAGATCTTTTTTTCAATATATGCGGTTTTTTTATGAGCTCTCAAAAATTCGAAGCACAGGAGGTGCGTAACATGCTAGTTGCATTTTATAGAGGATGCTTTATATAGAGCTTGCATTTTATAGAGCTTATTGCGCGTATAGAGATTCTCCTATATTAACAGAAGATGTTAATATAATAAGTATAATAGATGCAGATATAATAGGTGCAGATATGATAAATTTAGTTTGTTTTTCCATTTTTCATAATTCGTTATTATTAAAATTTTAAATTTATTTCAATCCGTCTTCCAACCGGCATTATTTTCGTTCATCTGCTTATTATCTAGTCTGCCAATATTAACCCTAATGGCCTGGATTTACTTGCTCACTTTGCGATTTTCGCATTTTTCCTGAGATTTTTGAATACTCATTTGTGATTGGCTAAAAATAAGCCAAAATAAAATTCAAGCATTCGGTCTCTCCAGCATGAGGGACGCCACCATTCTCAATTGTTTTGGGCTATATGACTCGGCTGATTTGTTTTGAGGTCAATTCAAGTGCACTTTCTAAAAAGGAAGGAAAGTTGTGCGCTCATCAACCGCCAAGGTAGAAATGTTGCGAAAAATCTGATTTGATCAAAATTTATCGAAAATGTCCAATGTGGACTTCAATTCATCGGTTTTCTAGCCAATTTTCTCAAAGTGGTTTAGTTTCTATCTCCAAATTGTCTATCATTAAAGATTCCTGAGCTTCAAGATCATAAAATGTAATGTACACTGCTCCACGTTAATTTCTGTTGGCTATAGTTTGAGAGAAAAGTTTTCACGCCGATTTTTCTATTTTATGGTTTGATTTTTTTTGTAGCTGTAACTTCAAACACGATTCGAGGCTTCCAGCAACTTCAAACAAATTCGAGGCTTGTTGAACTCATATAAAATGACACAACGAGAAGCCCGAGTTCCAGTTTTAAATGCGAGGTGTTACATTTTATTTTGCGCGCAAATAATCTTACAAAATTGGAACACTTTTTGATCAAATGTTCTCAGATTGGGTCACAAATAAAAAGTCTCAATGATGAAATTCTTGAAATTGAAAGGTTTGTAGCGTGTGATACTTTTATTGGATCAATGAAAATTGAAATTGAAGAAAAGTTTTTATTTCCTTGTTTATTGTTGCTTTCCAACTGTTTTTTTAAATGTTGAGATACATTGGGCTAAACGAACTTCAGATAGAACAAAATTAAGCGCGCTTTAATGTTTCGATTTTGGAATAAGAAAAGGAATACTCTCACTCGTGCGGCTTTCTTCTCTAGACAGCTTTCAACTTTTGAACGAGCTATTTTTGACGGAATTTTTATGCAATCTGAAAAATATTGATTTACTGAGCTGAAAATTGAAAAGAAGTATGTTTGTGATAATGTTTCGCAAAGTGATGGGTATTAAGGGTTTGGCTAGTTTGGTATAGTTAATGCGCGCTTTTTATTTTGACTCGTGGCCTCAACAGTCATATAATACAGGTCTAAATCATTCCAAATTGGCTTGCGAAAAATTAAGTGGTCAAAAGGACGCGTTTCTATGTGAGAAACCTATCACTTTTTAGATGCAGAGTTGACTTATCTTTTTACTTTTGTTCGTAACTAAACGCAATTAAAATCAACAAGACTGTTTCTATCAGGGCGGAGTTTTTTATGCTTTGTGTTCTATTAAAGAATGAAAAAAATTTGAAAAAATGTCGAGTTTTTTTTTAAATCATCCGCCTCTCCCGCCATATAAATTACAAAGTGATAAATTTCGCCGCTCTTAGTTTCGTAGTAAATATGAAAAAAAGCCTGCTGCAACTACTTTGGAATGATTTTTAAGATGGAAAAATTTCTATTTTACATATCGCGCGTTAATTGTCCCAATTTGACCATTTTGGCTACCTTAAAACCCCTATAATTTTTCAAAAAATGATCACAAAGTGGAATGACTTTAAAGTTAAGCTTAAGACAACAATGATTTTTGGATGATATAAAAACCTACCCCGAGCTTAAATTTTCCGTCACTTTCTTCGAAAGAAATCGGAACAATACTAAATCAACGCCAGATTGCACGAATTGGGTCGTCAAAAAATGTTAAAATTTATTCAATAATAAAATCACATAAAACCCTTCGGAACATGGTCTGATTTTTCTCAAAAAGAAGCTAAAATTGTTTTTTCTAATAATTTCACTGTTTGTTTTTTTTGCTAGGGTTTTACAACGGGAGGTTTTATCCCGTTAGCAAGTTTTCGCAAATCAGGTCATTCTTATCGTGAGCCAAATTGAACTACAAGTCAGTTTGAGCAATTTTACAATTTGAGATTCCATCGTATTCGAAAGTTGCTTCTTGTGATGGCTGTCAAAGTTTCTAGAATTAGCCAATTAATGCTCAGAAATTCTTCTCTAGACAGCTTTCAACTTTTGAACGAGCTATTTTTGACGGAATTTTTATGCAATCTGAAAAATATTGATTTACTGAGCTGAAAATTGAAAAGAAGTATGTTTGTGATAATGTTTCGCAAAGTGATGGGTATTAAGGGTTTGGCTAGTTTGGTATAGTTAATGCGCGCTTTTTATTTTGACTCGTGGCCTCAACAGTCATATAATACAGTTCTAAATCATTCCAAATTGGCTTGCGAAAAATTAAGTGGTCAAAAGGACGCGTTTCTATGTGAGAAACCTATCACTTTTTAGATGCAGAGTTGACTTATCTTTTTACTTTTGTTCGTAACTAAACGCAATTAAAATCAACAAGACTGTTTCTATCAGGGCGGAGTTTTTTATGCTTTGTGTTCTATTAAAGAATGAAAAAAATTTGAAAAAATGTCGAGTTTTTTTTTAAATCATCCGCCTCTCCCGCCATATAAATTACAAAGTGATAAATTTCGCCGCTCTTAATTTCGTAGTAATTATGAGAAAGAGCCTGCTGCAACTACTTTGGAATGATTTTTAAGATGGAACAATTTCTATTTTACATATCGCGCGTTAATTGTCCCAATTTGACCATTTTGGCTACCTTAAAACCCCTATAATTTTTCAAAAAATGATCACAAAGTGGAATGACTTTAAAGTTAATCTTAAGACAACAATGATTTTTGGATGATATAAAAAACTACCCCGAGCTTAAATATTCCGTCACTTTCTTCGAAAGAAATCGGAACAATACTAAATCAACGCCAGATTGCGCGAATTGGGTAGTCAAACAATGTTAAAATTTATTCAATAATAAAATCACATAAAACCCTTCGGAACATGGTCTGATTTTTCTCAAAAAAAAGCTAAAATTGTTTTTTCTAATAATTTCACTGTTTGTTTTTTTTGCTAGGGTTTTACAACGGGAGGTTTTATCCCGTTAGCAAGTTTTCGCAAATCAGGTCATTCTTATCGTGAGCCAAATTGAACTACAAGTCAGTTTGAGCAATTTTACAATTTGAGATTCCATCGTATTCGAAAGTTGCTTCTTGTGATGGCTGTCAAAGGCACTGTGGTGCAGTTTTTAGTCCATGCTACATGTTTTGGCTAAACTATATTGCGAGTTGTTCATGCGATTAATTTTTTTGGCTAAAAAGTTAACGAGAGCTTCATCTTTGTTGATTTAAAAACTAGCAGTTTTATGCTCCAGTTGTAATAACATAGAAATTTGTAAATAATGATTCAGCTTGATTAGCTGACTGAGATTGTGACATATTTTGAAATCGGCTTTTCAAAAATTAGTCGAGTTTTTGATTGATTTATAACAGCTTTTACAAATTTGTAAGAACTTGATATTGCTTTGTTATCGAACCTTAGCAACTTCCACACCCGTTTTCACTTGGCCTGAACGTAATGCGGTTGCCTTTGCAACCTATGGTCGGGGGTTCGAGGCCCATCCGGACCCTGTTTTTTTGTCGGAAATGAAAGTTTTTTCCGGGAAATTTGATTAGGACTATAGTTTGTCGGCATTTGTTTTTTGGCTTAGTTGACATGAGGATTTTTATTTACGCTGTAAGCAGTTTTGGTTGTTGTCTAAAGTGGCGTTGATTAGTTCCTGTAGTTTGTTAAATACTATCTAAAATACTGACTGGTATATTTTAGTTTTTTTTGTTTTTCGCCTAGAGTTTTTTCTGCCTAAATTCGACTTCTGTTTTGTCGGTTTAATGAATTTATTTTGATTCCGTTTAAGAGCAAAAAACAATTCTTTTTGTTTTAATTAAATAAGGTTAGTTGTAGCATAAAATTTAGAAGTTCAACCTTTTTAATCCCTCAAAGTTTTTTTATGACAATTTCTTTTGGCATTTTTTTTTTGCTTTTTGGATCAATGGTCATGTTAACACGTGTTGTTGGCTTAGTGAACTCTCGGAGAAAAACTAAAAGCTTGTTTAATATGAGTAGTTGTGTTTCTCGTTTTTTTTTTGAAGTTGAATTTTTCATTGTATCACAAGTTTTATCTGGTGTAATCTATAGAGTTCGACTGAAGGTTGTTTTCAGAGATCGAATATGGCGGACCCTGAGCTGATGAAAGACCCCAAACTTCAATCTTTCATTTCCAAAGCAAGTCAGATGGAACAATTCAACTCAATAGTCCAAGAAATGACCTCTAAATGCTGGGACACATGTGTAGCAGATACTAAAATGTCAACTAGTTTCGCCTCAAAAACAGAATCTTGTTTAGAAAACTGCGTAGAGAGATTTGTAGATGCCAACAAAGTTATTGTGGAGCATATAAGTAGCAAGGCACAGCCAGGGTTGGGAGGCGGCGGATCTTCGTTTCAGTAGCCGGAAAAAAGTTTCTGTTGATGTTCGTTTCCCTATGACCTGACTTGCCAATCTTGATTGCATCCTAGAGATAATGAAACTGTTGCCTATTTTTACAATCAATCAAATGGCTAGTTGATGAAAATTTGATATCTATTGATAAGAAATTGAATTTTTGGAATTTATTTTTTACTTTTTTTCAAAATTTAAATCAAAAACATTTCTTGCATTTAATTAACTCATTTAATTTGACGAATTTTCGCCGCATGGAGTATTGAAGTTACCGCTTGAAATAAATTAAAGCAGATCCATTGTCACAAATGCTTAAAAGAAATTTCATGAAATCTCGATCTTATTTTCAGTTTGAGCTTAATGGCATCTGATGTCGGAAATCTGACAGATGACCAACTCAGGGCTGAGCTGTTATCTCTAAATGTCACTGTTGGCCCCATAATAGGTACAATGAACAGTTTTTTCTAAAATTGCTGAATTCTATTCATATATTTTAAAAAATGTTTAAAGTACACATTTATGGGGTTTGGGATAATGTTTTTTTTTTCTGAATCATGAGAAGTCGCCATCTCTGAATAACTTAAAAAACTGGACGCTTTTTTGAGATAATGTTTCTAAGAAGTAAGCAACTACGAATAGCTGTACGTTTCATCTCTAAGTTTTTAAATTGAGTGTTTTGTTCTAGCAACCACGCGTTCTTTGTATGAAAAGAAGTTACTTCAGCTCCGTAAGTAGATTTTTTTGTTTGTAGTATTTGAATATTTGAAACAATTGTAAATCTGAAGGTACAGTATCGGACAATTTTAGACATTGGTCAAATCCGTCTAGCTAGCGGTACTTTGTGAAACGAGGAAAGTTTCTAGAATTAGCCAATCAATGCTCAGAAATTAAAATTCGAAAGAATGTAGCGATAAGTTCAGTCAGTTTGAAGGGCGTTGATTGTTTGAGATTTTTTGCGCGTTCGGTCCTTCGAGCATGAGAATACCCCCCTCCCTCCCGCATTCAAGTTTCAACTAAGGTAAAACTAAAAGAGACTTTCACGGTTTTTAGAGAGTTGAGATTGAATTCACCGCCATTCATTATTGAATTCGCCGCCATTTAAAGTTATTTCGAATAATCACAACTCTATTCGCTCTCTTGGGTTGCGTAGCAATAAGTAGACAACCGCGTTTTCATACCAGTCAGTAAATAGACAAATACTTTATATAATAAGTTCAAAATTAACAAGGATAGCCGGTTATTTTTCAAGTAGCACAGAATGTTCCGACCATGGTCTTTAGAAAACTACGGTTTAGAAAGTTTTTTTTTCAAATAAGAGTAGTTCTTTTCTGCATGGGGTGATAAAAGAGTAGAGCTTACAAAAGCGTTCGACACTGTTGATTACTAAGTTTTTAGAAAACTAAGGTTTTGAAAGTTTTTTTTTCCAAATTAGAGTAGTTGTTTTCTGCATGGGGTGATAAAAGGATTTGACGCATAATTTAGGCATATTATACAGTCAAAGAAATATAGACAAGTTGGACAAAAGTTTTTGGAAATTTTTGGTTTTATATTACTTGCTTAAAGTTAAGTTTTTAAATTAGGCTTAATTCAGCTTGTAAGCCTGCTCGCTTGCTTTGTTCGCTCGAATTAAGATAAAAATGGAAATTTTGAAACCGGTTTTTCTCGTTATTTGGAAAGTTTGTTGGAAATTTTTTAATGTGGTTCGAATTACGAATGAAAGGGTTTTAATATGATATATTGCTCAACCCAGCCCGATCATTATTTGTGTTACTTGATTTTGCGTAGAAAATAAAAAGGCAAAAAAAACTCTAAATAACACTGAATACAAGTTCCTCGCCATTTTCAATCGTCGGAACATTAATTTATACTTATTACCCTTGCAATAGTGTAGGGTATTGCAACAGGGTAATAATCTATGTCAAATTTTGTTCAGAATGGTCAATTTAGTAATTACCCATTTCTAAGTTCCTATTAATGTACCTTGTTATAAATTAGTAGTTTATAATTATTACGCTTGCGATAAGGAAGGGTAACAGATAGAATTTTTCAAATAAGACATAGTCAAATTTTGTTGAGAGTAATTAACTTGGTATATTAATATAAACTTGGAAATGAGTATCACTAAGTTTATATTAATATACCATGTAGAAAAGCTTGTGACAAAAATCAAAAAAAAAATTTTGAGAGAAGACTTGTAAGCGAGAGCCATACAAAAAGTTTTTGTAGAGAATTAAAATACAATGGTTTTGAAAGCATTTCACCTCCAAGAAGTTAATCAAGTAATTAAAAGATGACGAGATAAAAACAGCCTTGATAGTTACAACCAAAGTACTAGCCTAATAAAAAAAATTGTCCGGTTATGTCTGAGTGCTGAATTGTCTTTTTAATCAATATGTAGAGTTATCATATTATCTTCAATATTTAATAATGACACGTTGTCAGATTGCGGTAATTTCAGACCTATATATCTTCTTCTTTTATGGGGAAGGTTTTCAAAAAATTGAATCACATTCGCTTGGGAAGTTTTCTGAATAAATTTGATGTAATAACAGCATGTCAGTACGGATTTCGAAATAAAAAGAGCACAGTTGATGCTATCTTGGAACTCACTGAATAAATAGTAGAGAACTTAAAAGACAATTTTGGCTGCGTGTCTTCGTCAAAAGAGCTTACGAAAGCGTTCGACACTTGATCACAAAATCTTACTGGAAAAAAAACCTTTATGGTTTACGAGGTAAAGTGTTAATCTTTTGAGGTCATTCCTTGAGAACTGTCAACAGTACGTTAGTTATGACAAGTTGTCACCGGACACTATCAAAACAATCAATTATGGTGTCAACAATTTTCAGTGTTGGGTTCTTTGTTGTTTTTGCTATACATAATTGATTTGCAAAATTAGTACTGTTTGCTGATGGTTGCGCATTGTATACAACAACTTAACTGGAAATCAGCAGCAGGTGAAATTGTTAAAAAGAATGTTAAAAGGTTTTTTGGAGAATAAGCTCACCATAAACCAGGATGTAACAGGAAGACTTTTTCTAACCATAAATCCAATAAGTACTTAGGGCTAGTAATTGATGAAAAATTAAATTTCAAATTCGGTAAAACTTTGAAAAGGGCAGCTTAACCTTGCTCGATGATCTATCAACTCAGATATTATAGTGCTCAAGATATATGAAACGTATATTCAACTAATATATCAATAAAGTGTACTGATCTATGGCACAGCTTATAAGACGGACTTTAAAAAATTAGAAAGCCAGCAAAGACTTGTGTGGAGGACATGTTTTAGAATTAAAAATGGGACAGTCTGAAACATATTCGGGAGAAACATAAACCTGTCTGATGTGGGAGTTTTATGTATATGAACTGTTCAAACTCATAGTTAAAATCATGAGACCATCATGTGGAAATGAAAAACTTCATAAATACATAAGTGAACGGGAGAAAACAGATACTATCAAAACAGGCAAATTAAGAAAAAAACTTCGCAGCGGAAAAAAGCTCATAAGAGTAAGGAAGAAGTTCAAAAATAGGGTTCGTTTTTTATATGAACAGTTTGTGCAATTGGATAAAGATATTCTTCTTGAAGCGTTTCCAATGAATCTCTGGACTCATTTTTTTCATAAAAACATCTATATTTGAGACAACGAACCTTTTTAAATTTATGTATATTATAGTAAATTGTTATAGTTTTTTTGGTCGTCTCATTTTAATTGTTAGACAACACCCAAAAAAGTTTTTGCCGTGATTTTTTTCTTTTTTTTAATTTTTGAGATTTGAAGAATTTTTGCGGTCTTTTTTGAGTACTGTCTATGTAAACTAACTGTTAAAAAAAGTAGGCTTATAGGTCTTGCTCATGTAGATTTCACCCGAAAGGCTGATGCCTTTTTTGTATTCTCCCGAGCTGGAATTTATTGTAAACCTACAATTTCTTGAAAATATTATTATTTTTTATCGCCTACATCTTGGATGTACTACATGTTTAGGGATGGTAATTGATTTTTAAGTGGTCCATTCAAGTTTTGTTTTGTTCTCGAAAAATGTTTGGATCATTAACAGTTTATTGGGTGTCGGACTTAATTCTGTCGACTTTTTCATCTGTTTTTTTTTTTAGTTTTAGTAAATGTTTTGAACTGAATTAGCCTCAAATTTGACTTTTTGTGCATAAGCTTAAAATCAACATCTCTGACTTTTTTAAAACCAAAAAATTTAAAGTTTTTGGTTGTTTTTGACAGAATAGATTGGTTCAAAATTGCCATGTTTATCAAAGATTTTTGGTGAAGATAGTTACGCCTGCGTTTATAAAGCGTTATCAAATCGAACCTTGTTTTTTTGGGTTAACAATAGTTTAACTCAAACATCTAAGTCATTTTTAACTCTGATTCATATGGAGTCAAAGTCAAGCATTAATGTGGCGAAGAGTTTATACAGTTGTCTATAAAGACAAAGTTTAAGGGTTTGAATCCGGTGAGGACCTGTTGTTTTGTCAATGCAAATTTTTCTATGCGTCAAAAGTATTTGTCAGGCTTCTATTTTTCTGCTTGTTTTCGTCGTTTTTTTGTGCCACAGCGCCAAATTTGTCCACAGTTTTGGCCATCTTACTTAAATTCAAAACCATTTTAATGTCTTACGGTTTTCGGCATATAATTTAGTTCTTAGAAGTTTTGCTGTTTTTGTTTGCTCATGATGTTTTTTAAAATCTTTGAGAGTTGTTTTCTAATAGTTTTAAGGAGTGTTCTTTACATTTAATACAGTGATAATGTTTATGCTTGACGACAAATCCCGGAAGTTCGATTCCAGTCGGGACCTGTGTTTTCGGTCCTTGTGTCTGCTTGTTTTTTGTCGGCTGAAGTCACGCAGAAAAATTCGGTTTATTGTTAGCATTTTGAATGCTCTTTGTTAAGTTTCTAATGGTGCGGGTAATTTTGTTTCCAAAATTTTTCGTCCCTTTTGCAATCATTGTAACTTTCTTTTTCAAAATTAAAATTTTTTTTTTGAGGTTTTTTTTTATTTTTGATTTGTCTTTCAATTTGCTTGTAGCCATAGTCATTCATATTTGTATCCCAAAAGTCGCGAAGCTGAGGGTTGCCTCTTCAATTTTATTTTCTTATTTTTTTTTTGCTTATCTCGATTTTGATTGGTTAGGTTACTATAGTATTTGTCTACTTACTGACAAATATGAATATCCGATTGTCTTCTTACAGACCGGACTCCGTACTATGGGCCCCGTTTTTTTAGGAAGTACAACCGGTGTAAAATCTAACCTTACATGTGCTTCTTCTTTGTCTGACGATGAACTGAAGCGAAGGCTGAGTCATTTCGGAGTCACTGTTGGTCCGATTAATGAAGCTACGAGGAGTGTCTACCAGACTAAACTGAAGCAATGTTAGTTCAATCAACTATTCCCTCTCATAATACTCTCCAACTAGCTTTCTCTTTTTCCTCTGACATCTATATAAAATTTGTAATAACCGTTTAAAAAAATTTTTCTAAGTTATTTATTACCTTGCCATAAGCAAGGGTATTGCAATCGGATACTAGACTTTTTTCCCGTAAATGATTTTGTTCACAGAATGGTAAAAATGGTTGGATAAATTTAGACTCAGTTCATAATTAAATTAGGCAGCTTGCGATAGTTAAAGTATTAGTACGAACCTTCTTTTTTTTCTAACCTATCTAGCAAAAAAAGTGTTCATCGAAAATGGTCATAAAAATTGCATAGCATCTGGTCTCTGTTTTTTTTGTGGCTAGTGTTTGTTGTCAATTAAGCCTATGTGGCGGAGTGGTTAGAGTGTGAGATTCATAATCTCTAGGGCGCAGTAGACCGAAGGGTCGAATCCGAGACGTAGACAATTTTTTTTTACTAATTCGAGGCTTATTTCTATTTTTTTATTGCACTTTATAGAGCTACTTTTTGTCGTGTTCTAATTTTTGTGAAGTGCAGTTCGCCTCTGGGTAAGTTCATATTTATTTGCGTCTCCGGCACTTGGTCTGGAGGTAAGGAATTCGCCTGGCAAAGGTCTTGGATTCGAATCTGACAGGACCTGTTTTTTTTTCAAACGGGAAATTGTCGGCTAATTGTTTGTCTGCTTATGTTTTGTCAGCTTAGTTTTCACATCGTACAATTGTTTTTTTTTGCTGTACGCAAGTTATATTGTGGTTGTTTTTTTCTGATTTGATTTTTTCCGATAACTATAATTTTACTAACTTCGATTTCATATATTTTCTTTGTTTTGTTTTTGTTTCACTTAAAAACTTTTTTCTGTCCAATTGATTTCGACTCATTTATCTCGGCTTAGTGATCTGTTTTTGAGAAGGGCTCTTTTTCCTTTTCCCCCACTTTTTAAAAAGGGGTTTTTTTATTTTTCATTTCTTGATAGAGGATTATAAGTTAAAATATCAGACAGAATACATTCAAATAGGTCTTTTCGTTGGTTTCTTTGTCGCCACATAAATTCACATACGTAGCTAATCTAGCATTGAACAATAAGTTCCCCACCTTTTCCTGTTTCTTGATCTAGCTACATTCCACATACTTTCAACTTTGTTTGTACATGCTCCAGTTTTTGGATCCTTGAAGTTGTGACTGTGGTTTACAGTCAGATGACTGAATTCCTTTTCCGGTATTTGATCAATTTTTGAAGAACTCCTCCATTCGTCAGAAATTATCTGAGTTCCTTTTTGAATTGATGATTCAATAATTGGAATCAAATTTTCCTTCGTTCGGTCAGACACGGCATATAGAAAAGATTCACCCGTTTCCCTAAAAATTCCGCCAAAAACCCATTGCTCTTTGACAGCATGGCCTGGATTATATTTTCTTTTTGTAAAAAGACTCTGATCTATCTAAACAGTTTTTTCAACTCCGCCAATTTTAATGGGAAATTTTAATGGGAGTAGTCAACAATGCTTGTGCACATACCTCTCTTAAGTAGCTGTTCCAATCGACAATCGTTTCTGTAGAAGATATTTCTATTTTTTTTTGGCAAAATGCAATAGTTGTGTACTCATTCGCCCAACAGTAAATGAATAGAGTGAAATTGCTGTATGACAAATGTGCACCATGAAACCAGGTGCCGCTTTTTAATTGGGACTGATGTCTGCACTTTTTCGTGTTGCAACGCCATCTATCTTCTTTATCAGTCAAATGTAATTTCATCACAGATCCAAATTTAATACAGCATCTATCTGCATGTAACAATCCTTTCTCAGTTAGAAAGTTGATAGCGTCAGTTTTATCTTGTACAAAATTGTTCAGCTTTATCAAATTCAAAAGGTGGAGTGGAAAAAAATGTAACTTCCGGTCACTTCCGGTTTCTTAGACAACGTTCGTTTGAAAATAGGATTCATGTTTGAGGCTAATTAGAATAAATAAAACTCAATTTTGAAATTTTGCGTAGCAAAATTTTAGTTAGAAACAGGTGGGGGGGAAGGAAAAAGAGCCTTGAGAAGTTCAACGAAAATATGTTCTTATACTCCTCTTTGGATTGCACAAAATGCTAAATTAAGTTTCGGTCTTTATGAAATCGGCTTAAGTGCATCATATGGCGTCTTTCGACAAGCGAAAAAAGCTCTGTGTGTGTGTGTTTTGAGGTTGAGGGGGATTTAATAACTTTTTAATAGTCATTTATTTTTGTGCTTTTTTCCGGCTTCGCAAGTTTCGGCCAACGATAAAAAAATAATCGGCTTAGTGACCTTATATTGTTGCATTTGACAAGCAAAGAAAGTTATGTGTGTTTGTATGTTGACGGTGAGTGCGACTTAATAATTCGTTTTGATAGATCTATTTTTTTGACATTTCCGATTATTTTTTCGACTTAGCGGCTTTTTGTTTTGTATCTAAGATCGTTTAGTGTGTCTGGTTTGTTAAAATGGGTATCTGGAACTCATACTAGTTGGTAACTCTTTTCAGTTATTAATACGTAGATCTTTGAGGGTGAGTGGCCAATTAAATCATCTACTGTGATGGTGGCTAATGGTAGTTATTACGATCCGACCAAAATTTTTTAACTGTTTGGTAGGACAATTAAATTTTTTTGGTCGGATCGTAATAACTACCATTAGCGACCAACAATTCGTAATAAGTATCAGGTGTGATTGAATATAACCAAAAAATTGTTTTAGTGACTGCAAATAATCAACATACGGCGTCAAACATATCCGCACCACAAAACCAGCCAGCTCAAGTGAAATCATCTCGCAGATGCAATTCCAGATTGAAAACTAGCTCGGCACAGACTGACAGTTACAACACTTCAGATGAAGAAGATGAATTTCAGCGGAGTCCATGTATGGATTGGGAGCAGGCTCCAATACCTCTGAATCCTACTGGCGGGTTTTCATTTCCAATGCACGGAGCGAAGAGTACATAGCTACGCATAAGCAATTTTATAACCTGAAAGTTTTTAAAGGGTTCCTTAGGAAGATATAAAAGGTTCTAGAGGTTTCCTGATCTCATTGGTGCTTCGTTTCTAAAATCACCATAAAGTCTTTTATTTTGAAATAATGTTAAATTTCTCGAGCTTTATGTGGAGTTTAAATAAATATAGTTTATTTTCAAATTGATTAAGTTTGATAGTAAAGTTTATTCGAAAACCGAATCTAAAATCTCATTTTTTGTCACTGTGGATTGATATGAATGTCTGCCACTTCAGATGTGAGTTCACGTTTTCAAAAGCTCTATATCTGTCTATTATATATTTAAAATAGTGAGCATGCGAGCATAGTGTATTAGTATGAACCTTCTTTTTTCCAACCTAGCTCGCAAAGAAAAGTTGTCATTTGGTGGCACTTATGCTATAATAACGATCGGTAGCATTAGAATTTTCATAGCATCTGTTGTCTGCTTTATTTGTGGCTAGTGTTTCTGATTTATGAAGCGTCCGTCGTTGAGTGGTTATTGCGTGAGACTCCCAATCTCCAATCTCTAGGTCGCGGACAGAATTCGAGAGGTTGCCGATGTTTTAGTAATTCGAGCCTTTTTTTCTTTATTGCACTTTATAGAGCTCCTTTTTGTCGTGTTCTCGTTAGTGTGTGCGAAGCGCAACCTCTATGTTTTATGTTGTATCGATCCGCTTGGCCTCTGTGTTCTCAAATTGACATCATTCGAGACAAGCACCTGAAATTTTTGCACCGCAGCAAGTATTGGCTATTTGCCAGCATTGCGTTTCAAAATAAATTCCAACAACCATGAGTTGCTTAATTCCTGTAGTTGGGTTTTTTCATGGTACTCTCAGGATTTGCAAATTTTTCCTTCAAATATGACTGTTCAAATCCTTTTGTATTCCGAAATATATGACTTTTCTTAGAAAAAAATTCAGTCAAAGATTTTTGCAAGTTCAAGTTTGATATTCCACACCTTGTAGTTGGGTGCTTTCAGGATACCCTCAGGGTTTGCAAAAATCTCGCCGCCAAATTTACCTGATAAATTAATTTAAGTTTTAGAGATGTGACGTTTTTTATGATTTTTAAAAATCTTTCAAAGAATTTAGATATAAAAAATTCAAAACTCAAATTCCCATCATTTACTGAGGGTAATTTCAGCGTTGCATGTCCTGCCTCCAGATTTGAGTGTTGAAATATTTTCCTTTTCTGAGATAAGTTGTTTTCTATGGTTGTTTCAAAATTTTTCAGAAAACTTAGATTTAAAAAGTTTCACGAAGTTTGAAATTATCAACACTATAGTTGGGTGCTGTGTCAAGGTACTCTCAGGAGGTCGGACTGGCTACGATGAAATGGATGACATTGCCCCTTCCCCACTGATGGTCCTGCTTTGAACAGGACCGGGCATAAAAATGAGCTAATTGACTCCAAACATGTCTGCTCCAAATATGACTGCTCAACGCCTTTTACTTTCCTAGTGTAAAAGTTTCCAAGTGTTAAATTTGAAAAAAAATCAATTTTCAAAGTAGCAAGTACTTTTGGTGGTGAGATGTCAGGCTATTCCCAGCAATTGCAGATGTGGACTTTTTCCTAACGTTATCGCATTTTTGGGGTTTTGTTTCAGTTTAAAATACGAAGATCTGAAACCTTTTTAGTTTTAAAAAACCCTCAAAATTGAAATGATTTGAAAAATGCACTTTTGGATGCCCCTGTCTATTGTTATGGTTGCCTTCATTTCATGATTTTTTTCACATATTTTATATACAAGCGTTTTTCAAGCATACAAGCATTATATACAAGCATTTTTAAACTTGCGATTGCCATTGTCTAATGATCAGGTACTGGGCTTTTCCCCTGTGAACAACGCTACTTTCTGTTCTTGTCATTTTTGAGCAAGAGTCTTTCGGTTTTTTTGAATAAAAGCTTTTTCCGTCATACATTTTTCAAGTTTTGCGTGCCTTGTGTTTGGTGTATTTGATACTGAAAATGATTTCTGTTTTTCCTCGATTGACCACCTTGGCTAAATTTGGAAGTAATGACGAGAAGTTGGCTGACATGCTCGTTTTTTGTGATTTTAACAACCTGTGCAATAACCTAGTATTGTAATAAGGGTTTTTTGTTGACCTCAAATATGGCCCTCTAAATTGTCTGAAAAGAAAGCTTGACAAATAAGAAATAACCCAAACTTCTCTACCGGCATTCTGGATTTCTATCGACTTAGATGCCGATTTTTGCAGAAAAATTGACAAGAAATTGATAATTGAGTTGTATCTCTTTCAATCATTTTTTACGCTAGAGAACTTAAGTGAGCGTATTGTAAAAGTATTGGTGGCACGTTTACTCCTTTTTGATAGCTTGTTCTTTGGCAATCGAATAGTAATAAGCTAACACAGTTGATGCATTTTTAATTCAGCAAATGAACCGGAAAAAAACTATTTGTTTCAAACAACATAACAATCATATAAACTTGATTTCAGTTTTCTAACTCAATATATCTCGAATTTTTTTTGAAATGAATAATTTATACATAATGTAGATTTATGCTTTCCAAATTATTACAGGCAAAGTTAATGTGGATGCCTTCAGACTGTTATATTCCAAATTATTACTTGCAAAATTGTGTTTGGTTTTTTGTGGCCAGTTTTGCTGCATCGCATTGGCTATTTATTAGCATATGTAGCTGTTTCATTTGTGACTAGTTTTTGCCGATTGTTAATCATTCGTGACGGAGAGTGCAGGGCGTGAGACTCTAATTCACTAGATCTCAGGTTCGAGTCCGATACTGACGAAAGTTATTCTAATTCCAAGCTTATTTACCCTTGCGATAAGCAAGTGTGTTGCTTGCAACAAGCAACTTAATCGAATGGAAAACGGAATGGAAATTAATAACCGCCAAAAAACTGATTTAAACCAACAAAAATTGTTTCAAATGTTTGATTTAATCTGCGCGGGACTTTTCATCTTTATATGTAATGTAATTTTATATCGAATTATCCAAATTTTCAAAACAGCTTGTAAAATTGATCCACAATAAGAAGCAGCAGTTGGGTGAGCCTTGTGACTCTGGTTTAGACAGATAGAGACCGGATCAGGGCTCATTGCACAAACTCAACGAGTAAAAAAAATTGCGAATATTGCGATACAACGTTTTAGAGTTCTTGTATTGTAATGCTAGCATTGAATACTCGCTGCAGGCACACGCCAAAAACCCATTGAAGTTATATTGACATTTGCAAGAATTTTCTTCATAAATAAAAGATGTTCAACTTCATTGTCTTGGTATACACAATGAAGCAGGTATAAGCTGTTCCCCTCCCTCTGATATACAGTCATATCAATCGTTGAATCAAAGTTAAAGTAAAATCTCAGCTACGTCAAGCTGAGTTGGTCCGCTATTGAAAAGTTTTAGGCTTCGGCGAGAAAATATTGATCCGCGTCGACCCGGACACAACGAACCAAGAACTACTAACCATTAACCACTAACCACGAACCATGAGTGATACCAACGTCCAGTGCGATCTACGAAGCTTCGCGAACGAGCCAGGCGATGTACGATCAGTTGCGAACGAGCAACCAGGTCAGAGCAATGCGAACGAGCAGAGCGATCAACCAGCTGTTGTGAGCGCGCAACATGGACGAAACGATCAGTCAGGACGAACATACCTGAAGTTAGTTCACTCCAGAAGTGGTCACAAGACTTGCATTTCTAAGCATAGGGATCGAATAAACTCAATCCGATCGTCCTATCCAGTGACTGATCTTGCTGGCTTGCGAATTTCTCTTGCTGTCATAAGAGAGACCCTCACATCGATCAGTGAAAAGGATCGATTGATAGAGGACGTTGTACCAGACGAACGTCTGCAAGCCGAGCTTGAAACGGCTTGTGAGCTCAGAGCGGAGGTACGAAAATTCATTCAGCAGACGAAAGATTTCTTGGAAGATCAGCAAGCGTCTTCCAGAGGATCGACAAGAGAAGCGAACGGGCTTCATATAATGTTCTCACCAAGATCAAGTCAGATCAAGTTGCCGAAGATAGATCTTCCCTCCTTCAGTGGGAAGTATACAGAGTGGACGAGCTTCATCGATCAGTTCGATTCTGCAGTACATGGAAACCCAAACCTCCAAAACGCTAAGAAGTTGAACTACCTCAAGTCTTCACTTCGAGGAGAAGCACACGAAGTGCTGTGTTGAACTACCCGATTTTGAAAACCGAAGATGGAACAAGCCTCAGGAAGCTTTTGGAGTGTTTTCGCGAAAACGTGGCTGCATTAGAAGTGCAAGGCTGTAATACTCAAGACTGGGATCCAATACTGGTTCATGTAATTGAGCAGAAAATGGATCCGGAAAGCCAAAAGCAATGGCAGCTTCACAGCCCAGGCGAAACTACACGACCTTGACGATTTCATTAGTGCGCGAGCGAGGGCACTAGAAGCAGTGAAGTCATCAATCACTTTACAGAAACCAACAACTCGAATTGAAGCACATGCTGATGTCCAAAGTAAAATCGACCGAAGGCAATCGTATGGAGCAACAACTGTGGACGAGCAATCAATGTGTGTTTTGTGGAGCACTTCACACTGTAACTGCATGTAACGAGTTCGAGAAGTTGAAAGTACATACACGGAAAGACGAAGTGACTTCCAAACGCCCATGCTTTAATTGTTTGCGCCCAGGGCATATTGTAACGAAATACCCAAGCACGCACAATTGTAAACAGTGTGGAAAAAGACACCATTCTTCTTCACGTGGACAATCAGCACAGGGAACAACAGATTACAACTGAGAGAAACGCTGTAAACGATTGTCATACGAGTGGAAACAACCTGTGTACTGCCATTAGTGCTACGGAACCTGACAAAATGGCCCTACTTGGAACTAGCAGGATACCGCTGTTCAACCATCACAGACAGGAAATCATTTGCCGTGCCTTGATAGACAATGGATCGCAGTTGAACTTCGTCAGTGAAAGCTTCGTACGACGCAATAGATTGCCTCTCAAATCAGTCAACCAAACAGTGAAACAAGTTGGAACAGCACCCCCATTGGAGACGAGAGGTCTTGCTCCGATAACTTTGTCATTGCCTGGAGAAGACACACTAAGAGCAGATTTCTTCATCATGCCCCAAGTCACATCAGATCTACCAGCAGACGATGTGGATGTACGCAAGCATAACCATCCATCTCGATATGCACTGGCGGTTCCAGATTTCGACAAAAGAGGACGAATTGATCTTCTATGTGGTGTTGAACTGGCAAACGAGCTCAGCGCTGGTAAACGGATACGAGAAGGAACTCTCACCTTGGATGAATCAATTTTTGGCTGGATTGTGAGTGGATCAGTACAGTTACTAAGCAGGCGCAAGGATGATAGAGTTTTGCAAGCAATTTTTGTCAGTTAGGAGTCTGATGTGGTCATAAGTCGCTTTTGGACAGTTGATGACTTGCCTTCGAACCGAAGCCCTCGATCAAAGGCAGAAGAGTTTGTTGAGGATCACTTCGAAAAAACAACTATAACTGAGCCAGATGGTTGATACTCTGTTATTTTGCCTTTCGAGACAAACGTTGGAACCTTCGGCGAGTGCAGAGCCAATGCACTCAAACCATTCTTCAGTCTGGAACGCAAACTTAAGCTGGATGTGGTTTTATACACTCAGTATCGAGACTTGCTCAAAGAGTTCCGAGACATGGGTCACCTAGAAGAACTCTTTGAAATTTTCTGGAAGCGTTGGAGCAAGGAGTATTTGTCTTCTCTGCATCCTCGGGAAGGAGTGGACTTCAAAACAACGACTTCAAAACCGCAAGGGGCTGCTGCGTCCGGCCTTGCATAAAACTAAGCAAATTCTCAGTCAGTGTTGAATGAACTTGGCTCATTCAAGGTGGGCGGCAATGTTGCTTGCAACAAGCAACTTAATCGAATGGAAAACGGAATGGAAATTAATAACCGCCAAAAAACTGATTTAAACCAACAAAAATTGTTTCAAATGTTTGATTTAATCTGCGCGGGATTTTTCATCTTTATATGTAATATAATTTTATGTCGAATTATCCAAATTTTCAAAACAGCTTGTAAAATTGATCCACATTAAGAAGCAGCAGTTGGGTGAGCCTTGTGACTCTGGTTTAGACAGATAGAGACCGTATCAGGGCTCATTGCACAAACTCAACGAGTAAAAAAATTGCGAATATTGCGATACAACGTTTTAGAGTTCTTGTATTGTAATGCTAGCATTGAATACTCGCTGCAGGCACACGCCAAAAAGCCATTGAAGTTATATTGACATATGCAAGAATTTTCTTGATAAATAAAAGATGTTCAACTTCATTGTCTTGGTATACACAATGAAGCAGGTATAAGCTGTTCCCCTCCCTCTGATATACAGTCATATCAATCGTTGAATCAAAGTTGAAGTAAAATCTCAGCTACTTCAAGCTGAGTTGGTCCGCTATTGAAAAGTTTTAGGCTTCAGCGAGAAACCAAAGTGTATTGCAATCGGGTACTAGACTTATTTTCACATAAACAATTTTGTCCATGGGATGATCTCCAATTTCAAAATCTCCCTGTTCAGCACGTTGCTCTCTGAAATGCAACAGTCGTCTCTCTGTTGGAAACTGCAACAGACATATTTTGAATATGCGTCCTATTTGAAATCTGCTTTTTGTGTTGGTTGTAACTTTACCAACTTGTATTTTTTCTCAGTCATTTTAAGTTTCGGCTTATAGTGTTTCGGATTATTGTTCTCATATTGCGTCCTGTAATAGGCAAAAAAATTGTGTACGTCTGTGTGTAATGAAGGGGATGGAATTTTAACAATTTTCGCAGTGTTCGCATTACTTCGTAGTTGGGTTCGCATTACTTCGTAGCAGTAAATTCCCAACCCTGTAGTTGGGTGCTGTCAGAGTACTTTCAAGGATTGCGAAACTTGCCTCCAAATATGACTGAACAAATCCTTGTAGTTTTCGAGATATGACCTGTTTTATGCTTTCGCTTTTCAGTTAACTAAATTTACAAAATAATTTTCAAAACGAAAGCTTAAATTTAAACTTTTTTAAAATTTGAAATTCTTAACCCTAGAGTTGGGGGCTGTCAGAGTAACTTCGGGGGTTTCGAGTTTTCCCTTTAAATATGACTGCTCAAATCTTGACAGTTTTCAAGATGTGACAACTTTTCTGGTTTTCAAAAAATGTATCTTTTTTTTTCGAAATTTTCTTTGAAGTTTCTCAAGATTTGAATTTTCTCAACGCTGTAGTTGGGTACTGTAAGACTACACTAGGAGTTGCAGATCTTGCGTCTAAATGCGACTGCTCACTTGCTTTTAGTTTCCGAGATTTGACGTTTTTTAGTTCATTTTAAATTGTTTCAATGAACTTAAGTATAACTTCACAAATTTTTATGGTTTTTCTAAATTTTAATTAGAAAATTTGACTGAAAACTTTACAAGTTTTGTGATTATGAACCCTGTAATTGGGTGCTGTTAGGGTACATTAAAAGGATGCAGATATTATTTCCAATAAAAGTTTTTTTTTTCTGAATTGTTAAAAACTCGAAGCACCGGAGGTGCGTTACATGCTAGTTACATTTAATTTCTTCATATTATTACTGCTCCATAGACTGCTCAATAAATTGAGGCATGTTAGTTGGTAAATTTCTTGTTTTTTCGAATTGACTTGTTATGCTAATGCGTCATAATTGGCGTGCTTCACTTGAGAAATTTTGAAGACTCAAAGTTTTACTCATTCAGTTTTTCCCAGTTGCGTTATCGGTCATATTTTTGCTTGTGTATGCGAAGTGCAACTTCGCCTCTGTGTAGCAATTGGCTTAAACTCAATTAACTTACTTGCTCTGGCACATATCCTAAATTTAAAATTCAAATTATACTGGAACGGCCCTGAAGTTGTTATAATTTGTCACAGACTGGCAGCTTGTGGTATCTTTTTGTTCCGCAAATGATGTGAATATTACTTTCACCTCTGCGTATCAACTGTTAAAGTCTCTTTAATCTCAACCAGCTTTACGAAAGTTAGCGTTCATCGATAAACCAAACTCAGGTTAATAGTTGCTTTCAAACCACTAAAAGATTTGATTAGTTAAGGTTAGCTAAAAATAGCAGAAAATTTGTTAAAAACCGCCATTGGTTTGCTTTGATCTGCAGCCGAGGAGCTATTCCACAATTGATTAAATATTTACGCGAGTAGATCTTTGGTTTCAATGATATATAAAACTTTCTGCGCTAAAATATACCATTAATTTAAGGTGAAGCGGGTGCCGAAAAAAAGTATATGCTTGTTCCGAAAAATTAATCCAAACAGTGCCCGAAATGGTGTCTATCTTCTGAAAAACTCGCATCGATCGTGTATTATTCATTTCACTGCTCAAAACTTGCCGGGATTTGCAATTAACAACATTAAAATGATTACTTTTTATAATTGTTTGATTTGATAAACCCAGCAGACCGTGGACTAAGGATGATTTTTATGCTGTTCTCTCCATCCAATCTTCAAACATTTTTTTCTCATTTTTTGTGCATATCATCATCTTTGTGCATATCATATCATATATATCGTAAAGAATGTTCACATAGGCTCTCGTATGTCGATATATTCTCTTATGTCGTTATGCTTATGGCTATTGTATCAGTCAGTTTTCTATGTATAGAGGCTAAATGTTAGTATTGATTGAACTCAATGTACCTATGGTCATAAACTAGTCAATTTTTTTCCGCACTCGATAGGAATCACATTTTATTTCTAGGAAAATCAGCAAAGTATAGCCTTTTTCCGTTTGTCTCACATAAAGATAGAAAAATTGATTTTGTTGAAATTTTGAAAGCATTATCGATTTTAATTGACCATATCTTATTGAATGATTTTTTTTCTTTCGAAAAGATCGTAATTTGAAGTTCAGAGTCGTTCATTTTCATATCGGCTGATTTTCTTGTTGATATTTCATCAGGCTTGTGTCCTTGACCTTTTTGATTATATATTTACCAAATGGGTGTTTAACGATCACATTAAACGGGAGCAACCATGGTTAGGCTGAACTCAAGCAAACTGATTTCGCTGGCGCACTAAACTTCCTTCATCATCAATTGAATTTCCATAACACCCTTTTTGGACTCAGAGGTAAGTATCAGTTTGATGTTGATCATACTTTAGCTTCATAGTTTCTGTTGATCATAAAAATGATGTATGAATAATTCTGTCTTTAATTTCTTCCTAAAGAGTCTCGTTTGATTCACTTCTTATACTAATCGGCAAACAAATCTATAGGCTTGGGCCACAAAAATAGACGGTTTTAAGTTAAATTGCAGGTATAGATTCACTATGATTAGTCAGTCATCTGTCGAAATATTCAAGATCCGGTAAATAATCTGATAGACAAAAGAAAACAGAACAATTGTAGTTACCAATTTTGGAAATTCTCAAAGACTCAGTTATTTAACTTTAAACACAAGTATTTGAGTAAAAGATTAGAAACTAAAGAGACTTTGATTTTAAAATTTGCTGGTTCGATATTGCAAATGGAGTTGAAAAAATCTATTTCAGATTCTAAAATGAGTTTTCGCAACCTAGAAGAATTTGACAAGATTTACGGCCGAACGCGCAAGAAAGAGAAGGTTAAGTTTTGCAACGTGTCCATCGATTCTCTGTTTACATTCTTCTCTGTGATCAGTTTATTCAGAACCTACAAAAAGACCTATCTGGTGGGAGATGTGATTGCTGGATTTACTGTTGCTGCATTTAACATTCCTCAGGGTAAGATAAATTATTCTATAGTGATGCCATATTTTTGGCCAAATCGGTGGCCGTCTTTTTATTTTTTTTTCTGTCGTGAGAAAGTAGAGCAATACAGCCAAACAAAAACTTGTCCTGGGTAGCCAAATAAAAAACAGAAGAATTAAAAAAACATTATCAAAAAAATTAATATTATGGGGTAAAAAACCGCGTTTTAAATGCTTTTTGTGAAAAACTTAACAAACAACCCTATTTGTGCAGGTATGGCGTATGCGTCTCTGGCAAGTATGCCGCCAGTGGTGGGCATTTACATGGGTTGTTTCTCCCCTTTGATCTATTTCCTGTTTGGTACTTCCAGACACATCTCAGTGGCCACATTCGCCCCTGTCAGCATCATGGTCGGATTCTCCACTCAGGCTAGTTACAAGTTCCTTAGCTTCACATTTTGACCAAAGTTGCACATTTTGATTTAAATACGACAAAAAATTGTGGTTTATGAGTTTGTGGAATACAGTGCTGATTTAAAGTATTTGTACAGAACTCATTGAGTTGGAAATTTTAATGCGTTTTTCTCAAATCGTTTTAGCAGTAGACAATAGGCGATCCATTTTGTCTAATTATCTTGTGTCTTAGAAATTTGCCAGAATTGATATAGTGCAAATTACTTTGCGGAAGTGGTGTAAACATTTTAACCAACATATGGTTCATTTTGGCTCCTTTTAGTCAATCAAAAGTTACGTAAAAAGGTCAACTGATGAGCAAAGTTTGCGAAAAACGCTTCAAAATGTTTAGATAAAATATTACTGTTTTATGTAGTAGAATGAAATTTTCTCAGGAAAAAAATTTGGTTCTAAATTTTTTACGCATGCGGTTAGCACGCGTTATTAAATCGGATTATAGACTTTCGGCTCGCAACTTGTTCAACAGAATCACTTGAATCATTTGGTATCTTAATGAAATGGTATTTGACTCATAATGAAATCAAATTTCTTAGCGTCTCTGGCGCACTTGGTCTGGAAGCAACGAATACGCCGATGACAAAGGTCTTAGGTTCGAATCTGACCGGGACCACCTGTTTTTTTCCAAACGGGAAATACTCCTTTTCAAAAAAGTTGGCGGTATATTTTTTATTTGCGTGTGTTTTGTCTGCTTAGTAACTGTAGTTTCACCAGTCGTGTCTTTCCCTTTGTTTTTTTTTAATTGAAAATTTGGTGTGGTCTAAATGATATCGGCTGAAAATTTATCAGCTGAGTTACCTAATTTTGGGTCGTTTCAAAGGGAACATCTTAGACTACTACTACTGACTAATAATGCGTGTATTGTCCGTTTTCCCATTGTGGCGGGGTTGGGCATCCGGAAAGCTTGTAAGCAATGGTTCAGATGAGGGCAAGCTATTAAATGGAGGATAACACGTTTTCCTATGCCATTCGATCAAGGCAGTCTGTAGTTTTGAGGCTTTAAGTTTTCAGGTCTCGTTTAACACAATCGATCCAGCGTTTTTAGACCTTCCTGCTGGTCTTTTCCCTGGGACTGAAACATCGTCTATTGGTCTTAGCGCATGGTCATTTTTTATTCGGTGAACATGGCCATATCAACGTCGCGACCGCACTTGTAGCTTGTCCAGAGCAACAAGGCCTGTCATTTTAATAACTGCTTCGTTTGTAACTCTGTCTTCTTAAATGACTCTGGAAATCCTACGCAGAGTTTTCATATCAGCATTCCTAAGAGAGCTAGCTTTCTCATTTGAGTGATAATTGGAAGGATTATTGCATCTTGGACAAACATAATTAGTTTTATGTTTAGGTATTTTCCTCAGGCTACTGCATTTTTATGCACCCATTGATTACAAGAATTGCGGCTTGATGAATTGAGGCCGACTTCCTTCAAACAACAAGCGCATGAAAATTTTCTAATATTTTGAGGAGTAGACTTTTGGCCTAAAATCAAATGCTTCGTCTTATCCACGTTGATTTTTGAACTGCGTTTTTGCAAAGCCTTGTTCCAAGTATTGAACTTCTCAATAGACTGAGATTCCATTTCAGCGTATATCACAAGGTCATCTGCATATAGCATATTCTATGGTACCATTGAAGGAACGACAGTTTTTTGTAGCCTCCAATATTATTATAAAAGGGAACATTTGAATAAAATTTATAGTTCAAAGTTTTTCATGACAACAACTTTGTTTTGTTCTACGGGAATTTATCCTGCCTTTGTTGGCTCAGTTGCCGCTAAAAAAAACGTTTTTGAATGTTCATTAGACGCCGTCGATTGTGTTTTTGGGTGCGTTTTCCGCAAATTGAATGTCATTCAGACAATAATTTTAAGTTTTTCCGGTTGTAGTTTTTTCAATTTTTTTGGACTTAGTGGCTCTCTTTCCCTTTCCTGTGCACTAGTTTGCAATGCTTATTTCACGTGGTATCGCGTCTGTCAAACTATATTGCACCATTTTAGTTGAACTTTAATCTTTTTCTGTTTCTTGGCGTTAACTGAAACTTTTTCTAATGTGTGATGGCTGTTTTTTGAAGCAGGTTTATTCTTAGACTTTTTGTTCTGATCTTTTTTGTCTAATGTAATCCAATTTGAGAAAAATAGCTTCGAAGTTTCTTTTTTTGTTTTGTCCGGGTAATTTAAATCAGCGCTGTAATCCTGAGCATTATACTGTAAAATGCTTAACTTCCACTTTTAAGGTTATTTTTGCTGCAATTTTAGGCGATCAAACATATCATAGACGATCACAAATCCAACAATAACAATCCAAACGAGGCAACTTTATCAAACACCACCGCGTCGTCAATCTTGTCAGCAGCTGATCAACAAAAAGCAGATGAAGCTGTACTAATAGCAATAGCCGCGTCAATATGCATGTGCTCAGGCATATTTCTACTTATTCTCGGTTTGCTCAGATTGGGCTTTGTTGGAAGTTACTTTTCGGTCAGTTTAGTGAAGGGATTCACGTTTGGCGTGGCATTTCACGTGGCAACGTCACAAGTGATCAAGATTCTTGGTATAAAAGTAGCGAAGTACGTGGATGCGGGATGTCTATTGTTTACATGGAGAGGTAAATAGCTTTAAACTTGATATAGTCATTTTATTTGTTATCAATTTCTTCGACCTAAAAAAGTTCAAAATTATTTTTTGGTTTGAAACTCCGACCTTATTTTTTGCTCGAAACTCCGACCGTATAAAACCTTATGTAAACTTCTTTGAAATAGAAAAAGTGTTTCTCGTAAAAATTAAAGCGTTTTCCGCTCTAAATTTGTTCAAAAAGTGAAAAGTGATTTTTTTCAGGAAGTCTTAAAATTTGTTCACGCTCAATTTTTGTTTTTCGCGGTTTGACTTCTGATTTGTTTTTAAGATCTCTCCATTTCCTTTGTTAAAATGAAGGCAAGCTCCACTATCGAACAGCGAAATTAAAGTTCACGAAAAAAGTGATCGACTTCTAGTTTTTAAAGTGGATTTTACTTTTCAGATTTCCCAGTTCTCAAATTCGGTTAAATCAATTTGAAAAGTCAATCACGAAGTGTTCTGGAATTTCAGAGAGCTTTAAGGCCTTATAATTTTTTCTTTAAAATTCGAAACTTTTAAATTATCTGAAGGAATGATTTTAAATGTGTGTTAGAATATGCATGGATCTTAGTTGCTCCTGATATTTTTGAAAAACGTTTAATATAGGAAGGTTTTTCTAACTCACGGCAAATGTCCCAGTTTCATTAACATCGGCCATTTTTATACATGAAAGCTTAATTGACATGAACTGAACGCGTAGTTTCCTGGCTGGCTACCTAAAAATGATCTGGTTGACAGCATTCATAGATTTAGGTGCTGTGATAAGATAAAAGAGAAACCAGGTTGTTGATCTGATTAAGAACAGCATGGTTTTGTTGTATTAGCCTCAAGCATTAAGCACTTCTTCTCTGTCGTTTCAGACATCATATCATCAATAAGTGACACTAACCTGTGCTCGCTGACTATCGGAGTGTCCTCGGGACTCACTCTCTACCTCTTCCTCTTCCTGGCCGAGAAGTTCAAGTCCAAACTGAGGGGAGTGCCCGTACCCTCGGAGTTGATCATTGTGGCTGTAACCACTACCATTTGTAAATTTGCCCATTTGCACAGCAACTTTAAGCTAGAGGTTCGTACTTTTTAAATTGATTTTTTATTTCCGTCACGATTATGTTATCACGTTAAATTGTGGAAGAAATTGTAGAAGTTACTTATCTTGTTGTGTTGCTTATTTCAAAATTTGATAGCGATTTGTTTAGTTTCTTCATAGAGGAATTCTGTGTTTCATTGCTTTATTATTCGTTAGATTGATTTAGTGTAGATAATAGGATACTGTGATCGAATGAAGCAAAGGGAAAATGTTGCAAAAATGTGATTGAGTCTAGTTTCAAAAGGGAATTTTAGTTTTGAAAGTTCCTCGCAGAAAATTTTACCTAAAAATTGATCCAATTTCTAGCAATTGGGTTAATTTTCTTGAAATGCCTATCAAACAATTTTTAAATTCAAAAAACTTCAAGGCCATGTTTTTTTCGTTGGGATTCGGGTCGGTTTTTTTCCTGACTAGTTATAGAAAAGCTCGCAGGAGGTCAAGTGTGATATCATATTAAAGACCTTTTGGCCTTGATATGGATTCTAAAAAGCAAAAAAGTTATCTGTGTCGAGAAAGTTTTTTATAAGTTTTCTAGATCCCATTGAAGTTTTTTCAACTTTCTGTCAGTTATGTTTTTGGTTATTTTCTGTATTGAGATGAGATCAGTTGATTATAATTAGATAATCGGAGACGTGCCGACCGGTCTGCCACGTGCATCAGTCGACTGCATTTCTACTATGGTCAACAACACCTACATAATCTCAACCGTGATCCAACAGTCAATACCAATAGCACTCATCTCATTCGCAGTATCTCTGGCACTGGCCAAACTACTAGCCCAGAAACACAACTACACGATGCATAATAGCCAGGAGTTGGTGGCATTGGGGTTGGTGGATATCGTGGCGTCTTTCTTCGGATGTTACCCCAGTGCGGCGTCTCCGAGTAGAAGCAATTTGCAGAGTGAGGTGGGAGGCAAGACTCAATTGGCAAGCCTTATTACTAGGTATCTATAAATCAGTTTCCGGTAGCGCAATAATTGTTTTCAGTTTTTGGACTGTTGTGAGTTCCAGCCTCTTGAGATCTAGGGAATTTCCGTGCCGTGTGTGTGTGTGGGGGGGGGGGGGGGGGTGTTTTAGGGTTAGGGTTAGGGTTCGGAATATGTGTCAATGTTACACGTCGGTCAAAAAAATTCTGATCTCAAGACCTTGTATTTTTCCTTCTTCTTTGGATTTTGTTATCTACCTCTTTTTCATCTCACATTTGAATTTAAATTTTGAAAAATTATTTTAGCGTTGTAAAAATGCAATGAATCTTTGCATGGTGAACAAAGCTTCTGTGAACTTGTTTGTTCTTCATAATTTGCACCGTGAATTTAGCCATAATAAAACTATGAAAGAGGATTTGAAAAGAGCCCATTTTTGGCTCTGCTCATCTGAGCACTTTCTTGTGTTCCAGTGTATTGATGCTCCTGGTAATGCTATTCGCTGGTCCCTTAGTCTACTCTCTGCCTTACTCAGTTCTGGGAGCCATAATCATAGTCGCTCTTCGCTCTTTCTTCAAACAAGCACTGCAGCTGCCGGTTAGTCTACTAAATGAAGTCGTCGATGTGCAATTACGTATATATGTAAATATAGTAAATGTCAAACTTAATGGCAAAATCTGTGATCTTGAGCAACTCAATCCGTCACAGAACGTGGTTTTTAGTTCACTCTGATTTTTCAACACCAGACCCTTATTTTCAAACCCCTAACACAAACAGTCTCAGTTTCATGAAAATTTTGACCTTTTTGGAAAGAGGGAAAAGGAGAGCTGAACGCCTCAAGGGCTCGATCAAAGTTCTATGGAGCAAATCAGAACTGAACCCGGCCTATATTTTATTTTACACATACATTTTTAGTGTATTGTTTAGTTTGAGTATCTTTGTTTCAGACCTTGTTCCGCTGTGACAAGCATGACTTCATTTGCTGGACTTTGACTGCCCTGTTAACAATTGGACTCAACATCACTCTGGGACTTCTGGCGGGTATTGTTATCTCCCTCGTCTCCATCCTGTGGAGATCCCAGAAACCCAAGTACTACCAGATGGTTCAAGTGGTAGATACAGACAAGTACAGAGAAATCAATTCATACGAGACAATGAGAAAGTAAGATTATAATCTAAAATTGGCATCTTTATAACATTCGCGGGGAATTTATCACAAGTTTCAATATTCATCGTGTTAGTTCATTATGGTAGTTCATTATGGTAGATCTTGGTTTTTAGGGTATTTTTGGATGATCGTTTTCTATTTGTTGATACGAGCGAGGTTAATATGATACGAGATACTCAATTCTGATTTAAATCCTAGTGTATTTTTGTCAATCGACCCTTCTCCAACGCGAAATTTACCAACGCAACTTATCAACCCTTATTAGTATATGATTACACCGAAGACTTTAGTCAAGGTGTTATGGTATCGTGTAACGGGGTTTTTTTTTTAATGTTGTCTGTTGTCAAGTGTCGACAAATAACGTCCACAGTTATCAATTATCATGTGGGCTGGACTATATCGCGCTATGTCACGTGATTGCGTATGTTTGTTTCTTTATTTGTTCATCTTTATTTATTTAATTATCTGTTCTTCTATTTATTTAATTATGTTTAGTTTGCTTATATTTATTTATAATTTATGTATGTACATATTTATTTTTGTTTATTTTTATTCATCAATCAACTGGTCTGTGTATACTTGTATTAGGTACACAGTTTTTTTTCAACTGCTGTGTATACTTGTATTAGGTACACTGTAGTTTCAATCAACTGATCTGTGTATACTTGTATTAGGTACACAGTTTTTCTATTTCAACTGCTGTGTATACTTGTATTAGGTACACTGTAGTTTCAATCAACTGGTCTGTGTATACTTGTATTAGGTACACAGTTTTTTTTCAACTGCTGTGTATACTTGTATTAGGTACACTGTAGTTTCAATCAACTGGTCTGTGTATACTTGTATTAGGTACACAGTTTTTCTATTTCAACTGCTGTGTATACTTGTATTAGGTACACTGTAGTTTCAATCAACTGATCGTGTATACTTGTATTAGGTACACAGTTTCTTTAGTTTAACTGATCTGTGTATACTTGTAATAGGTACACTGTAGTTTCAATTAACTGGTCTGTGTATACTTGTATTAGGTGTAAAACAGGAGGCGTTTTGCTACACATACAAACACAATCTTTTGTATTTTATTATAGCTATAGAAATTGATCTACAATGCGTAAGTACGACATTTAGTTCTACGATTGTTATTTCAGGTCCTTTGTCAATATTTCAGGCTCTTTGTCAATATAGCAAAATTTTGGTGTATATATGTGTTAGTAAGATTTTTAGTTCTACAACGTTTATTCAGGCTCTTTGTCGATATAGCAAAATATTGGTGTATACATGTGTTAGTACGATTTTAGCTCTAGAATTTTTATTTCAGGCTCTTCGTCAATATAGCAATATTTTAGCGTATACATGTGTTAGTACCATTTTTAGTTCTCGAACTGTTATTTTATGATCTATGTCAATATATCAAAATTTTAGTGTATACATGTGTTATTACGATTTTTAGTTCTCGAACTGTTATTTCATGATCTTTGTCAATATATCAAAATTTTATTGTATACATGTGTTAGTACCATTTTTAGTTCTCGAACTGTTATTCCATGATCTTTGTCAATATAGCAAAATTTTGGTGTATACATGTGTTAGTACGATTTTTAGCTCTAGAACTGTTATTTCATGATCTTTGCCAATATAGCAAAATTTTGGTGTATACATGTGTTCGTACGATTTTTAGCTCACGAACTGTTATTTCAGGCTCTTTGTCGATATAGCAAAATATTGGTGTATACATGTGTTAGTACGATTTTAGCTCTAGAATTGTTATTTCAGGCTCTTCGTCAATATAGCAATATTTTAGCGTATACATGTGTTAGTACCATTTTTAGTTCTCGAACTGTTATTTTATGATCTATGTCAATATATCAAAATTTTAGTGTATACATGTGTTATTACGATTTTTAGTTCTCGAACTGTTATTTCATGATCTTTGTCAATATATCAAAATTTTATTGTATACATGTGTTAGTACCATTTTTAGTTCTCGAACTGTTATTCCATGATCTTTGTCAATATAGCAAAATTTTGGTGTATACATGTGTTAGTACGATTTTTAGCTCTAGAACTGTTATTCCATGATCTTTGTCAATATAGCAAAAATTTGACGTATACATGTGTTAGTACGATTTTTAGCTCTCGAACTGTTATTTCATGATCTTTGCCAATATAGCAAAATTTTGGTGTATACATGTGTTCGTACGATTTTTAGCTCACGAACTGTTATTTCAGGCTCTTTGTCAATATAGTAAAATTTTGGTGTATACATGTGTTAGTACGATTTTTAGTTCTAGAAGTGTTATTTTATGATCTTCGTTGATATATCAAAAATTTAACCTATACATGTGTTAGTACGATTTTTAGTTCTAGAACTGTTATTTCAGGCTCTTTCTCGATATAGCAAAATTTTGGTGTATACATGTATTAGTACGATTTTTTGTTCTAGAACTGTTATTCTTCAATTATTAGTTGTTCAAGTTGTTTCGTTTTTGCTTCAGTTTCTATGCCTTCGGTGTATTGCGCGTAGCGCCTATGTTGAAAATGAAGTGATTAGGGACATACGACATACTGGTCATTTTTCAAGAGAGCTTGCAAGACAATTTGTATACGGTCAGACTGTTTTTCCCCAACGCAAGTCGCAGATTTTAATTCCCAACTCAAGTCGCTTAAATCGACTTGTTATTTTTGAGGCACAATTTTTGTACCCTTTTGAAGGGGGTTGAGAAATTAGAAGATAAGCAAATAAGACGGAGGCCTTTAAAAGTTAATTAGACGATTTTGCAAACCTGTAATTGTGAGAAAATAGACGAAAGTACGAGAGATTTAAATTGTTTGAATTTGCAGACAAATTGCGTGAGAAAAATCAAATTTGTTGCAGACAACAGTTAAGTTTCGGTGGCCAAAAATTTAACATGTCAATCATGCATAATTTATTCAATTCAAAACTCTCCTGGAATATTCGGATTTGACATTTTATGTTCTTTTTTTGTTTGTGAAACTTGACTCTTAAGAAAAAATGTTGTTGGCCCTTTCCTTTTCATAGCAGTTACGTTTACAATGCCAGATCTGTAAAATAAAAATTTCGTCTAATTTCGTTTTTGTAGCATCCGTCTTATTTGCTTATCGTCTAATTTCCTAGGCCCACGTTTGAAGATATTGACGCGTGACGCCCTGAGCTCAAGTGTCAACTGGTATTTGAACTGCAATCGTTGTTTGTTAATTTTTATGGCGTGTGAAAGCTGGCTTCTTGAGACTAATTTAAGCCAATTTTGTACCCTCATAGGGCGGCCTAGGAAATTACACGATAAGAACTTAGATGGATGCTACAAAAACGAATTTAGACGAAATTTTTTTTACAGATCTGACATTTTAGACGTCACTGCTATGAAAAGGAAATGGCCAACAAAATTTTTTCTTAAGATTCAAGTTTCACAAATACAAAAAGAGCATAAAATTACAATACCTATCAAAACATTTAGTTAAAATGAGCATAAAATGTCAAATCCAAATTTAACAGGAGAGTCTTGAATTGAATAAATTATGCATGATTGACATTTTTTGGCCACCGAAATTTGACTGTTGTCTGCAAACAATTTGGTTTTTCGCCCGCAATTTGTCTGCAAACAATTTTAATCTCTCTCACAATTGACTATTTTCTCACAATCGTAGTTTTGCAAAATAGTCTTATTTCCTTTTAAGTGCCTCCGTCTAATTTGCTAATCGTCTAATTTCTCAACCCCCCTAATAGCTGATGGTCAATGCTTAAGCGCGGCAGTTCAATGCATTTTCAAAGCACTAAACAATAAATCTTAAGTGGATTGAGGCAATCTAATTGGTCCCAATAACTTTGCTCGTTTAGTCAAGTTATATCTTTCAGTAATTGTTGTACGACTTACAAAGAAAGTGGCAGAATACTTGTGCTTGGATGGTTTTTCTCCAGTCAAATTTCTACTTATTCTCGGTTTGCTCAGATTGGGCTTTGTTGGAAGTTACTTTTCGGTCAGTTTAGTGAAGGGATTCACGTTTGGCGTGGCATTTCACGTGGCAACGTCACAAGTGATCAAGATTCTTGGTATAAAAGTAGCGAAGTACGTGGATGCGGGATGTCTATTGTTTACATGGAGAGGTAAATAGCTTTAAACTTGATATAGTCATTTTATTTGTTATCAATTTCTTCGACCTAAGAAAGTTCAAAATTATTTTTTGGTTTGAAACTCCGACCTTATTTTTTGCTCGAAACTCCGACCGTATAAAACCTTATGTAAACTTCTTTGAAATAGAAAAAGTGTTTCTCGTAAAAACTAAAGCGTTTTCCGCTCTAAATTTGTTCAAAAAGTGAAAAGTGATTTTTTTCAGGAAGTCTTAAAATTTGTTCACGCTCAATTTTTGTTTTTGGCGGTTTGACTTCTGATTTGTTTTTAAGATCTCTCCATTTCCTTTGTTAAAATGAAGGCAAGCTCCACTATCGAACAGCGAAATTAAAGTTCACGAAAAAAGTGATCGACTTCTAGTTTTTAAAGTGGATTTTACTTTTCAGATTTCCCAGTTCTCAAATTCGGTTAAATCAATTTGAAAAGTCAATCACGAAGTGTTCTGGAATTTCAGAGAGCTTTAAGGCCTTATAATTTTTTCTTTAAAATTCGAAACTTTTAAATTATCTGAAGGAATGAATTTAAATGTGTGTTAGAATATGCATGGATCTTAGTTGCTCCTGATATTTTTGAAAAACGTTTAATATAGGAAGGTTTTTCTAACTCACGGCAAATGTCCCAGTTTCATTAACATCGGCCATTTTTATACATGAAAGCTTAATTGACATGAACTGAACGCGTAGTTTCCTGGCTGGCTACCTAAAAATGATCTGGTTGACAGCATTCATAGATTTAGGTGCTGTGATAAGATAAAAGAGAAACCAGGTTGTTGATCTGATTAAGAACAGCATGGTTTTGTTGTATTAGCCTCAAGCATTAAGCACTTCTTCTCTGTCGTTTCAGACATCATATCATCAAAAAGTGACACTAACCTGTGCTCGCTGACTATCGGAGTGTCCTCGGGACTCACTCTCTACCTCTTCCTCTTCCTGGCCGAGAAGTTCAAGTCCAAACTGAGGGGAGTGCCCGTACCCTCGGAGTTGATCATTGTGGCTGTAACCACTGCCATTTGTAAATTTGCCCATTTGCACAGCAACTTTAAGCTAGAGGTTCGTACTTTTTAAATTGATTTTTTATTTCCGTCACGATTATGTTATCACGTTAAATTGTGGAAGAAATTGTAGAAGTTACTTATCTTGTTGTGTTGCTTATTTCAAAATTTGATAGCGATTTGTTTAGTTTCTTCATAGAGGAATTCTGTGTTTCATTGCTTTATTATTCGTTAGATTGATTTAGTGTAGATAATAGGATACTGTGATCGAATGAAGCAAAGGGAAAATGTTGCAAAAATGTGATTGAGTCTAGTTTCAAAAGGGAATTTTAGTTTTGAAAGTTCCTCGCAGAAAATTTTACCTAAAAATTGATCCAATTTCTAGCAATTGGGTTAATTTTCTTGAAATGCCTATCAAACAATTTTTAAATTCAAAAAACTTCAAGGCCATGTTTTTTTCGTTGGGATTCGGGTCGGTTTTTTTCCTGACTTTTTAGAATCCTTTTGGCCTTGATATGGATTCTAAAAAGCAAAAAAGTTATCTGTGTCGAGAAAGTTTTTTATAAGTTTTCTAGATCCCATTGAAGTTTTTTCAACTTTCTGTCAGTTATGTTTTTGGTTATTTTCTGTATTGAGATGAGATCAGTTGATTATAATTAGATAATCGGAGACGTGCCGACCGGTCTGCCACGTGCATCAGTCGACTGCATTTCTACTATGGTCAACAACACCTACATAATCTCAACCGTGATCCAACAGTCAATACCAATAGCACTCATCTCATTCGCAGTATCTCTGGCACTGGCCAAACTACTAGCCCAGAAACACAACTACACGATGCATAATAGCCAGGAGTTGGTGGCATTGGGGTTGGTGGATATCGTGGCGTCTTTCTTCGGATGTTACCCCAGTGCGGCGTCTCCGAGTAGAAGCAATTTGCAGAGTGAGGTGGGAGGCAAGACTCAATTGGCAAGCCTTATTACTAGGTATCTATAAATCAGTGTCCGGTAGCGCAATAATTGTTTTCAGTTTTTGGACTGTTGTGAGTTCCAGCCTCTTGAGATCTAGGGAATTTCCGTGCCGTGTGTGTGTGTGTGGGGGGGGGGGTGTTTTAGGGTTAGGGTTAGGGTTCGGAATATGTGTCAATGTTACACGTCGGTCAAAAAAATTCTGATCTCAAGACCTTGTATTTTTCCTTCTTCTTTGGATTTTGTTATCTACCTCTTTTTCATCTCACATTTGAATTTAAATTTTGAAAAATTATTTTAGCGTTGTAAAAATGCAATGAATCTTTGCATGGTGAACAAAGCTTCTGTGAACTTGTTTGTTCTTCATAATTTGCACCGTGAATTTAGCCATAATAAAACTATGAAAGAGGATTTGAAAAGAGCCCATTTTTGGCTCTGCTCATCTGAGCACTTTCTTGTGTTCCAGTGTATTGATGCTCCTGGTAATGCTATTCGCTGGTCCCCTAGTCTACTCTCTGCCTTACTCAGTTCTGGGAGCCATAATCATAGTCGCTCTTCGCTCTTTCTTCAAACAAGCACTGCAGCTGCCGGTTAGTCTACTAAATGAAGTCGTCGATGTGCAATTACGTATATATGTAAATATAGTAAATGTCAAACTTAATGGCAAAATCTGTGATCTTGAGCAACTCAATCCGTCACAGAACGTGGTTTTTAGTTCACTCTGATTTTTCAACACCAGACCCTTATTTTCAAACCCCTAACACAAACAGTCTCAGTTTCATGAAAATTTTGACCTTTTTGGAAAGAGGGAAAAGGAGAGCTGAACGCCTCAAGGGCTCGATCAAAGTTCTATGGAGCAAATCAGAACTGAACCCGGCCTATATTTTATTTTACACATACATTTTTAGTGTATTGTTTAGTTTGAGTATCTTTGTTTCAGACCTTGTTCCGCTGTGACAAGCATGACTTCATTTGCTGGACTTTGACTGCCCTGTTAACAATTGGACTCAACATCACTCTGGGACTTCTGGCGGGTATTGTTATCTCCCTCGTCTCCATCCTGTGGAGATCCCAGAAACCCAAGTACTACCAGATGGTTCAAGTGGTAGATACAGACAAGTACAGAGAAATCAATTCATACGAGACAATGAGAAAGTAAGATTATAATCTAAAATTGGCATCTTTATAACATTCGCGGGGAATTTATCACAAGTTTCAATATTCATCGTGTTAGTTCATTATGGTAGTTCATTATGGTAGATCTTGGTTTTTAGGGTATTTTTGGATGATCGTTTTCTATTTGTTGATACGAGCGAGGTTAATATGATACGAGATACTCAATTCTGATTTAAATCCTAGTGTATTTTTGTCAATCGACCCTTCTCCAACGCGAAATTTACCAACGCAACTTATCAACCCTTATTAGTATATGATTACACCGAAGACTTTAGTCAAGGTGTTATGGTATCGTGTAACGGGGGTTTTTTTTTTAATGTTGTCTGTTGTCAAGTGTCGACAAATAACGTCCACAGTTATCAATTATCATGTGGGCTGGACTATATCGCGCTATGTCACGTGATTGCGTATGTTTGTTTCTTTATTTGTTCATCTTTATTTATTTAATTATCTGTTCTTCTATTTATTTAATTATGTTTAGTTTGCTTATATTTATTTATAATTTATGTATGTACATATTTATTTTTGTTTATTTTTATTCATCAATCAACTGGTCTGTGTATACTTGTATTAGGTACACAGTTTTTTTTCAACTGCTGTGTATACTTGTATTAGGTACACTGTAGTTTCAATCAACTGATCTGTGTATACTTGTATTAGGTACACAGTTTTTCTATTTCAACTGCTGTGTATACTTGTATTAGGTACACTGTAGTTTCAATCAACTGGTCTGTGTATACTTGTATTAGGTACACAGTTTTTTTTCAACTGCTGTGTATACTTGTATTAGGTACACTGTAGTTTCAATCAACTGGTCTGTGTATACTTGTATTAGGTACACAGTTTTTCTATTTCAACTGCTGTGTATACTTGTATTAGGTACACTGTAGTTTCAATCAACTGATCGTGTATACTTGTATTAGGTACACAGTTTCTTTAGTTTAACTGATCTGTGTATACTTGTAATAGGTACACTGTAGTTTCAATTAACTGGTCTGTGTATACTTGTATTAGGTGTAAAACAGGAGGCGTTTTGCTACACATACAAACACAATCTTTTGTATTTTATTATAGCTATAGAAATTGATCTACAATGCGTAAGTACGACATTTAGTTCTACGATTGTTATTTCAGGTCCTTTGTCAATATTTTAGGCTCTTTGTCAATATAGCAAAATTTTGGTGTATATATGTGTTAGTAAGATTTTTAGTTCTACAACGTTTATTCAGGCTCTTTGTCGATATAGCAAAATATTGGTGTATACATGTGTTAGTACGATTTTAGCTCTAGAATTGTTATTTCAGGCTCTTCGTCAATATAGCAATATTTTAGCGTATACATGTGTTAGTACCATTTTTAGTTCTCGAACTGTTATTTTATGATCTATGTCAATATATCAAAATTTTAGTGTATACATGTGTTATTACGATTTTTAGTTCTCGAACTGTTATTTCATGATCTTTGTCAATATATCAAAATTTTATTGTATACATGTGTTAGTACCATTTGTAGTTCTCGAACTGTTATTCCATGATCTTTGTCAATATAGCAAAATTTTGGTGTATACATGTGTTAGTACGATTTTTAGCTCTAGAACTGTTATTTCATGATCTTTGCCAATATAGCAAAATTTTGGTGTATACATGTGTTCGTACGATTTTTAGCTCACGAACTGTTATTTCAGGCTCTTTGTCGATATAGCAAAATATTGGTGTATACATGTGTTAGTACGATTTTAGCTCTAGAATTGTTATTTCAGGCTCTTCGTCAATATAGCAATATTTTAGCGTATACATGTGTTAGTACCATTTTTAGTTCTCGAACTGTTATTTTATGATCTATGTCAATATATCAAAATTTTAGTGTATACATGTGTTATTACGATTTTTAGTTCTCGAACTGTTATTTCATGATCTTTGTCAATATATCAAAATTTTATTGTATACATGTGTTAGTACCATTTTTAGTTCTCGAACTGTTATTCCATGATCTTTGTCAATATAGCAAAATTTTGGTGTATACATGTGTTAGTACGATTTTTAGCTCTAGAACTGTTATTCCATGATCTTTGTCAATATAGCAAAAATTTGACGTATACATGTGTTAGTACGATTTTTAGCTCTCGAACTGTTATTTCATGATCTTTGCCAATATAGCAAAATTTTGGTGTATACATGTGTTCGTACGATTTTTAGCTCACGAACTGTTATTTCAGGCTCTTTGTCAATATAGTAAAATTTTGGTGTATACATGTGTTAGTACGATTTTTAGTTCTAGAAGTGTTATTTTATGATCTTCGTTGATATATCAAAAATTTAACCTATACATGTGTTAGTACGATTTTTAGTTCTAGAACTGTTATTTCAGGCTCTTTCTCGATATAGCAAAATTTTGGTGTATACATGTATTAGTACGATTTTTTGTTCTAGAACTGTTATTCTTCAATTATTAGTTGTTCAAGTTGTTTCGTTTTTGCTTCAGTTTCTATGCCTTCGGTGTATTGCGCGTAGCGCCTATGTTGAAAATGAAGTGATTAGGGACATACGACATACTGGTCATTTTTCAAGAGAGCTTGCAAGACAATTTGTATACGGTCAGACTGTTTTTCCCCAACGCAAGTCGCAGATTTTAATTCCCAACTCAAGTCGCTTAAATCGACTTGTTATTTTTGAGGCACAATTTTTGTACCCTTTTGAAGGGGGTTGAGAAATTAGAAGATAAGCAAATAAGACGGAGGCCTTTAAAAGTTAATTAGACGATTTTGCAAACCTGTAATTGTGAGAAAATAGACGAAAGTACGAGAGATTTAAATTGTTTGAATTTGCAGACAAATTGCGTGAGAAAAATCAAATTTGTTGCAGACAACAGTTAAGTTTCGGTGGCCAAAAATTTAACATGTCAATCATGCATAATTTATTCAATTCAAAACTCTCCTGGAATATTCGGATTTGACATTTTATGTTCTTTTTTTATTTGTGAAACTTGACTCTTAAGAAAAAATGTTGTTGGCCCTTTCCTTTTCATAGCAGTTACGTTTACAATGCCAGATCTGTAAAATAAAAATTTCGTCTAATTTCGTTTTTGTAGCATCCGTCTTATTTGCTTATCGTCTAATTTCCTAGGCCCACGTTTGAAGATATTGACGCGTGACGCCCTGAGCTCAAGTGTCAACTGGTATTTGAACTGCAATCGTTGTTTGTTAATTTTTATGGCGTGTGAAAGCTGGCTTCTTGAGACTAATTTAAGCCAATTTTGTACCCTCATAGGGCGGCCTAGGAAATTACACGATAAGAACTTAGATGGATGCTACAAAAACGAATTTAGACGAAATTTTTTTTACAGATCTGACATTTTAGACGTCACTGCTATGAAAAGGAAATGGCCAACAAAATTTTTTCTTAAGAGTCAAGTTTCACAAATACAAAAAGAGCATAAAATGACAATACCTATCAAAACATTTAGTTAAAATGAGCATAAAATGTCAAATCCAAATTTAACAGGAGAGTCTTGAATTGAATAAATTATGCATGATTGACATTTTTTGGCCACCGAAATTTGACTGTTGTCTGCAAACAATTTGGTTTTTCGCCCGCAATTTGTCTGCAAACAATTTTAATCTCTCTCACAATTGACTATTTTCTCACAATCGTAGTTTTGCAAAATAGTCTTATTTCCTTTTAAGTGCCTCCGTCTAATTTGCTAATCGTCTAATTTCTCAACCCCCCTAATAGCTGATGGTCAATGCTTAAGCGCGGCAGTTCAATGCATTTTCAAAGCACTAAACAATAAATCTTAAGTGGATTGAGGCAATCTAATTGGTCCCAATAACTTTGCTCGTTTAGTCAAGTTATATCTTTCAGTAATTGTTGTACGACTTACAAAGAAAGTGGCAGAATACTTGTGCTTGGATGGTTTTTCTCCAGTCAAATTTCGACTTTTCAATAAGCTATTATTGACAAAAAAACTTATATGCATCCTTCTGAAAATTTTTAAACTAAAATGTGTTGATTGACATGACATATTTTTTGTCGAAATTTATTTACTTTTATTTTATTAACAGTCTAAAAGTTATAGTTCGAAACTTTAAAGCGTGACGTTATAGTTCGAAACTTCAAAAGCAGTCTTGTTTCCTTTCGGAAGTTAATTTTCTTTTAAGGTTTGTTTTTGTATTTACTTTTTGTCTTTTTTAGAGCTACTTTTTGCCATTTTTCGCTTGTGTTTACGATGCGCAGCTTTGCCTGTGTTTTTCTTGTATGTTGAAGAAAAATGACAGCCTTTGGTCAATAAAAGTATCATGTTGATTGTAAATATAGTAACTGGAGTTACCCGGTTGCTTCTGGTACCTTCGGGTTGACTCAGACCGAATGTAGATGTTTTAAGAAATGCTGAAATGTGCACGCGCGAATTAATTTTTGCCTTTTCATTTGAATTGTTCTAGTGGTTTTTTCAGTGATAGAAAGCAAGTCGCCACTGAATTTCCATCGTTTATTAATCAAAAGAGAAAATCGAGACTAAACTCAGCCAGTTTTATAGAAATCAAGACAGCAAAAAAGCCAACTGACGTTGACGTTTATTATAGAGATGTAATCGAGTACGAAAAAATGCAAAAGTGGGTCGACTGTTTGTTGCTACTATGCATTCTAAAGTTTTTATCTCAAAAGTATTGCAATAATTTTGGAATAAACTCATGATACTTTTCTTTGATTTATGATTTTTGTTCCGGCCATTGAAAATGGGGAGGAACTTTGTCTTCGGGTGTGTTTTTTTTGTTTTCATCTCAAAACAGGCATCACAAATAATCACGGATTGGGTCAAGTTTTATATCAGCCCTTTCAGTCGTGATTCGAACAATTTTTATTAAGTCTCGAAAAAAAATCTTTCATTAGAACCCTGAAATTTGAGTTTTACATTAGTAAAACAAGTGTATGAAGGTTTTTAGCACTAGAAAAATTACAAAATTCAAAAAAAATTAAGAATATTTTTGGTTTTTCTAGTCATCCTCCGATAAAATTTGTTGTTCAATGTGCCTATTTACTATGACTATTGAATATACTAACTTTATTGACTTGCACGTAGATCATCTCATCGCACCACGCACAAAAATGGTCGGAACATTCTGTGATAATTGTACAGGAACGGGTTGTTCTTGTAAACATTGGATCTTGTTAATTATCTCCCCTATGATGCATACTATTGGTTTTCCACCACTATAAAGCAAATAAGAACTTTGTATCTTGTCACTAGTTACCTAGTTACTCTCCTTTGCAATAGAAGGGGAGCTGATTGTTAAAAGATCCTAATTCGTGAATGATAATAGATAAACATAAAAAATTAAATAGAATTTTCCAACCTGAAATTTCTGTTCCTTAAGTTATGGCTCTCAGCGGATGCTTTTGGCAATGATTGAAGTTTTTGTTCACGCTTGTTTTTATGTTATCAGTTCTGTATCTGCAATTGGCTTAAAACATCACTGTTTCCTCACTATTTTTAATGTTGTTTTGGAAACAATTGATTTTTTTAGGATTCCGGATACCCTCATCTTTCGCTTCGATATGTCCCTTTATTTTGCCAACGCCGATCTATTCGTGTCATCTATGAAGAAGCAAATCGCACTTCGTCACAAGGAGTGTCTCTCCCCTTCTTATTCTGCAATTGATTCAAATCATCATAGCAAATCACCGACTATTGCGGGTCTGAAGTTCGTAGTCTTGGACGCGGAACCCTTCAATTTCATAGACCATTCCGGAATTATTGCTTTAAGTACGGTGCTACAACACTGCAAAGCTAGTCAAATTGAGCTGCTAATATCAGTGTGTGGACTGGAAATAGTGGAAAAGTTTGAACGAGAAGGATTTGTGGATAAAATTGGACTTGAGAATCTTTTCCCAAGTGTTCACGATGCCGTATTGTATATAGAGGACGTTTTTCTCAATAGAGGGCAAGCCACAAGTATGAACAAAGACTTCGTTCAGCTGCAGAAAGAAAACGACTTGAAAGAAATCGACGCATCAGAAATTCATTCTGTTTAGAGAAATTTGGCATTCTTATTCTCATATCTATATCTATATCATTTCCAATGTTGTTAAAGTCGATTTAGTTGCTACTTAACAAGTTAGATTATCTTAGATCATCGTCTAATTTCTTTTAGTTTAACCAATATTGATTTGATAAAAAAATGTTTGTGTTTCGGTTTTGGTCTGAATTAGGCGAGTTTGATAGAAAAAAGGATTGCATCAGCGATTTTTTTGTGATCTCCCTTTTCCAACTCTTTGTAAACAGTGATGACTGTTGAAATGATTTGAAAGCCTCTAACTATATTATTTTTTTAGTATGCCTAAAATTTATTCGCACAACTAAAACAAGACAGTTTTCAAAGCTTATCACGCTTAGCCCAAATTTTGATACTCGGACAAAAAATTTAGCCTCTAAAACGGGGCAATATTTTTTCTCACAAAATGCGTTTAATTCATTTTTTACCGGTTATTGACATCGAAACTCATTAACTTGTGAATTCTGTACTTGAAGTTTTGGCTGAAAATGCAGATTCTGTGTAGTAAAAGAATGAAGAATAAGCCCTACGTCCCTGAGATGTACAAACTACTCAAAACAATCAAACCAGAAAACTCGAAAATTTGCTCTGAATAACATTTTCAGACGCAATTTTTAAGATACTAATTGGTGTCTACTACCGACATAAAAACAATTTCTGGATCAAAAAGCTCGAAATTATTTGTTTCATATGTTTGTTTCATATGTCGATTCAACTTTGAAAAGCTATAGCGAAATGAAAAAGTCCCTACTGATGTTGATCACTCAGATTGGGTTAAATTCAATATTTGAGATAAAGAAAGGGAAAATATGACAACTGTTGTTATAAAATGTGTTGGGATTTTCTGGAGACGTTTTGATCAGATAGTAGCTCAAATGGCTACAATTGCCTTAAATTCAAATGTGAGTTGACAGTAACTTAGTTGAGGTTGAAAACCAGTAAAAAACTTACTTTAGATTCTGCGTGTTTGCTTGCAAATGGCCTTTTGAAATTGGATTATGTTTTTAAACAATTCATCGAATGTTAATTAGTTTTTGTGCCCACTGGAATGTTTGATCCAATAAATTTTTTTAAAAGATAATTTTCTTTTATTTTTACCAGGTTCCTATTCGGCAGTTTGATAAGTTGGGGTTTGGCGTCGAAATGTTTTAACGTCTTGATGACCAGTCATATTTTTTACCTTGCATTCATTTGCACAACTAGTTGGTAGGTATATTATCGCTCGGACCGTTATTTGCAAATTGGCTGGATCACTTTGCCTTTGATACACGTTGGGCTGATATCGAAAGTTGAGTGTTATCTTTATCTATCTATACTCTATTTAAATGCGTGTGACAAGTGTCTTGCCATATTTAAGCGTTCTTTTGCAACGGTTAAGCGCATAGCGTATCTATACGCTGGTTAAGATATATCGTATATTACGATGCTTAAAAATTTTTTTCGATTTTCCTTTTAGAATGCTTGGCCTATTTAAAGTCCCGAATCTGAAGCTGTCGCTATGATGCCAGGATGGAGGGGAGGGCAGTGCAGTGTAAGGTAGTATAAAGATGGGATTCATTCATCTATACATTATGTAACGGGCATTTTTTGTTGCAGCATTTAATTCTCCAAATTTAAAATCAGCCAACCTACGGTGAGGTACTGTCAGATTTTCCCCATTGCTTCCAAAGTTTGCCTCAAAATTTGAATTCCCATTTTTTTAGTTTACGCGATATTAAAAAAATTGAGAAAGAATTGAAATTTGACGATTCATTTCAGTTTAGTATCCGAAAGTTACCGATTTTCCGCCACAATGTTTTTAGCACTGCTGATCCTATGATTTAACCCTGGGAAGGGTTTTTACCCAACAATTTTTTCAAACCTGCATTTTTGTCAACCAATAGACATATTTTGAGCATGCTAGCTGTTCAGTATTTGTTTCTTAATATTTTTAAAAGATTTTCCGAAAGCGGTTCGGTGTAATTTTGTTTTGTTTTTCTTGGATTTTTTTTTGGTTTTTATTGAATCGGCCTTTTGGCATCATGTTTTATCGTTAGACGACGGAAATAAGTTTCATGTTCGCTTGAGTCTTTTAAGTAGGTAATTATGTATTTTTAAAAGTTATAAATTTTTTTCATGAAAAAACTGTTTTTTGGCTCTACGCCTGTCTGCTCAGAAATTGTCTCTTTTTTTTCTATGCAAATGTAGTTTTCATTTTTTCCTTTGTCAAGGTTTTCATAAAAGTGACCTGTGTTTAAGACATAGATTTAAAAATTTTGGTAAATCTAGTTTTTCTCGACGTTTCTATAAATATGTTTTTTTTTCAATTTATCGACTTTCGTCTCGATTTCTGGCTGCTAGTTTGTCATGCTATGGTTGCTATATAACTTTTTTGAAGCAAGATTTTGAATAACGAACCTCTCAATTTGGCTCAAAAGAGCGAATATATTGATTGAAACGAACATTTTTTGCAAATTTTGATTGCACTGACGCGTAACTGTGGCTTAGTGACTGGCTTCTAAAAATTCCTGGGTTTAGTGACTGGCTTATAAAAGTTCCTGCTGAGCATGAATATGTATGGCGTTGGTTGTTTTATTTTCTTTCTTTTGAGACGCGTTGGTTTTTTTTTGCTTTTTTAAAAGTTGAATTTTTTCTCAAAACCTGATTTTCAAAAAAATGACACCAATGGAATGACATCCCACTCCCCTATGGGCCTGCGTAATCGCTTAATCTCTTTTTACTCTACACCATTTTTATACAGCCTTCGCAAAAACTGTGTTGGGGAATATTTGACCAAATTTTTTTTTATCTTTGTTTTCTCAAAAACTGCCCTCCCAAATATGAGATTTTGAGTTCAATGTATAGAAAGGGTTTTGGGAAGCTCTCTGCATAAGGAACAATTTTTTTCAATGTTCGATTTTTGACCGCTTTCCAAGCTTTTTGGTTTTCTCGAAAACTGCCCTCCCGAATATGAGATTTTGGGCTCTATAGTAGAACGGGTTGTAGGCAGCTCCCCTGCGTAAATGGCTACACCAAATTTTTTACATAATAATTAATGGCCCTCGGAAAAGTCAAATTTTCGATTTTTGACCGTTTTTAAAATTTTTCGAAAAGCATCATACCGAATTTGAGATTTTGAGCTCAATGTAGAGAACGGGTTGGTTCAAGTTCTTCTGCATTAGCGGCTGTAGACAAAAGTTATCGTCTTCGAAAAAAGTCAAAATTTTGATGAAAGTCAAAATTTTGATGTTTTGATAGTTTTTCCAAGTTTTCCAGGAAACTACCCGTCCAATTCTCAGATTTATGGTTTCAATCGAAGGAACAGCCTGTGTGAAGCATCCCTATTTAAGCGGCTATGGCCAAATGTTTTTTCACAAAAAGTTATGGCCCTCGGAAAAGTCAAATATTTATTTTTCTGCCGTTTTTTGAATCTTTCGATTTTTCTCGAAATCTATCCTCCCAAATCTGAGTTGTAGGTTCAATGGAAGATTATCATCCTGTGTTAGTGGCGACGCCCAAATTTTTTAAACAAAATTTAAGGCCATGGGAAAAGTCAAGTTTTCGAATTTTTTTGTTTTTTTCTCAGCCAGTTTTATAGAAATCAAGACAGCAAAAAAGCCAACTGACGTTGACGTTTATTATAGAGATGTAATCGAGTACGAAAAAATGCAAAAGTGGGTCATGCATTCTAAAGTTTTTATCTCAAAAGTATTGCAATAATTTTGGAATAAACTCATGATACTTTTCTTTGATTTATGATTTTTGTTCCGGCCATTGAAAATGGAGAGGAACTTTGTCTTCGGGTGTGTTTTTTTGTTTTCATCTCAAATCAGGCATCACAAATAATCACGGATTAGGTCAAGTTTTATATCAGCCCTTTCAATCGTGATTCGAACAATTTTTATTAAGTGTCGAAAAAAAATCTTTCATTAGAACCCTGAAATTTGAGTTTTACATTAGTAAAACAAGTGTATGAAGGTTTTTAGCACTAGAAAAATTACAAAATTCAAAAAAAAATTAAGAATATTTTTGGTTTTTCTAGTCATCCTCCGATAAAATTTGTTGTTCAATGTGCCTTTTTACTATGACGGCTCTTTTCCAGTTCCCCCCCTTTCAAAATCAATTTAAAAAAAACTATTTAACGTTGTCATAGTGCAATGAAATTTGGCGTGGTGAACAAATCACAATTCTGAACAGATTTGTTCTTCATATTTTACAGCGTAATATCACGCGTTTAGCCGTAATAACACGTAAAACAAACATAAAACTCGGTATTTTGAAAGGGGGGACTGGAAAAGAGCCACTATGACTATTGAATATACTAATTTTATTGACTTGCATGTAGATCATCTCATCGCACCACGCACAAAAATGGTCGGAACATTCTGTGATAATTGTACAGGAACGGGTTGTTCTTGTAAACATTGGATCTTGTTAATTATCTCCCCTATGATGCATACTATTGGTTTTCCACCCCTATAAAGCAAATAAGAACTTTGTATCTTGTCACTAGTTACTCTCCTTTGCAATAGAAGGGGAGCTGATTGTTAAAAGATCCTAATTCGTGAATGATAATAGATAAACATAAAAAATTAAATAGAATTTTCCAACCTGAAATTTCTGTTCCTTAAGTTATGGCTCTCAGCGGATGCTTTTGGCAATGATTGAAGTTTATGTTCACGCTTGTTTTATGTAATCAGTTCTGTATCTGCAATTGGCTTAAAACAGCACTGTTTCCTCACTATTTTTAATGTTGTTTTGGAAACAATTGATTTTTTTAGGATTCCGGATGCCCTCATCTTTCGCTTCGATATGTCCCTTTATTTTGCCAACGCCGATCTATTCGTGTCATCTATGAAGAAGCAAATCGCACTTCGTCACAAGGAGTGTCTCTCCCCTTCTTATTCTGCAATTGATTCAAATCATCATAGCAAATCACCGACTATTGCGGGTCTGAAGTTCGTAGTCTTGGACGCGGAACCCTTCAATTTCATAGACCATTCCGGAATTATTGCTTTAAGTACGGTGCTACAACACTGCAAAGCTAGTCAAATTGAGCTGCTAATATCAGTGTGTGGACTGGAAATAGTGGAAAAGTTTGAACGAGAAGGATTTGTGGATAAAATTGGACTTGAGAATCTTTTCCCAAGTGTTCACGATGCCGTATTGTATATAGAGGACGTTTTTCTCAATAGAGGGCAAGCTACATGTGTGAACAAAGACTTCGTCCAGCTGCAGAAACAAAACGACTTGAAAGACATCGACACATCAGAAATTCATTCTGTTTAGAGAAATTTGGCATTCTTATTCTCATATCTATATCTATATCATTTCCAATGTTGTTAAAGTCGATTTACTTGCTACTTAACAAGTTAGATTATCTTAGATCATCGTCTAATTTCTTTTAGTTTAACCAATATTGATTTGATAAAAAAATGGTCTGAATTAGGCGAGTTTGATAGAAAAAAGGATTGGATCACCGATTTTTTGTGTTCTCCTTTTTCCAACTCTTTGTAAACAGTGATGACTGTTGAAATGATTTGAAAGCCTCTAACTATATTATTTTTTTAGTATGCCTAAAATTTATTCGCACACCTAAAACAAGACAGTTTTCAAAGCTTATCAAGCTTAGCTCAAATTTTGATACTCGGACAAAAAATTTACCCTCTAAAACGGGGCAATATTTTTCTCTCACAAAATGCGTTTAATTCATTTTTTACCGGTTATTGGCATCAAAACTCATTAACTTGTGAATTCTGTACTTGAAGTTTTAGCTGAATATGCAGATTCTGTGTAGTAAAAAAATGAAGAATAAGCCCTACGTCCCTAAGATGTACAAACTACTCAAAACAATCAAACCAGAGAACTCGAAAATTTGCTCTGAATAACATTTTCAGACGCAATTTTTAAGATACTAATTGGTGTCTACTACCGACAATTAAAACAATTTCTGGATCAAAAAGCTCGATATTTGTCTAATTGTTTGTTTCATATGTCGATTCAACTTTGAAAAGCTATAGCGAAATGAAAAAGTCCCTACTGATGTTGATCACTCAGATTGGGTTAAATTCAATATTTGAGATAAAGAAAGGGAAAATATGACAACTGTTGTTATAAAATGTGTTGGGATTTTCTGGAGACGTTTTGATCAGATAGTAGCTCAAATGGCTACAATTGCCTTAAATTCAAATGTGAGTTGACAGTAACTTAGTTGAGGTTGAAAACCAGTAAAAAACTTACTTTAGATTCTGCGTGTTTGCTTGCAAATGGCCTTTTGAAATTGGATTATGTTTTTAAACAATTCATCGAATGTTAATTAGTTTTTGTGCCCACTGGAATGTTTGATCCAATAAATTTTTTTAAAAGATAATTTTCTTTTATTTTTACCAGGTTCCTATTCGGCAGTTTGATAAGTTGGGGTTTGGCGTCGAAATGTTTTAACGTCTTGATGACCAGTCATATTTTTTACCTTGCATTCATTTGCACAACTAGTTGGTAGGTATATTATCGCTCGGACCGTTATTTGCAAATTGGCTGGATCACTTTGCCTTTGATACACGTTGGGCTGATATCGAAAGTTGAGTGTTATCTTTATCTATCTATACTCTATTTAAATGCGTGTGACAAGTGTCTTGCCATATTTAAGCGTTCTTTTGCAACGGTTAAGCGCATAGCGTATCTATACGCTGGTTAAGATATATCGTATATTACGATGCTTAAAAATTTTTTTCGATTTTCCTTTTAGAATGCTTGGCCTATTTAAAGTCCCGAATCTGAAGCTGTCGCTATGATGCCAGGATGGAGGGGAGGGCAGTGCAGTGTAAGGTAGTATAAAGATGGGATTCATTCATCTATACATTATGTAACGGGCATTTTTTGTTGCAGCATTTAATTCTCCAAATTTAAAATCAGCCAACCTACGGTGAGGTACTGTCAGATTTTCCCCATTGCTTCCAAAGTTTGCCTCAAAATTTGAATTCCCATTTTTTTAGTTTACGCGATATTAAAAAAATTGAGAAAGAATTGAAATTTGACGATTCATTTCAGTTTAGTATCCGAAAGTTACCGATTTTCCGCCACAATGTTTTTAGCACTGCTGATCCTATGATTTAACCCTGGGAAGGGTTTTTACCCAACAATTTTTTCAAACCTGCATTTTTGTCAACCAATAGACATATTTTGAGCATGCTAGCTGTTCAGTATTTGTTTCTTAATATTTTTAAAAGATTTTCCGAAAGCGGTTCGGTGTAATTTTGTTTTGTTTTTCTTGGATTTTTTTTTGGTTTTTATTGAATCGGCCTTTTGGCATCATGTTTTATCGTTAGACGACGGAAATAAGTTTCATGTTCGCTTGAGTCTTTTAAGTAGGTAATTATGTATTTTTAAAAGTTATAAATTTTTTTCATGAAAAAACTGTTTTTTGGCTCTACGCCTGTCTGCTCAGAAATTGTCTCTTTTTTTTCTATGCAAATGTAGTTTTCATTTTTTCCTTTGTCAAGGTTTTCATAAAAGTGACCTGTGTTTAAGACATAGATTTAAAAATTTTGGTAAATCTAGTTTTTCTCGACGTTTCTATAAATATGTTTTTTTTTTCAATTTATCGACTTTCGTCTCGATTTCTGGCTGCTAGTTTGTCATGCTATGGTTGCTATATAACTTTTTTGAAGCAAGATTTTGAATAACGAACCTCTCAATTTGGCTCAAAAGAGCGAATATATTGATTGAAACGAACATTTTTTGCAAATTTTGATTGCACTGACGCGTAACTGTGGCTTAGTGACTGGCTTCTAAAAATTCCTGGGTTTAGTGACTGGCTTATAAAAGTTCCTGCTGAGCATGAATATGTATGGCGTTGGTTGTTTTATTTTCTTTCTTTTGAGACGCGTTGGTTTTTTTTGCTTTTTTAAAAGTTGAATTTTTTCTCAAAACCTGATTTTCAAAAAAATGACACCAATGGAATGACATCCCACTCCCCTATGGGCCTGCGTAATCGCTTAATCTCTTTTTACTCTACACCATTTTTATACAGCCTTCGCAAAAACTGTGTTGGGGAATATTTGACCAAATTTTTTTTTATCTTTGTTTTCTCAAAAACTGCCCTCCCAAATATGAGATTTTGAGTTCAATGTATAGAAAGGGTTTTGGGAAGCTCTCTGCATAAGGAACAATTTTTTTCAATGTTCGATTTTTGACCGCTTTCCAAGCTTTTTGGTTTTCTCGAAAACTGCCCTCCCGAATATGAGATTTTGGGCTCTATAGTAGAACGGGTTGTAGGCAGCTCCCCTGCGTAAATGGCTACACCAAATTTTTTACATAATAATTAATGGCCCTCGGAAAAGTCAAATTTTCGATTTTTGACCGTTTTTAAAATTTTTCGAAAAGCATCATACCGAATTTGAGATTTTGAGCTCAATGTAGAGAACGGGTTGGTTCAAGTTCTTCTGCATTAGCGGCTGTAGACAAAAGTTATCGTCTTCGGAAAAGTCAAAATTTTGATGAAAGTCAAAATTTTGATGTTTTGATAGTTTTTCCAAGTTTTCCAGGAAACTACCCGTCCAATTCTCAGATTTATGGTTTCAATCGAAGGAACAGCCTGTGTGAAGCATCCCTATTTAAGCGGCTATGGCCAAATGTTTTTTCACAAAAAGTTATGGCCCTCGGAAAAGTCAAATATTTATTTTTCTGCCGTTTTTTGAATCTTTCGATTTTTCTCGAAATCTATCCTCCCAAATCTGAGTTGTAGGTTCAATGGAAGATTATCATCCTGTGTTAGTGGCGACGCCCAAATTTTTTAAACAAAATTTAAGGCCATGGGAAAAGTCAAGTTTTCGAATTTTTTTGTTTTTTTCTCGAAAAATGTCCAGTCTAATCTGATATCAAAAGCTTGAACGAGTTAACAGGTTGTGTGAAGCCTTTGTGCATAAACTGCTACGCTCTAACTTTTTGAGAAAATTGTTTTGTGTTTTCTTCTTGAAAATTCCAGATTCTCAAAAAAATTAACTATTTCTTGTTTTAGTAGAGAAACAATTAAGGTATTAGTACAACTAATTTTTAAAAGGTCAAACAGGTACATCCAGTTTTGGCTGTGCCCCTTGTAAGATCGAAAACAAATGATGTCAATAAAATGAGACACACTGCACTAATGATTGTTTTAGATGAATTTCTAGATAATTACAAATCTTAGTGAAAACGCGACTCCTAGAAAGAAAGAATTTATTTCTCATTGTTAATGGTAAATTTGCATCTAAAGAGAATTTAAATATGAAGCACCAGAATCAGTGAGGGGACAGTTAACGAACCCAATTTGGTTACACAGCACTGCCCGTTTTATCAAATGAAAGACAAATTTGTGATCTTCAAAGACAAGGAAAAATATATAAATCTGAAAACATAAAAGAAGATATTGGAAAAAGAAAATACTCAAGTTTGAATAAACATAAAGCAGCAGATTTAAGGCATTGTCTAGACAGGTTAATGACATAAGGTCCAAGCTCTGTATCAATATTTAAAGTGATGGTTCAATCGTAGTTCAAATTCATCACTCATAATTTCTGAATTATTGACCCAAAAATTTAGGGTCTTACTCTTGCGATTCACAAGCGTATATTAATGGGGAACATGACTTTGTTTCCCGCTAGCTACTTGCCAACAGCATTCGATTCTTTGATATTACGTAACCCATATTAAATTCAAATCCAAGTTCATGTTGTGATTCGGTAGCATAGAGGTAACGCCCTCGCTTGTGACAACAAAGGCGCTGGGCTCGAATCTGCTTAAAAGTCAGAATTTTTCTTTTTTAAGTTTTTTTTCAGAAAATGTTTTTTTGGACTATCATTTTTTTGCCTATTTTTATCTGCTTACTTTGCAAAGCATGGTTTTTCTTGCAGTTGAAGCAATTTTTTCATTTTTCAAATTCTTTCGTATTTGTTTCAGTAATTTTCAAGTTTACCACCTATGGTTTTTGAATGATTTCCTTTTCGTTTTTTTTTCTTTTCTCGCGTTTTTTTCGCTTTGAAGGTTTCTTCGGATTGAATGGTTCAGCTTATGTTACGTAGGATTAAAAACTTCGCGGTACATTGCTTGAGGGACGAAAATACTTTTTCATTCGTATTTGTATTGGGCTGTGGTGGCTGAAAAACTTAGTTCAAATTTTTTATTGCTCAAAGCTACAAAATTATAGCTTTTTCCAGCTATAGTTTAATAGCCTAAAATTTTTTGGGCACTTTTTTTTTTAGCTCGACGGTTCTTCACTCAATTGTCTGCGGAGTAACTGCTTGATAAGTTCCTCTTTTGTCAATAAGCTTTTCTGTCACGGAGAATGATTTGACTTGGTCAAGATTTGCGTAAGTGGGTAACAGTGTTTTGGTTATAGTGGTCATTTCAGAATGGATGAAATCGAGCGATTGTCAGATGACGAATTGAGGTCCAAATTGAAGACGTTTTCCACTTTTGTCGGGCCAATCACAGGTGAGATGATGAGGGAAATCCTTAATTCCAGAATGAAGCAATCCCAAAAATAAGTCAGTTTTCAAATTTTTGAAATTTTTGACCGAGGCCAACTGAATGGATAGGTTCGTCTCTCTGAAATGCATCAATGAATGTCGAACACATATGAAGGGCTTATCATATTTAGGTTTTCTCGAATCATTTTTACGAGGCTATACTTTTCACGAAATTTTTTTCACGAAAGATTGATCAAATCGGTGCTCCAAGGTTGTTCTAAATTACCAAAAAGTCCTTACTTTGACAAAATTTGATGTCAAAAAAGATACCGTCCAAACTGGGTCAAAGGGGGATCTTTCGGGCGGTCAAGGGATCGAATACCTAGAGGTTTTTCCCGCTGCTAAATGTGCACCTGCCCTCAGGTAATGTATTATGCTGTAGGAAACTGTATATTTAGAGTTACGATTAATAACGAAATTGACAGAAGTGGATTTTTTACCTCATGAAAGTTGAAATGTATGCTTTTCTATTGCTTATCTTAGCTAAAAAACAAATGTACATGAACTCTTCTCAAGAAAAATACGGCTTTGTATGAAGATAACCATTACTCCAGCATGTAACAGTTTAAGAACTGTGGTCGATTACCAATGTTATTAATGCACCTTTTGTTTCAGATTCTACACGCCGTGTCTATCAACTGAAACTATCAAATCATCGTTAGTAATCATCTTTTTAAATGCACACGACCATCAAATAATTTTGGTCAATTATTTTGAAATCGTTCTCAGTTTTGCGTTTCGTCCTTCGAAGTTTTTGTGAATGAGAGCCTCTCATTTTAAAATCAGGGCGCTATCTATGAATAACTTTTCCCCTCTCCCATGTAAAATCCGTATTATCTTTTCAGAGCTCCGCTGATCAATTCTGTTGTGCAAGTATCACTGAACTCTCGGACAACAAATATCATTGCAGAAAATGTTTCAAAAACTGGAAAAATGAATTAATTTTTTGTTCCATTTTTTGCAGATTTTTAAAAAGTTTTTTTTTTTGAAGAGAAGGGCTAAAAGTAACAAAGGAAGTAATGTCAATTCTAAATGTCGGTTATGCTTGTTTAGTAAATGAGGGTTCTGGAGCAAGTGGTGACTCCAAAAGCTCCACAACTGCGTCTTATTCCACTTCGCCCAGTGATATAAACGAAGGTTTTCCAAATGAGTACAGGCCATCAGTAAACGAAGCTCAGCCTCGCAGTCCTCTTTCCAGTGCAAATGGAGGCCATTATACGTCTCCGAAAGCCTCTTCGAGCGCGATGCCTCGCGCAGAGCAAAACAACAATCCGCCGATGGTCCAAAAAAGTCCGTTCTCGTACAACCGAATCGGAGATCGCCAGCCGCCGTCTGTTCAGCAGAGGCAGTCGATGGGCGGGGACTATTTGGAAGATATGAGAGGTGATGGTTATACGGGACCAGGGGGAGATGGCACTCCACAGAGAACTGCATTGGAAGGAGGGGGATTGTTTAAAGGAAGGTTTTCAGATGTCGAAGTTAGAAATAAATCAAGTAAGCATTGTTCGCCAGCATATTTCTCAATTATTTTGAATGAAATTAACAGGGGTCGATAGTCAAGATAGCTGTGAGTAGCTGGAAACCAATAGAAATTTGAATAGGCAAAATTAAGTGTTTGAAGTCGTTGCCGTTGCATCTTATGCGGTTAAATTTGTTCTTGTATTCTGGAATCGTAATATGCGAGTAATTTGTTATGATAATTGAGTAAAAATCTCTTGTATTTAAGGTGCTTCAAGCGGATCACGCGAGCAGTCGTTATAGTAAGTTTTGAAGATTTTTAAAGAGACTACCGTTGTTAAATCGAGATAAGGTATAGTTTAAACCAAAATGAGCTGAAATTAAACCACTGAGTTTATTCGCAACTTATTTCAATTACAAAAAATAGCAATTTTTTTTTTCAATATAGTAGATGAGAATCTAATCGAATTGTATGAGAATCTAAGTTCATTCATGTTTATTTCGTGTCAGTAGTGGTCAGATGAACTCCGCCAATCTCACTTCGACACCACATAACTACCCCAACTCACCAGCAGCAGGGGGATTGACGGGCAGGTCATCAATAGGAGGTAGGAATCACCAATAAATGATATCCAATTTTTCAATTGTCCGGTCGAAAACTGAAGTTTTTTGTGGTTCATTTATAATGATGTGATTATATATTTGGTCCATGTTCTGTTTCAGTGACTCCAGTGAGCGCCTTTTCGAACAGCAGCAGTCCCGGTGGGACCCACTCTTCAAAACTATTCGGGTTAGCTTTAAACAGTCGGATGCTTTGAGCTCAGTTTTGTTGTAGTCCTTCGATTTATAAAAAGGTATCGAGAGAAATGAACAATTTTTGAAATATTTTGGATCGGATCCTGGCATGCTCAAGTGTTTATTGCGCTTTGACTAGTAAGCGTTACCAAGTCAGAGCACACTTTTTCAGGTTAACAATTTTTCTAAAAGAATCACTGAATCATTTGGTGGCTTCATTTTTAAGAGTCGATGATTGTAGTGAAATTTTATATAGGTCATGATGATATTATTTGGTTGTTTTAGGAAAAGTATCAAAATTTGTCCAGGCTCAAATTTGTTTTTTTTTGCGGTTTGACTTTTGAGTTCTTAAGTTCAGATCATTTTCTTTGTTAAAAGGAAGGTAAACTTCACTATCAAACAGCAAAATGTGAAGGTTACGAAAAACGTGATCAATTTCTTGTTTCAAAAATGGAGTTTAATTTTCAGATTTCCAAGCTGATTGAAAAAATTACCTTAATTACGTTTATTTTATCAAAAAGTAGTATTGATCATAAATTGTTATAAGAAATTTTTTTTGTAAGAAATTTAAGAAAAATTTGCCATGTATTTTTTTTCTCTTATGTTTGAAAAATAAGTCGCAATGTTTGATCAATAAATTTCAGTATTTTATTTGCGGGCGTTTGGCCGAGAGGTACAGTCCATGCCTCGACTTGAAAAAAAAAATTATTTTTAGGCCTAATTGCGACAGCACGGGACTGTCTAATAATTTAAGCGTTTTTCACCGGTGTTCAAAATCCATTTGATGTATTCCTGTAATGATGCAGATAATTGAAGGAAGAGAAGTCAATAGTTCAGGTTTTGTGCTTTCTGTTTGTTCTTTTTTCTGAAAAAAGTGTTGAAGTTTTCACGCATAAATTTGATTTTTGGTGGTTTGACTTGTTTGATTTGATTTTTAGCCGTTTAGCGGTATGATTTTTCTAAGTTCAATTCAACTTCATATGCTGAATGGAAGTCATATTCTGTTCTCCAATTACGATTATGCAAACGGTGCGAAAAATGTGAATGTTAGGCTCAAAGGTGCTTTTGAATAATTTAATTTCCCAGCGGATTAAAAAATTATTTATTTCCCCTGTTTTCTCTAATTGGTTCGGTTTTATGAGTAAACTGTCGAAATTGAAAGATTTCTGAAGTTCAAAGAGCTTTAACTTGTTGTATTTGTTTCTTCGAAATTTGAGAAGTTTTCAAATTGACAATCAATTTTTTTTAATTTTCTTGAGTTAATGAAATTTTTCAGGTTTCTGTTGACGGATTTTTTTTGGCTTGGTCTTTTGATTTTTTGGTTGGGTTTTTTAGCTGCTGTTTAAATTTGATTTCGTATATATATATATATGTACGCAAGCTAGTGAGCATTGATTTATATTACGACTACTCTGTTTTTTAATACAACTCGCATAACTAGTGCTCATTTTGGTGGCTTTTATGCTGCACAGTATTAGCAGTTAAATAGATGAGTTTTCCATTTTATCAGTGGCAAGTGTTTTGGTTCTTTCAAGGTCAGTAGTTAAGTTGTGTAGGCCAGTCGAACTGGATGCTCGTGGCCTCTGGTTCGTTTTCCGTAGAGGGTTTTCTTTTTTCAAATCTCTTTAATATTTTTTTTATTTTCTTGTCCTTTTCTCTTTTGATCTCTTTAAAGCTACTTCTTGGCGTTTTGTCGCTTGTGTTGGCATTGTGCACCCACGTCTCTTTATTTATTTTAATCTTCGCAAGAGATGCAAAGCGCAGTTTCGCTTCTGTTTAAATATTTGTGTACTAATTTTTTGTTGATTGGGATTTGTGGTACAAGAAAAAGAACTCAACTATTGACTCAGTTTTCTCTAATTGGGTTTCTTGGTTTTCTAGTGATGTGCCTGTGAAGTACCCTCAAATGCGGCAGAGAATCCAGCCGACAGCTGGACATACACCCTCCCAGGCATCCCAGTTTGCCAGAGACAGTCATCAACCTTACAGTGGGGGTATGAGAGCCTCATGTTTATTTCAGAGTTTTTAAAATGAATTTAAATAAAAAACCAATTACCACCCAGAAAAACCAATTATACCCAGAAAAAGACCAAATTACTAGCTCAAAATTGTTTTCTGGACTAAAAATTGTAGCATTGATTGCTTTTATTCTCGGTTTCGACTTACTCGAAAGCTTGTTGGTCATCCACTGGTATTATGTTAAAGCCCTTCCATTCAATATTCCGACATAAAAAAAATATTTGTATGTTCCAAAAATGTTATGATTTTTTAAGAATCGATTAACGTAGTTCAGACTCTTTTATAGGTGCTGATGATTTTTTCTCTGGGAAAGTCTTCAAATTTGTTCACGCTCATATCTACTTTTTCGCGTAAAAGAAGGCAATTTCCACTATCGAACAGCAAAAGTGCTAGATCACAAAAACGTGATAGATATCTAATTTCGAAAGTGGAACTTAATTTTCAGATTTCCCATCGAAATAAAAATTTACTGATTCATACAGTTTTCACAAATTTGGTTAACTTTATCAAAAAAGGTATTAATCATAAATTTAGTAAAAGTAAATTTAGAGTTCTAGTAAAAAAGATCGTTGAACGTAGTTCAGACTCTTTTATAGGCGCCGATAATTTTTTTCAGGAAAAGTTTTCAAAATTTTTTAGGCTCATATTTACTTTTTCGCGTAAAAGGAAGGCAAACTCCACTATCGAACAGCAAAGTGTTAAGATCACAAAAAACGTGATCGTTTTCTACGGTGTATTTCCTTTGTTAAAACGAAGGCAAACTCCAATATCGAACAGCACAAGTGGAAAGGTCACAAATAACGTGCTGGACATCTAGTTTCGAAAGTGGCATATAGTTTTCAGATTTCCCCGGCAAAATGAAAAAAATGACTGATTGATACTGTTTTCTCAAGTTTGGTCATTTCGAATTTTAATTAAAGACTCAACCAATTGTCCACCCAGAAAAAGACCAACTTACAAGCTCAAAGTTGTTTTGTGGACTAAAAATTGTAGCATTCAATTCCTTTTATTCTCAATTTTGACTACCTCGAAAGCTTGTTAGTCATCCTTTGTGGTATTATGTTAAAGCACTTCCATTCATTATTCCGACTTTAAAAAAATAAAGACTAAAAAAACAAACCATTGTTATGTGTTCCAAAAATTAAACGATTTTTTAAGAATCGATGAACGTAATTCACTCTTTTATAGGTGCTGAACATTTTTTTCAGGAAAAGTCTTTAAAATTGTTCAGGCACATCTTTACTTTTATGCGTGAAAGGAACGCAAACTTCCTTATCGAACAGCAAAGTTTTAAGATCACAAAAAACGTGATCGTTTTCTACGGTGTAATTCCTTTGTTAAAACGAAGGCAAACTCCAATATCGAACAGCACAATTGGAAAGGTCACAAATAACGTGCTGGACATCTAGTTTCGAAAGTGGCATATAGTTTTCAGATTTCCCGGCAAAATGAAAAAAATGACTGATTGATACTGTTTTCTCAAGTTTGGTCATTTCGAATTTTAATTAAAGACTCAACCAATTGTCCACCCAGAAAAAGACCAACTTACAAGCTCAAAGTTGTTTTGTGGACTAAAAATTGTAGCATTCAATTCCTTTTATTCTCAATTTTGACTACCTCGAAAGCTTGTTAGTCATCCTTTGTGGTATTATGTTAAAGCACTTCCATTCATTATTCCGACTTTAAAAAAATAAAGACTAAAAAAACAAACCATTGTTATGTGTTCCAAAAATTAAACGATTTTTTAAGAATCGATGAACGTAATTCACTCTTTTATAGGTGCTGAACATTTTTTTCAGGAAAAGTCTTTAAAATTGTTCAGGCACATCTTTACTTTTATGCGTGAAAGGAAGGCAAACTTCCTTATCGAACAGCAAAAGTGTAAAGATCACAAAAAACGTGATAGTTTTCTACGGTGTATTTCCTTTGTTAAAACGAAGGCAAACTCCAATATCGAACAGCACAAGTGGAAAGGTCACAAATAACGTGCTGGACATCTAGTTTCGAAAGTGGCATATAGTTTTCAGATTTCCCCGGCAAAATAAAAAATATGACTGATTGATACAGTTTTCTCAAGTTTGGTCATTTCGAATTTTAATTATAGACTCAACCAATTGTCCACCCAGAAAAAGACCAACTTACAAGCTCAAAGTTGTTTTGTGGACTAAAAATTGTAGCATTTAATTCGTTTTATTCTCAATTTTGACTACCTCGAAAGCTTGTTGGTCATCCACCGTGGTATTATGTTAAAGCACTTCCATTCATATTTCCGACTTTAAAAAAAAGACTAAAAAAAAACCATTGTAATGTGTTCCAAAAATTAAACAATTTTTTAAGAATCGATGAACGTAATTCAGACTCTTTCATAGGTGCTGAAGATTTTTTTAAGGAAAAGTCTTTAAAATGTTCAGGATCATTTTTACTTTTATGCTTAAAAGGAAGGCAAACTCCTTTATCGAACAGCAAAAGTGAAAGTTCACAAAAAACTTGATCGGTTTTTAGTTTCGAAAGTGGAATTTAATTTTCAGATCCCAAGCATAATAAAAAGCTTACCGATTGATACAGTTTTCTCAAATTTGGTTAATTTTATCAAAAAAGTGTAAATCATAAGTTGCTCTAGACTTTCAAAGAGTTTTAAGGGATCTATTTTTTTTAAGAATCGATGAACTTAGTTCAGACTCTTTTATAGGTCCTCATGATTTTTTTCAGGAAAAGTCTTCTAATTTGTTGAGGCTCACATATACTTTTTCGCATAAAAGGAAGGCAAACTCCACTATTGAACAGCTTAAGTGTAAAGTAACAAAACTCGTGATTGATATCTAGTTTCGAAAGTGGTTTAACTTTAAGATTTCCCAACAAAATAAAAAAAATTACTGATTGATACTGTTTTCTCAAATTTGGTCAATTTCATCGAAATAGTGCCAATCATAAATTGTTCTTGAAATTCAAAGAGCCTTAAGGGCATCGACTTTTTGAAATTCGAAAGTTCAGATTTTTTCAAAAAACAAGTCGTTTTTTTTTCTTTTTAATTGCGTTCATTGACTCTTTTCCAACTGTCTGTTGCATATTTTTTTCTTTTCAGGTTCAATAGAAAAAAATCAATAAAAAATCGATAATGGGATTATCAGTGGTAGACTTATTCAGCTCGAAAAATTAGCACCGATAAACCAGCTATAAAAACTCAAAAAAGTGATTTTTCTACGTTTTCTGCAATGATAATTGTGGTCGGAACATTCTTAGTTTTTGTTAGGTTTTTTAAAAAAAATTGTATTTGATATAGGCGTTCGGAGGAACGTAGCCCAACCTGCACCACTTGATAAGCGAACATCAACAGGAGCTGAAAGGAAAAATCAGTCGCCTGGTAACACTACGACCGGATCGCAGATTGTGAAATACTTCAAACTGACTTTATATACAGTTTTGGCGTTATTTGTAGTAATGGGTGTGTTGGTTTTTGTCAACATGGAACCGACACTTAATGTGTAAAAAAATATTCATTAATTAGTAACAAATTTATTCTCCAAAAGTTTGGTTCTTTCTAAAAAAAAATTCTGTTTTCTTTTTTATATATGAAGCCACTGGTCGCAGACCTTAAAGGTCAAAAACAATATTGAGAAATGAAGTCTTAAATAATCCTGTCCATAAACTTGTTACTAATTAGAAAACGTGGTTTTAGAGAGTAAAAATGTGAAGTTTTGCTTGATTATGCGTCCGAGGATTGATATCACGTATTGCAAAAAGACAAAAAATTGCTTTATCATAAATCCTGATAAAATAGTGCAGAGTTACGAAGTCAATTTAAATCTTGAGGGTCAATGAAAAGACGTTAAATGAGTGCAAAGTGTTGGAATATACGAATTTCGGCCTTGATGAATGTTCATGATTTTTTCATTGATGTTTCAAAAGGAAACAAGATTTGACAATCCTTGTTTTCGAAAAAAATTTCCAGGAAAGAAAAGGACCTTGAATATTGCAGTAAAATGAAGTTTCCTCATGTTCTATGAGTTAGTTTGATTTGATTAGTTCTATTTGTTGAGTAGAAAAGTTGCTGTAAAAAACCATTGGCTCGAATTGCCATAAACTGTTTAATTTCATTACAGTTTTTGTTTTTGCTTTTATGTCACTAATCATTTGTTAATGTTAATTTAAATATGTTTCCTTCTTTTTCATGCTAGAAAAGTGAGAAACCTGGTTTATATTACAATGTTCATAAAGAAAGAAAAAATACATGAAAGGAAAGCGTGAACCTGGGGCCCTGAAAAACGTTATTGGAGCGAACATTTTTCAAGGCCAAGTATTTCACGAGCGGAAGGCCCAGCATACGAGCTTTTCAGCTCGATGACGTAAAATACTCTTGCGCTCCTTTATAACATTCGCAAGCGTAGTGTCAGATTACAAAGTTAACTTTTTTCTAGCTCGTCTAGCTATTAGAAGTGCTCATTTTGTAGCAAATGTGTCGGCATATCGTCGGCATTTAATTAGTATCCCTTGTATATTCTATATTGAGGACTGGAGTTTGATGGTTGCCATACAACCGTAGCGCATATGCGAGGACGAGATGATCCAAGTCGGAATTTCGACGCCGGTACAGACCAGTTTTTTTAAGCATGGGCAATTAAAGCATCTTTTTGTATCTCCTAAATTGGTGACTAGTATTTGACGATTTTTAAGCGACCATGGCGCAGATGCAAAGATAGACGTGAGACGCTTAATCTCGTGTTCGTGGTTCGATTCCGTGTTCGTGGTTTATCTCGTACTCATGTGTTCGTGGTTCGATTCCGTGTTCGTGGTTTATCTCGTGCTCATCTGTTCGTGGTTCGATTCCGTGTTCGTGGTTTATCTCGTGCTCATGTGTTCGTGGTTCGATTCCATGTTCGTGGTTTATCTCGTGCTCATGTTTTCGTGGTTCGATTCCGTGTTCGTGGTTTATCTCGTGCTCATGTGTTCGTGGTTCGATTCAGTGTTCGTGGTTTATCTCGTGCTCATGTGTTCGTGGCTCGATTCCGTGTTCGTGGTTTATCTCGTGCTCATGTGTTCGTGGTTCGATTACGTGTTCGTCGTTTATCTCGTGCTGATGTGTTCGTGGTTTGATTACGTGTTCGTGGTTTATCTCGTGCTTATGTGTTCGTGGTTCGATTCCGTGTTCGTGGTTTATCTCGTGCTCATGTGTTCGTGGTTCGATTCCGTGTTCGTGGTTTATCTCGTGCTCATGTGTTCGTGGTTCGATTGCGTGTTCGTGGTTTATCTCGTGTTCGTGGTTCGATTCCGTGTTCGTGGTTATCTCGTGCTCATGTGTTCGTGGTTCGATTCCGTGTTCGTGGTTTATCTCGTGCTCATGTGTTCGTGGTTCGATTCCGTGTTAGTGGTTTATCTCGTGCTCATGTTTTCGTGGTTCGATTCCGTGTTCGTGGTTTATCTCGTGCTCTTGTGTTCGTGGTTCGATTCCCTGTTCGTGGTTTATCTCGTGCTCATATGTTCGTGGTTCGATTCCATGTTCGTGGTTTATCTCGTGCTCATGTGTTCGTGGTTCGATTCCGTATTCGTGGTTTATCTCGTGCTCATATGTTCGTGGTTCGATTTCGGCTCAAGTTAAAAGTGTTTTTTATATTTTTCATTAGAAAGCAACATTGATACAGCACAAAAAGTCAGTGATGCGACAACTCAGCAGACAAAAAATATGCCGGCAATTTTTTTTTTGAAAGGGAACAATTTCCGTTTAAAAAAACACGCCCTGGCCAAATTCAAGCCTAAGATCTTCACAATCCCAGAACAAAGGTGCCCGAAAAGTTACAAAAATTGAATTTACTATAAACCGAGCTATCCAATGGTTCAATTGACTTGATTTAACAAATTGATAATCCAGAAATCTGTTTTTTGATAACGCTTGCCAATCGCAAAAAATTTGATGAAAAACAGCTGAAACTTTGCTTTTTCGATTTGAATTTAGTCAAAAACGCATGATGCTTTAAAAATCTACGACTAATGGTATCAGCATAAGTTTTTAAATATGAATGAACAGGTTTTTTTATTATAATTTGCGTACTTATGGGCCTCACGCTTTTGCGTCGTGAAAAAATATGTTGATATTTTTTTCGGTTTTTCCACTTGATCATTTTTTGTGCTGAAATTGGGTGTAACATTAGTGATCCTATGCACGGATACCGACTTTATTTGTCTCATTTCAAACACGTTTTATTGTTACTTGGACTAAATGTACGCAAATTTTAGCTTTAATTGCAAAAAAAGGAAGTGAACTACCACCAATATATTTCATTTGATTTTTTATGAACTTCCGAGAAACTTTGTTCACGCTCTTTAATTTTGGCCTTTGAGTTTTGTAGCTTTCAAAGCAGTTCTCCAGGATAAAAAACTTCAATAATTAATAAAGCACTCATCATCTCTTCACCCTTGCAATCAGCTCTGATAGTACGTACATACATGTACTAACCAGCTGCCGCGTTACGAATTGTTCATATGTCTTTTTTCGACTACTCAAAGTTACTTTTTAGCAAATCAAGTTGCAGCTACTGTTCTTGTTTTTTTTTGGCGCAAAGGTTAAGTCGATTCCTGGGATAACAAAAATCAGTCGTTTTGACTTGACCAGAATCTTTAAAATTGCAAAAAAATTATGCGGCAATTCTTCGTTCTCGAATCAATGCGAGTCTGCTTATGCTAAATGGGTTCTCAGCTAACTTGTCGCAAGACGTAATTTTTCTTGTTTCAACACTTTTTTCGTACAATTTCAATGTATTCTTTTCCTATCTGTCTAATGGTCAGGCGCAGATCTAAGAATTTCTCGAGGGGGAGGGGGCAGATTTTTTTGGTCGACTAAATTGATTTTCTGGGCTCTCCGAAACCACTACAAAGACACTAATTTGACCACCCCCCTAAATCCGCTACTGCTAATGGTGTTTATTATTTAGTTCCAATAATTTTTGCTGCTTTAATAAACAATTTTGAATAATTTTCTTTTTTAATCGAATTTTTTTTATGCAATGAACAATATAAGGTGAATGACTCGTTGATGTGGTTTAATTTGTCAAATCAGAGATATGAACTTTATTGAGTTCACAAGTGGATCGTGGTTGCCCTCGAATAACTTGAAAATTTGAATTTACATTTTCAGTTGATTAAGACATTGTATATTGATTTATTAATCAATGACTGCGAAAGTTTTTTGTACGCTGAGTTTTTGCTTACGACTGTTTTAGTTGTAAAAAGCCTTTAAATTACAATCAGGCCTGAAAATTTTTTGTTAGCTTTTTTTTCTTCGTTTTCATCTCATTCCATTTTTTATCGCAATCGAGAATTGTGATGCAAAATTTTGTGTAAGATTTTGCTCGATGTGCAGCGCGTATTTTGTGAAGCGCGAACGCACTTTTGTTTCATCAAAAGCATCACTCTGCTGCCTGATGCCGAAGATTGGAGCATCCGCCAAGAGACTTGATGGCGGCAGAAAGCCATAGCTATGCGAATGATTTCGAAATCTTTAAGATCAATTTTCATATTGCGAAATGGAATTTTTCTTCTATATTTTTCCTTTATAGATTTTACATATTATTTTTGTCTTATTCTCACTTGTTGTGTTTGATCTGGTTTTTTTTGCTCTATTGTCAGTGTGTAATTACGACTTGCTTTTTTGCAGGAGTATTAGCTAAGACGATATTGATTACTTACATGGAGATTTAATACATCTAATAGAGGTTTGAAAATTGAAATTGAATAGCTTACATTTGAATAGATTATCTTGCAAAAAACCTCTAAGATTTTGGCTGGAGTTTTTCAAGCTTATGGATATGCTTTTTTTGCCTTCTGTTCTGAGCAGTAGGGTTTTGCAATTTTAGGTTTTTACTAAATTCAACAAAATTTCAAACAATTTCCCCGAAGTTCCTCAAATCACTAAAAATATTATATTTTATAAGTTTAGCACGTTTAAATACTTCAATTTGCAAGCTTAGCGAAAAAAAAAACAGTAATCAAAACTGTAATCACTTTTCGCAAAGTTACGGCTAATTAGATGGCTCAGACTGCTAGATGTCTGCTAGTATTTTGTCGAGTTAATTGCACCTTTTTTTGATCTAGTGGTCTACATTTTTGCCGAAAATTAATTAGCCTCTACGTATAATTTAGTTTTTCTTTGTTATTGTTTGACGTTAGTTACAAAACCATCAAGTCGACTAAAATTCTGCTATGCTCTCATTCACATCAATTTTGAAACTAGGTATATTCATTCAATTCTTTTAAACTGAATTTGACTTTTGTTTCAGCCACATTAGTATTTACCCTAGAACCCCTTGAACTTTGAACCCAAGTTCGTTGGTCTGTTTCGTACTGACTTAGAATGATAAAAGTCAACCAAAACTGAATGTTGATATCCTGTATTGTTGCGTTTTACCTGGTGATTTGACAAATTCATCGAATAGCCATTCATTTTGGTATCCATTAGTCTTCCCTAATAGCGCGTATCTTTTGAAAAATATTCATTGTAATTTGTTTATTAAAAATGGAGGAGTCTTTCTCTAGTGATGACTCATCAGGGAGCAAAATTTTTGTTGCCAGAGCTTATGAGTATCACGAAACATTTAAAGGTCGGCTCTTTTCGACTAGGTTTCAATTAGTTATGATGGGCTTTCTCGGATTTTTCCTCGTTTATTCTATGCGAGTTAACATAAGTGTAGCTTTAGTTGCCATGACTTTTACAGAGAGTTACGACGATAACGACACCATAAATGAAAATTGCCCGGTCCGGGAATCGAACTCAAGTTCTAACTACGCCGAAGAAGGAACTTTTGATTGGTCGACAACTCAGCAAGCTAATGTACTTGGAGCGTTTTATTACGGCTATATGATAACTCAAATACCGGCCGGTTATTTGGCTTCAAAATATGGAGGGAAACATTTGTTTGGCTTTGGAGTGTTTATGACTGGCGTTTTAACATTGTTCACGCCTCCGGTTTCATATTTAGGAGTAAATTGGTTAATTGTTATCCGTGTGTTCGAAGGCATAGCCGAATCTGCAACTTTTCCAGCTTTTAGCCATTTAATTAGCCGATGGGCGCCAAAAAACGAACGTAGCATGATGGCCGCTTTATCAGCGTCGGGTTCGAGTTTCGGCAATATGATCACCCAACCTATAATCGGCTACTTGTGCACTCTTGACTTATGGAGCGGATGGCCGTTGGGTTTCTATGGCAACGGCTTATTGGCCATTATATGGTATATTGTTTGGTGCTTTGTGGTGTTCGACTCACCAGACACACACCCTAGAATCTCGGAATGCGAAAAACAGTTTATTAAAAATAATTCTCAAGTAGACGAGAGCAAATCACATGCGATTCCGTGGAAAGGAATGTTGACGAGTTTGCCATTTTACGCGATTTTAGTTGCCGGTTTTTGCTCAATTTTTATGAACTATGGAATGATGTCTTGTCTTCCCCAGTATTTGTCGAACGTTCTGAACTTTGACATAGCTGCAAATGGTTTTCTGAGTGCAATACCTTGGCTTGGTTGTTTCATAGGAGCTATTCTTACGTCTCAAATAACAGACTTCCTCCTAAACCGAAGATATGTCTCAACAACTTTCATTCGCAAGTTTAATCAATTCGCTAGTGCTGTTTTATCTGGTGTATTTTTAGTGTTAGCCGGATACGCTGGCTGTAATTCAGCATTGGCTGTTTTTTTTATATCAGTTGGGCTTTTGTTCTACGGGATGAACTTTAGCGGGTTTTACTGCAACTCTATTGACATCGCCCCACAGTTTGCTGGTGTTCTTTTTGGGATCACGAATACATTTTCAACCACTACCGGCTTTCTTGCGCCTATTATGGTCAACAAAATTACCCAAGATAACATCCATAGTTCAGAGTTATGGCTCCACACTTTTTATGCATTCGCTGCTGTATCTTGGTTTGGTGGATTTACCTTTTTGTTGCTAGCTTCAGGAAATATTCAACCTTGGGCCATTACTGACTCATTTCAAGTAGAAACTTGAGCAAATTCCAATTAACAATGTCTATATAAGTAGAATGTTTAGATCTGTATATTTTGAAAAAAAAATAGTCAAAGTTTTGGAGTAGAAAAGTTTTAAAATTATTTTCATGCAAATTCCATTAAATTCATCTTTCTTTTTGTTACAAAAAATCAAATCTGATGCGGAGTTTCAAAATGTACTACCCTTGCGATAAGCAAGGGTATTGCAATCGGGTACTAGATTTTTTTCCCCGTAAATAAATTTGTCCACTCTTCTAGAGGATCTTCTGACAAGCTCGATTTCTTGAAAATTCAAAAAAAGTTGAATTACTTAAATAGTAATTAGTTCAAGCCAGTTTCAGGTTGTAATTATCTTTTCAAAAATTTTCTCATTTTTTTCGGGCTCGTGATTTTGTGATTTTCGTTCGAGTTTCTGTCGTTCCGTTTTCCGTTTTTTGAACGCCATTTTTTTTAATTGATAGGGTTTTTTGGTTTGCTTTTTAAAGCGTGGACTTTGTTCCAATTTAGACAGTTTTTACTGTAATTGAAAATTTTCAAATTTGTAAATTTACCATGTCTGATTTTGAGTTTTGTTTTTTTGATTTTTTTTTTTTTTTTTTTAATATTGGAACAGTTTCGTTTTATGTCATATCGACTTAGTCCACTTACTTTGCGTAATTGCGAGGGAGAAATATATTCGTTTGATATTATGTGTTTTAGTTTTGATTGGTCCTAAAAACTGTTAATGAAATTTTTTATGACAACAGTTTTGTTATTGGCTCAACAGGTTTTGACCCAACACTTGTCGCCTTTGTTGACGCTGGATAAATTATTTTTTATGGGCTGTTTATGAACTTATCCGATACAAAGATGAAGATTTAGTAGCTGTGATTTTTCAATTTTTGAAGTAATTCTTTGAACAATGCTTTGTTTTGCATTCACTATTTTGTAGTGCAATGTGTTGATTTTGCATCGCTTTTGTGTTTAACTTTTTCTGCAATAAAGTTTTGAGAAGTTTGTGTCTCCTCTGTACCTCATTTATAATTTATATTACATACCTTTACTCCACTTCAACATTTTGACAAGCTTGCTCATATCAAGTGAAAGTGTGGAGTGTTCTCATGGTCCTTCATTGAGCCTCAAGTAGTTTTTTCAATGAAAAAAATTATGTGTACAAATTTTGTTTTCTCACGCGCAATGTTAAATCCGAAGCAATAATGTTTGTTCCTAGAAACGTTATATTTGGATCAACTAAATTGACTCAACTAAAAGGGCGACAAAAAGTTTTAAAAATTCCAGTATTGTTACAGCACTGAAAAATCGATGTAATGTACTTGTATCTGAAATTATTTGATCTCTGAACAGAGTAAACTTAGCACTGTCAAGAGATTGTTTCATAAATGATTTCTAACTGATACGTACTCAGGTATCGATAATTTGCGTTGGGAGAACCAGGGTGGATTAAAAAGGGCGGGGGATCGGACGGCCAGTCTTCAGATAATTTGTCCCTAACAAGCACCAAGGGGTCCCCCTGTGGACATTTTATTAATATTTTTCCTGAGCCGTTGTCTTTATTCTTTGAGAAACATTTGGGGTGTGAAAATGCGTCCTAGTTTGAGGCCTCAAATCGGACACTTTTTATTACTCGAGGCAGGTCCCTGCCAACAGATCACATTCGGAATTTGCGTCAACTTTTTCATCAATGGCGCGATGGTGAAGGCTGTGGCCGCTAAGAAAAAATTCATTTGACTGCAAAGCTTGAGGGCGCTCAGATAGAGCCGAAGATGGAGACCTTCCATAGCATCATCAGCTTAATACAACCTCAGGCAGACCGTTTACCTGCCCTTTCTTGACTTTGTCCTGATGCAAGGCTTCATTTAACGCCTTGCATCAGGACAAAGTTTTTTCTACGAACAATTTTTTCCCCTGCTTTTTGGCTTATTGTTCTACGAACAATTTTTTCCCCTGCTTTTTGGCTTATTGTCTAATTTTTTAAGGAAAAGCAGAATGTTGTTTTTGTGCTGTTTTAAACCAGTAAAAACCTGTAATTGGTGACAGTTACGTTATTGAACTCTATATTTTGAGGTTCTGATCATTAAATTCTGGATAAAACGTTGTCTGAAACTTTCCCATGAACGTTTGCACGAGTTTTCCTGTGTTGACCTACACGAAAAGTGCTTGTCACAAAATTCAGTTTAATAAAAAAATAATTATCGTAATTGTTTCCAAAATGGTTAAAAAATGGAGAAATAATTTTTCTTGTTTGTAGTCGCAAGTTACTTTTAAGGCCAAACAAAAATTTCCGAGTTTTTTTGTCACCTGCCATGTAATCTAGATTGAGTTTTTCATTCATATGAATTGAATAATGACGCAGAATGTTTTGTTTGAGCCATAATTTACTATTTTAATGCATTTGATTATTAAGATGAACTCATAGCTTTAAAAAAAACACGCACGCTTTCAAGTCATACAAAAATCACGGTTTTGAGACATTTTTTGAGAAAAGTATTACTCATTACTTACATGGAAAGTATCGAAATACAGTGTAGCTGCCTTGCGAACAAATAGTGTATTTTGTGAATGGCTAGCGGATTCCGCGACAAAGACGCTCTCTTTGTTTTTGTTTTGTTGTTTCGTTTTGATCGCTCCCACAAAATATTCACAGGTTTAAAATATTGTCTCTCGAATCCAGGAGTATACAGACACAAAATTTTGCGCCTACCCAGTGCTATTTAGCCTCGTAATGTGTGAGAGTACTGCCCTATGATCAGTTAGTTTTCTCATTTGAGAATATTCCTTGAACGCAATATACTAAAACATATTAAATTTTTTTTTTAGGGGAAAAAGCTAGACATTTTTAATTTATGGAAACTTAAGTAACACTTTCATCGCAAAGTTTCATTCGCGCATTTTGCAAAATTGAGAGGAATTTGTTCCCGCGTTGAGGTGATCGACTTACGTTTTGACTTTGAAAAAGGATCAGGTGCAACTTTGCTGCCAAAAATCAGCGGTCAAAAAGCAGTTTTAAGACGAGCACAAAGACAAAACAAATTCAGTCGAAACATACCCTAGTTTAGTCAAGCACAGTAAAAAAAGACGTCAATTGCAAAGTCTAAAAACATACGTTATTTTGGTCGTCAAAACCAAAAAAAAGGTCGAGCACGTTCGAGACATATTTATGCCTTCGAAAAATGTTTTATTTTTATTTTTGAAATTTGGCTGAGAAAACCGAAAAATACAAAATTTTCGTCTGGAAGTTGAAATCATGTCTGGACTGGGACGAGTAAAGTCGAGCACTTTGAACACTTCTAAAAACTTTGTCGAGAAAATTGAAATATAAATCGAGCACCTCGACCCAGGTTACAAGGTGCAAAAATCGCATATGATTAACCGCTGAATTATTTTATAGGGGTGGAATTTTTTTACTAAGCACCATTGGGGTGGGGGGAGTAATGTTTGACAAAATCCATTTGCCTGCTTCTAATTCAAAAAGGGCTCCTAGCAGAGATATAAAAGAATCACTTGATTTTCAGATAAATTATATCCATTATTTTGTTGTAAACAAACTGTTTTAGTGGCTGGATTTTTTATCGAATCATCGAAATACTGAAATGATATAGCTCACGAAATTTTTAGTGGTTTCAATTTTCTTCCCGGGTGATCGAGTCATGTGATTTACGTACCGGAAGAGTAGATCCAGCCCCCTGTCCACTGTTAATGTCCAATTAAAATTCCCGATACATAAAAACCTGCAGTCCAACTCGAAATTCAAAACTCTGTTCATCTCGCATAAATTTGATCCCACGGTTGAAATATAAGTCGATGCAACCAGGCACGGACCTTGGAATTTATCGATGGGGGGGGGCGGATTTTCAAAAAAAAAAATGGGAAAATTTTGTCGACCTTTTTTTTAAGGTCGACCAAATTGATTTTTTGAGCTCTCCTAAAACACTATAATGACCCTTATTTGGCCAAATTGTCTGCGCCGCTGGCAAATTTTTGAAAAAAGGCATTTTTAGGAACTTTTTGGAAAATTTTGACCAAAAAATTTTTTCGGCCCCCCCTGCCTTTAGAAAAATTTTAAGGTTAGTCAGCCAAAAATGGAGACCTCAAAAAGTACAAAGATGAGACCCTTTCGATCGGCAGGGGTCGAATCCCTGAGGAGGGGCGTCCGCCTCCCCCTAAATCCGCTACTGGATGCAACATAAAAGCATAATTAACCACATAGTCGAAATATGAAATTGAAGCTGTAGTCGAAATCAAAGTAATAACAAACAAAGATTCAGACTTACGTCTTAATTGTAATCGAAGTTTTACTGCGTTGAATTTATTTCTTTGGCAGATTTTGTTTTTCGATCTTGGCAAATAAACCATATCTCTTTAACTACCCTTCTATGATGCCTGGTAGCGAACTGCTACCCCTACAAACCCTATAAACAACTAACTATTCAAGGGGCCAGTGGCGTGCGAAGAAATTTTTAGGGAGGGGTTGGGGTGTTATTTGAAAAAAATGTGAAAATTTGTCCATCATTGTCTTAGGTCGAGCAATTCGTTTTTATAATTCTCGAAAAATACTAAAAGGACCCTACTTTTTCCGACATTTTTGGAAAAAAAAACCTAAAACCGACGTTTTGAGCACTTTGTTTTTTAAAATAAATACCAAAAAAACTACGTTGGTACGAAATACCAAAAGTTTTTGAGGTTGGCCGGCCAAAAATGGATGTCGTTAATTTATACCAAATCGTGGACCTTTTTGAAAAAACTGGCAATTAGAATTGAGAGGGAAGTGGTCCCCCCGCGGACCGCTCCTGTCAACGGCTAAGCATATTTGATTTTTGTACTTAGTAGCAACTCTTTCCTTTTGCATAAAGGAGGGGGATGGGCTGTTATTTCAAGAGATACGTAAAACGTTCATTGAAATTTCTCTCGGTAGAAAACATTGCAATCAAAAGCAGTTGAAAACCGTCAAAACATTTTTCTAGTTTTTCCACAGTTGAGTTAGACTTGTCCGTAACTTGGCGAATGTTGCCCGCACCGAGCGCCCATGGATCATAATC